TCTATATTATATAGAAGATTATTTTTAGGAGGATAAGTAATATATAAATAGAAACCTCTTCTTACTATATTAATATTAGTAAAAGGTTCTTTATTACTATTATAAAGATTTTAGTTAACAAGGAATCTACCTCCTTTATAGTGTAGAAGGCCTAAAAATATAGATATAGGAAATTCTGGTATATATAAGGTATTCTTTAACCTTATATAGTTAATTTCCCCTTTAAAGTAAATAGGAAGTAAAATAGTTCCTATTCCTTTAGGTTTAATAGGTCTTGCTCTTATATTAACTATAAGAATATTTTCTTTAGTTAATAGGTCTAGGTAAAAGTCCTTATTGTTTAATATATAGACTGTTAAACCTATATTATATAACTATTTATTTCTTTAATTTAAATAGTTGTTATAGGCCTTATAAGTGTAATATTTGCCTTCTTAGTTATCCTCTTCTAGAGGCTAGTTAGCTTAATAGTTTATAGTGAAAGTTGCTTTTTCTTTACCTTTAAAAGGCTATAGGTTTAAATCTAGGTTGTTAACCTTTTCTTTAGGTCTTTTATACCCTTTATTTCCCTACTTATAAGGTTTCTTATCCTTATTAAAGGGATTTTTATAATCTTTAGTAGAATTATCCTTATTATTAAAAGGATTTCTATTATAATTATTAGATATAGGCGTATTGTTTTTATACTAGTTTTTATCTAATATATTGTTAATAAGGGCTTCTAGAGAAAGAGGCTTTTTAGTTCTTAAAGCACCTCTCTGTTTTTCTGCCTAAATAGGAAAATAACTGCTTAAAGCAGCTATAAAGACTGTTTTTTAGTCTATATCTTCTATTTTAGCCCCTATGTTATTTAATTTAGAGATATAACCTTTAAAAGAGCTAATAAACTTATTTAAAGTATTATAATTCTCTAATTTAATAGCGTGAAATTCTAAGTATAATTATTGCCTTAGAACAGGGCCTGTTCCCTTATAGGATAATTTTAGTATATTTAAAGTATCCTTAGGATCCTTTAAATTAAATACTAAAGATAAGGGATCTTTTTAAAGATTCTGCCTTATAATTAATAAGGCTTATGTTTTTTGTTCTTTAGAGATATCCTTATATCTTATCTCTTCTTTAAAATAAGTATTAAGCTTTAATAGCTTAAAAAAGAGATAAATAGAAGTAATCTAGGAATTCTAATTCTTTATACCCTAGAGACGTTATTCTAGAGGTAATAAACAGCCTGTAGTAGCCTTAATAATATCTACTATTTTTTTAGTATTTTACTAGATTTAAATAGGTATTCTTATAACCTATAGAGGTCTTACTTTTTCTACCTCTTTATAAATATATATCTTTATATATATAAGATATATAGGCAGCTAGAGGATTTTATAGCTGCTATTAAGACTTATACTACCTCTTAGATAAAGGACCTTATGCTGCCTATAGTAGGACTTATACTGCCTTTATCTATAGTAGATATTTAATACTTCTCTTAGTTATAAGAGATACTAAGGACTTACTTTTTCTACCTTAATATTCTTATAAAGAAAAGATAGTATAAGGAATCTACTTTTATAAATAGATAAATAAATAGGCTACTTAAGAGTATATATAACTCTTATAGTAATAAAGATACCCTAGGTATATTAGCTAGGCTTATAACCTGTTAGTATAATAGGTAAGCTAGTCTCTTAGATAGAGAATTCTAGCTTAGGAGAATATAAGAGAGTATATCTCTTATATAAAGATATATCTTATAGAAGTAAGAATATAGGATAAAAGGGAGATATAAATACTTATACCTAGGGTAAATAAATAGAGGATATAAGGATATATAGTTAAAAGAGAGTATAGTAGTTAGATTATTAACTATTTGCTTGCTTAGAGAGAGAAGGAAAGGAAACTAGAAACAGGAAGAATTCTAGCCCTTATATAGACCTATATAGCTTACTAGAATATTCTATACTTACGTAAGCTGCTTATAAATTAACCCTTAGTTGCGTAATATAATAACCTTAAGTAAATAACCCTAACTTAAAATAATAACCTTATAGGAATAACAGAGGTAGAAGGTAGGATCTAGAGAGATCTTAGACATTCTAGTACCTTCTCCAATCTTCAGTTGATTACGTAATCAGACATGCTTACGTAATCAATATATATATTAATCTACTAAGTAAGTAGATTATAAATATATATATCTTATATATATATAACCTCTATAATAGAGGAAATATAAGATAAAGAAGTATAAGAATACTTAGAGATATTCTTACTTCTAATACTTTATCTTTATAGAACATAGGGGGCGCTTACTACCCTTTTTATATATATATACTATATAGCTAAAGGTGTAAAGGTGTTTAATTTAAGAAAGCTTATAATTAGTAATAAGGTTAAGCTTATAAGTAATAATCTTATAAGGGCTTATCTTACCTTTAGTAGATTAAGGCAAAAGGTTAAGGATCTACACTATAGTGTTAAGAGTATAGTCCTAAAGCTCCTCTAGTAGGCTGTTATTAATAAGTAACATATAGGTAGCCTCTATAAGTATATAACTAGTACGCTTTATTAATCTATTTATTAATAAGGTATATATAATTATAAGGTTAAGCCTTATGCCTATAAAGTAGGGATTATAAAGCACCTTTTTTAGCTTAGGCGCGTTATTAAAAACCTAGCTCTTAATAGTAAGGCTAGTTATATTAGTAAAAGTAGTATTAAAATTCTTAATAGTATTAAGTATAACCTTATAGTAATAAGCTTATAAGAGTTAAAGCTAATAGTAGCTACTATAATAGTTAAGAAAATAAAGGGCGTATCTTATACTAGTCTTTAATAGTAGTTTAACCTTTATAAAGTTAAGATAAATCTCTTTACCTACTAGAGTAAGAGGCAGTAAAGTATTATAGCTAATAAGCTTTATAGATTTAGCTAAGTAGTAGGCCTTATAGTAAAAGGTATTAATCTTAACCTAAGTAAATTATATACTTACTTAATAGTAGGCCTTAATAACTTATAATAGATAGGCGTAAATAAGTTAATAGTATATTATTTTAAAGGTTAGCTAGCACTTACCTCTAACTATAAATAAAGTAAGGGTAGTTACTACTAGTATAGTTAGCCTATTTATAATATAAAGTATATAAATATTAAAAATCTATTTAATAGTAGCTAATTAGGCTTTAGATTTAGTGTTAATAATACTAGTAGTTATATAGTTATACTTTATACCTACCTTATAAAGCTTACTAAGGCTAAGAAGGTTAGCTAGGCTATAAAGGCTATACTTAATATCTTTAATAGTCTAGTTAATTATCTAAGATAAATTAGCTAGATCTTAAGTTTAGAAGAAGATAGTACTAGATCCCTTAGGATATACTTACTTTTTATTTATAGTAGTAAAAAGTAAAAAGTTATTATAAATAGTATATAATATAAAAAGTTATAGTAAATTAAAGATAAGGCTAAAGTAGCCTAAATTTAGTATAATATTAAATACTTTAATAACTTTATTACTTACTATAGTAAAGATAGCCTTACTTAGTTATATTATAAGGCTAGTAATTAAAGAGCTACTTAGTGCGCCTAAGGCACCTTTTATAAAAACAGAAGTAAAAAAGTTAGGTATAATAGAAGTAGTAGCCTCCTTATAATCCTTATTATAGACGTACTTAGCTATATAAGTAAGTAAATTATTATAATATATATAGTTAGTAAAAATAAGCTTTAAATAGGTAATCTAACACTTTATAGTAATATAACCCCTGTTATAATAAAGGTAATTATTATAGCCTAACTTCTTAGTAAAAGTAGCACCTTAGCTATTAGTACTAAAGGTAGTAGTAACTATAGTAGTAACCTTATAGTATATAATAAGGCCTATTTTTTACTTCTTATCTTAAGTAAGTATATAAATAGTCTTAATAACTATAGCCTACTTAGGCTTTTTATTATTATTAGTATAGTGCTTATATATATTAAGTAAATATATCTTAAAGTAATTAAGTAAGAGGATAGCCTAATAGTAATTAGAGTTTTTACTATAGAGGCTAGTAGTATAGGTATATAAATACTATATATGTTTAAGGGTATTATAAAGGGTTTTATAATCTTAGGCACTACCCTTAGAGAATTTATTAATAAAGGCTCTAATAGCGTCCTTAAATACCTTAGGAATATATTTTTAAGTGCCTTTATTAAGGTATAAGGATTACTATTATCTTACTATCTTATATTAAGAAGCTTATTAATTAATATATTATATAATAAAATAAGTAAGTTATATATAACGTTATAGTTAGCTTTTTAAGCTATAAAGGCTATAGTATCTTTAGATAGTTAAGGAATATTATAGTTAATATACTTCTTAACTTTATTAGTATAAAAGGTAACGCTAATAAGAATAATCTATAAGGACTAGTTTAACTCCCCCTTGGGCTTAAGGATAGTTAATAAGACTATTTAGTAATTACTACTATTAGCTATAATAGTAACAATATAGGTAAGTTACTTTAGACTATAGTTAGCCTAAATATATATTAATCTTTATATATTTCTTTTACTACTATAAGAGGGTATATCTAAATTATTATATAATTTACTACTATTTAATAGACGTCTAAAGTAATAGATAAAGGTAAATAAGTAAGGTTAAGTAACTACTACTTTAGTAAGTAGATTTTTATAAGTTATTAATAGTAAGGTTATTTAGTAAAGGATCCTTATTAAAGTAAGGTTATATAATTACTACTTTAGTAGGCAGATTTTTATAAAAATAATAAAGATAGGTAGAGGTAACTAATTAATTTAAAAGAAAAATTAATATTAGCCCTAGGCTTATAACCTATAGGAGTATAAGAGCAACAAAGTGAGGTAATTAGTGGTATTACTGATCTATAGTGTGTGTGTGGTGGTAATGGAGGAAATCCTCCACAAGGCTACGGCAGAGGCTGGAGATGAGGTGAGGGGCCCGGGAGGTCACGTGACCTCCCAGCACACGGGCCCCCTCACAACATTGTCTGTGAAACGTGCTCGTAGTATCTTAGGGAGTTGTCACTAGAGATGATCCCGTCTACGAGGCCGTGATAATGAAGGATTTTACCACCACGCTGTTGGAATGTTGACAAGTCACCATCCCAGGTCTCAATGTTGAAGAGGTTCAAGCTCGAAGCCTTGACGTAGTCTTCAGAGGTTATGGTAGCTGGGTCCCAGTTGGAATCGTTCAAGATTGCGTACTTAAACCAGTCAGAAGCGCTGAACGGCTGGCCGCTGAAGTAGACCTGCGGGGCACCCGTCATCTCGGCTCCGGGTTGCATACGCGGGTAAACCAGGCTGCCAGATGCGTCAATCAGAGGAGAGTAGATGCCGCGAAGGGTTTCGACTTGTTTCTGAGTGAGGCAACCGGCTGTCTGGTTGCTGGACGCGCCGCAGAGGAGACTTTCGGGTTTGTAATCGCAAAGATCCGGGGACTCAAGCAAGCCATCCTTGGCACCGTCGAGTTCGTCACACTGGTCCAAGATGTCATTGTGAATGGTGGGCCACATAGACATGGGAATGAAGGTATCAGCACCCTGCTGGCCAGTGAGGGGGAGGAAGTGGCAGCTCCATGAGGTGAGGTTGTTGAAAGAGAAAGCAGGGGCGCCGGCTACAATGCCATCGAAATTTTGAGGGAAAGCTTGCGCTTGCTTGAAGCCTTGACGTCCACCAGTCGAGCAGCCCAGGTAGTAGCTCTTGGTATGTGGCCTGTTGTAGAAGGCCTTTGTGATATCTTTGCCGACTACGACTCCAGTAGTTAGTGCGCGGTATGCGAAGTCTTCGATGACACCGGGATTGTTCATGAAAGGGGCTCCGCTCATGCCGTCGTGACCATTGTTGGTAGCCACGGCAGCAAACCCAAGAGAGGACGCGTAGTCAAGGTCTTCGTACTGGACGCAACCACCGAGTGCGCCATTTCCAGTGCTGAGAAATCGACCGGTCCAGTTCTCGGGCAGCCATGCCTCGAATTTGACCCCGGACCGGACCGAGGTCGCGATGCGCGCAGTGACACGACAGAGATTTGCCGTGACATTCTGGGACGGACGGGCGCAGGAGGGATCCGAGCCGGGTAGTTGAAGCGTAGTTCCGGCGGGGATGTACTCAGTGGCTGTGGTATCTGCGCCAGGGATCTGCAAAGAGCTTGCGAATTTTGAACATTGTTGCTCAAAGGTGACATTGGCCTTAGCCAAGGGTTCAACAGCTCTGACGCCGGGTGCTAGAGCACCAAGAAGCATCAGCGGCAGCATAATGGTAGACGGGCCGAGATACGCAAAGAACGAATAAGTGAATGACTGGATTAACGAGGTGTAAAGTTCAAAATGTTGCAGAATTAATATTACGAGAAGTCGGCATATAAACACTTTCGCGAAGGGGGATAGGACACTTGGGTAGAAGGCGAGCGACGTATGATTTCTATGTATTTTGTTCTACGACAGGTGAGTATCCCATATGATCCATCGATACCACTGCTATATAAGCTATATAAGTCGTCAAGGTTGTTGTCATACCATGTTAGTTGAACATCCGATGGGTGCCTTAGCATGGTAACGATGATCGTGGAGACTGGTCTTAATTGTCAGACCCCTTTCAAGCAGCTAGCCGATATAATCCCGGTAGCAAAGCCTTCTCCGACTCTTGCTTCCGGGTATGGTACGAGGATATTCCCCCGCGATAACATTCGGTAACTTAAATCCCTCCCTTGTCTATCCGCATGTAATACTTGATTAATGGGTCGAAAATTCTACGAAAATCTACACCGACTTCAAGATTACTTAATTATAGGGGTAGACTCAGCGCATGGCTCCATATGTGTTCGATTTGCGCTACAGTTGAGGTACACAAAGCGGCAGTCATTCACGTAAATAACTCGGGTATCCTCATACAATGACAAGGAGACCCTTGCTTTCCATTTGTCTATACGTAGTTCTCGACGCTTGGCGCATGAACACTGATAATACGCCAAGCAGTGTATGAGGGTGGGTTCTTAGACGTCTTGACGGCTGACAGCGCGGTAGTTTTTCAAAAGACCACATCCAGGGGGATCCGCCACCAGGCAGTTAGTATTTCCTGGTCTGATAGCCCAGTAGCATAGGCAAAAAATGTTTCCGTTCGGGCTGCTCCCGTGCATAGATGTGCTTGGCATATTAAGGGACACTCCTGCTGCAGAACCAATCTGCAAGTGGCTGTCATCTTGGGTAACCTTGCCGGGTGCTGAATCCCCCCGCAATGCTACCCTTATCCTGGCTGTAATCATTTGTTTGTTTCAAACTCATCCGCCCAACTTACTAGAGTGGGCGGATTTTCCTCCCATCCCAGCTGTGCTCTTGATTGAAAGGATAAGCTACGTGCTGCAATCAACCCCTTTAGAATCGCATGGGATGGGCGAATATGGGCAACCCGAGCGAGTGCCGAGTAGGTTGTGCCATATGTCTATCTGGTGAAAGCATAGGAATGATAGTCAGTTATATACGAAAACGTTTCGATGCCAGTGCCCGTCAACTGCCTTGAGCCTAAGATACTTACTTGTCTCACTTATTCCGCTTGAAATTTTATCTCATCGGAAGCCTTTCATCTAGGGAAGACTTCGGCGTCCATAACTCTCGGGATGAAATTGTTGGTAATTGGCATTGATCTTGCCGGAACTGGAAGGCTGGTGTCTAAGGCTGGTGTCTATGGACGTTGGTTTTGCGGCCCTTGTCAAAAACGTAGTCAAAAATGCTTGCGCAAAAGGCCGGCTCTGCTCACATTTACTCAGCCAGGGCTTCCGTTGAACTACATCTCCCGTCAGGATGCAGCTGACCTGACCTACCCCCCCCCCTGGCTGACCTGACCTAGGCCCACTCTAACCCTAACCCTATCAAGAAGGAGGGTACGTCAGGTGAGGTATAATTAATTCTTCTAAAATTCAGAGATACAGGTTAGGGTTTGTGGTTAGGGTCAGTGGTTAGGGTCAGTGGTTAGTTTAGCGTATGGTATATGTTTATTTTTTTACTGTCAGATAGAAGGGTGTAAGGGTTAGGGTTATGGATTGATCCTAGATTAATACAGGATCAATCTACATTTTCGGGTGGGCCTAGGTCAGGTCAGCCAGGGGGGGGGTACGTCAGGTGAGATGTATAACGATCTCCCGTCGAGGTAGGTAAGCGAGGCAGGCTTGCGCTCGTCAACCAATAAGCCCTTCCATCATCCGGAGCAACCCCTGCCGTAGAGTCGTAGAACATAAGCCGAGCGGGGTGAGCTTCTTGAAGGTATACTACAGTTGCCGGCCCACTCTAATATCTAACACCTTCAAGTTTTGATGAATAGTGTAGGTATCTTACCTGGAAGATGCTGTGCGGCGACTGCAAACGCGTGTTTGAGAAGAAGACGGAGCACGGTCACGGCGATCGCTGGTTTGCTGAATCAAAATGGATCACGTCGCTTGCCACTATCCGAGCCCACGGCGCTACGTGTGTTGCCTGCCACGCCGTTATGCGTGGACTCCAAGGAGCCAATTTAGAGCTCGAGGACGATCGACGCTTGGGCTTGAGAGGCATTCTTTTTAGCCCCGGAACGCACGGCGGTCTCTTCAAGTCAATGCCGTATGCGACTTTTGATGTCTCGGACGCAGCATCACAGAAACACTTCTATCGCCCTCATATACTTTTGGAGCAGGTCGATGGCCTAGGTATGATGGTTCTGAGGCTTCCAATTTCTCCATCGACTTATTTTATTCTTGCGTTATAGAGAAACCGAACCTTCTCGCACAGGTGGAAAGCACGAGCACCGGTTCGCCCGAGACACAACGCTTTATAACATCCTGTCTCGAACATTGCCTGGCCAACCATGAAGTCTGTAGAATGTCCAGAGCCCAGGAGGTCTGGTTTCCGACCCGGCTGCTTGAAGTCGAGGGTCCCAATGCTAGACTGATCGTCACCAAGGAAATCCCGCCCAAGGGCCCGTACATATCGCTCAGCCACTGCTGGGGCGGCGCCGACATCATCAAATGCACCGAAAAGACCTTGCCTGAGCTCCGAAAGGGGGTCCTGGCTTCAGACCTTCCCGGAACCTTCCGAGATGCCCTCAGCGTCACCCGGTCCCTCGGAATGGCCTACATCTGGATCGATTCCCTGTGCATTGTCCAAGACTCTCCCTCCGACTGGGCTGCCGAATCCAAGACGATGCTCAACGTCTACCAGCACAGTATCCTGAATCTTGCCGCTACCCAGTCCCGCAACAGCCATACCGGCCTCTTCGTCCACCGCGCGCCGGAGAGTCTGCTTTCCGGCACGTTTACCATCTCCAACGGTGCTCTGAGCGGCTCCTTCATCGCCGTCGAAGCCGCGCTGGACAAGCCGTACTGGACTGCTGCGGTGGACGATGCCCCGCTCAACACCCGTGGCTGGGTCTTGCAGGAGCGTGTCATCTCACCCCGGGTAGCTCATTTCACGTCGGACCAGGTCATCTGGGACTGTGCCGAGCTCACCGCAGCTGAGACGGTGCCCTCCGGCGCACAGGCGATGCCACGCACAGTCCCGTTGGGTATCGGGCAGAAGCGCGGGTCGAGCCTGCTGAAGGTGCCGCAAGAGCAGGACCGGGCCCTCGGCCAGTGGGGGACGATTGTGAAAGAGTACTCTCAGTGCCACTTGACAGTCCCCTCGGACAAGGTTGTTGCCCTCTCCGGCGTGGTGGATTACTTGAGGCTCAGGTTAAGAGACAAGTTCTATGCTGGTCTCTGGAGGGCGCAGATGGAGATGCAGCTCTGCTGGACGGTGACGGGATCGAGAGCGGCGAAGCGGAACGCCTGTGCACCATCGTGGTCGTGGATGAGCGTCGACTGCGCCGTCGACACACCGCAGCATAACGAGTACGATGGTTATGTCGTGAAGCTTCTTGTGGAGGTCGTCAATGTCGATGAGGCAGCCGAGACCGATAACAAAGGTAGTATCTGGCTCCGCGGCGTGCTGAGCCCCGTTACACTTGAGACTCAACCTCAGCATCGGCTAGTTGGTACTGGAATGGAGCATCTGGTTCATCTGTCACTGGACACGGCCGATGCCGTCGATGCAGCAGGTGCTCTGTTCTTTGTTCCCGTATTCGATGTGCAGGAGCCGGATACCGGAGGGATGTACCAGCGGTTTTCCGAGCTCAGGGGCCTGCTTTTGGAGGAGTTGGATAAAGAGGCGGGTAGATACTTGCGACGTGGGCACGTCTTCGCTTCAGCACGGCAAGACACGAAAAGCAGGCAGTTCCCAGAGAGCTACCTTGATTTCCTGCAAGCTGTCGAACAGAACCTGCCTCGATCTTCCAAGAGGGGTACAACGAGTAGTCGTCTTTTTTCGATCATATGATACGGCGTGAGTAGAAACGTGAATAAAATGAGAGCTAACGCGAATGGTTGTACTAAAAGAAACTCTGGCTACGATATCTGCGAAGGAAGCCAACGTAGAAGCCGGGCGACTCAAGCACGATGTGCATATTGTGTTTTCTCTAGAAACAAGCCAATTCAGGGACATTACTCCAGACTGTAAGCAGCGGACAGCTTCGCACGAAATGAGGGATAATAGAACGCTGTCATTATTAAGTTTAGTCATTAAGTATTTACAATATATCATGTTATGGGGACTTAGTCCATGCGGTCTTTGCTTCTCGATCGTAGACCACCTTCTACGTTGGCGGAGCCATTCAAGGTACCATGCGAGGTCTTTGAGGATTGCGACCCAATTTCCACGACACTCATGTCCGAGCGAACGTTGAACGTCCGGCCTCTCCAGTTCACAGTCGAACCACAGAACACGGCCCAGGTCCAGATGGGCATGGCAAGAAACTCTCTGCCGAACCAGGCGGGCAGCCACTCCAAGAACGACCTCAGAGGAGCCCCACCAGGCGTCGCGGTGCCTCTGGCAAATTTGGGGGTATTCTCGTCGACTTCCATGGTATGGCCGGCGTGGAGACGGTTGTAGGTAAACCAGTCGCACACCATCCAGATGGTCACAAATGCCAGCCAGTACAGGCCCGTGGCACTCCACGTCTGTGCAGTACCAAAGAAATCGTGAAACCAGGGAAGGGTGGTGACAGCGAAAGCAAAGTAGGCGCAGCACAACAGTGACTCGACACCGGGCTCGACCAGAGTGGCGGCAAGAACCGTCCACTTGCGTGCACGAAGCCAGCGGGCGCGACGCCCAAAATATGCGAGCACAGACATGCCGGCCATTGGCTGAACGGCGAGGTCACCCATGACAAGGCCGTGGTTCTTCATGCCGGGCAATTTGGACCGCCACAGCAAATCTCCGATCAGATGGTCCTCGCAGATGTATTCGGAGAAGTAGTCGATTCCCCTCGGCAAATTCTTGCCGGAGGGCAAGATGGGGTTTTGTGACGGGTCTGTCACAGTGTCCAGGTGAGATTTGCGGAACATGTTGCTCTTGCCGACGGCACAAGGAGCAACGCCCACGGTGTTGATGGCGCTGTAGAACTTGGCGTGGCTCGTGGCCATGAACATCTCGTCGAGGCGACCGCCGCCTTGCTTCTTGACGTAGTCGAGCAGAGAGCAGCTGTGACCTGGGCTCCTGATTTGCGCGGAGCTTCCCTCCGAAGACAATAGCGCCTGTGCTTCCGTCGAGATGCTTCGGGGAGACACCGTGTCAACAACAATCGGAAGGAGATGAACAAACTTGTAGGGCTTGACTCGGCTTCCACCGGGCCCGTATCCCAAAAGCTTGTCCACCATGCGCCCGGCGACACCCTTGGCAACCCAGACATTGCAGTCCATAACCCAGATTATATCGCCTTTGGCTTCCCGGTATGCGCGACTGATGTTCCTGATCTTCGGGTTGGGTCCGAGATTGTCGACGTGGCCACCGCTACCGTGAAGCAGGGGGTCCTCCTCCTCAACTAGCACTCGCGCATCGAAGCCTGGGAAGTCTTTGACCAGCTGCACCAAGACGGGGTACGCCGGGTCGCTCTTGTCGGCCACGCATAGGCGGATCGTCAGCTTGTCGCGCGGGTAGTCTTGTCGGAACGAAGATGCGATGCAGTCGTAGAGGCCATACTCGAGGCCTTTTACAGGACGGATGATGGTGATGTGCGGCACATCTTGCTTCTTGAGCGAAGGGGAGACGGCTGGCTTTAGACGCGAAGAGTACGAGAAGATGCTAGGCAGGGTCAGTTTTGGTCGGCGAGGGGCTGGATATCATGCTGACATTCTAATAATACCGATGGATTGGACGATGTAAACGAAAGTGCTCCAGCCAGCGCAGACAAAAGCAATGGCTTGCACCGCTGAGGACCAGTCTGCCATGGCGTCTAGTTGCGAGATGGGCGTGTGAAAAAGCAAGATGTGGCCCAAGACAGAGTTGTCAGCTACTGTCAGACGCCATGGGAAGGAGAAAAAGCCGTCAGTAGGATGCAGGCATGACAGAAAAAAAATCCCCGCCACAAGACCGTCCGAAAAGCAATTTGGGTTATCTCGGAAGCGGACGAGGGCGAGGAATAACTGCCAGAAAGTCGGTAGGACCGGAAAGGAAAGTCGCGTAGCATAGAATTCCCACAAGCCCCACCACCATTGACTGGACGAAGCTTGAAATTACATGTATGCACCAGCCACGGACAGGGTGGGGCATATGTGGCTGATTGAGGGTGAAGGTGTGGCTAGGTCGGACCCATTTTCAGCCGCATCCGTCTCATCCGTCTCCACCCGAGTTATTCCGGACGGACTGGGAAAAGGAAAAGTCAGACGGCGGGTGGGATGAGACCTGACGGAAGCGAGCTATGGATACGGCGGAGACCTTTTTCTACGTTGAAATTTTCTGCACAGAGCCAACAGAAGACCTTTTCTTCTTCTTCTCTCCAACCACACGCGTCTGCCGCACAGGATCAAGCTACCTCGAAAAAGTGAGGTGATTTTTTTCAGCTTGAATGGCCCAATTGACGGGTGATCTGTCGGTCAGACGGGTGGAAAACTCTTCAAACAAGTAAGTCGTTGTCCTTCTCTCTCCGTTGGTTTCTTCCCTTCGTCCATGGTGGCAATAGCCAATGGGCATGGCTCTTATTCTTTTTCCCCCGCAATCCTCGGTTGCGACTAGGAAGAAAAAGGGCTGCCCTTTCGCTCTTTTCCACCTGCTGTTTACTATGATGACACCAATTACCCATTTGTGCGAAGAGGCGTCTTCATTGAACCTCGATGATGCCACAAATATAGACTACAACGGTATCTGATGCAAACACATGAAAAATCATTTCCTATGATGTTGCGAGGCTTTTGTAATGGACTCTAAGCTAACCATTGCTCCAAAGACAGACATGACTTGCTAGCACAATGTCGCAGACTAAGAATACGGCTTTGCCGACTGCACAGGTCATGACGCCTGATGCTTCGCAGAGCGCCTCGGGCTCCACGACGACGCCGCGGCCGAAGGGCCTGCCGTTGTACAAGATCTACGAGCTGCCTGCTCCCATACGGACCTTTCCGCTCCCTAGCTTCTACCCGAATAATCCAATTTCTCTTTTCCATGTCCTGTTTGCGTGGACGAAACAATCCTTGTTCCCACCGCCTGCTGAGCCGTCCATTGTGCACGAGGGTATCTGGTCCCCAGAATCCAAATCTGTCAACGTCACCGACGAAAAGTCCATGCGCGCGCTGTGGGAACAAGGGTTCTACGGCAAGGGCAACTTAAGTAGGAGTGAGCCCAACTGGCTGAAGCGCGAGCAGGTTAGGCGCGGGCTGGTGCCGGGGCAGGTCAGCGAGCTGGTAACGGCCAGCAGACGTGAAGAGCGAAAGCAGATGAAGTGGGAGAGGGCCAAGTCCGAACAAGAGGCCATCAGGCAGTTACGGATCCGAGAAGCACAACTAGCCGCTCAGGTGGCATCCGCTGATACAGTAAAACCGCCAACTTTGGCTACCGAGGCCGAAGAGTCCTCGCCAAAGCTCCCATCCAACCATGTCCCTGCCCGAGAAACCTCAACGGACGCGGAACCCGTGCCTGAATCAACATTACCACTGCCTAAATCCGACCTTGCGGTCAACGCCGTACAGAAGGACGTACCTGAAGTATCTCAAGACGCCCACCAAGTCACGTTCCGCGCCGAACCTGAGGCCCTTGATCTGTCCGTCAGAGACGATGCACCTACAAGCAATGGGACTACCGCTCGATTGATCAATGGTGTGTCGTCGTCTCACAACACGTCGGCAAGCATTGCTGCAGCCCACTCGGCGCCCCAGCAAAATCTCGAAGCAGACATCAGTTCCGCCAAGATCGCCAAGCCCAGTGACTTCCTACAATCAAGAGAGGAAGCCTCGCCTACTATTCATTCAGGAATCGTCCCCAAGACAGTCGATAAAATGCCCACACCAGTTTCATTGGCTCGGGCCCCTGTTGGGCCGATGGAACTTCTTTCTCTTCCCAACTCTCACCCCTTCTTAGTCAGCGTTGAGCAAGCCAAGGATGTCTCGGAGAGCGTCGATGTAGTGATCGACCCCAAGGTCGTTCTTCAATCCTCAGCCCCTAATGACGATTCTGTGCCGTCCGTCTCGGCTACAGTATCTCCCGTCGGGCCGTTGGAGCTGCTGTCTTTACCTAACGCAAACACACCGCTCACCAACGGGACATCGGTCGAAGCCACCAGCGCTTTTAATGCCTCCCCTACAGAAAGCTCTCCGACTGGGTCGCAGAAGCTGTCAACGATCCATGAGGATACTAGCTTCAGTGGCTCGGAGAGCAGAAACCGCGCAGGATCTGGGCACCTGATTAACGATCTAGTCGACGGCGACAAAGTGGCCCATCTGAACGGGTTGAACGGAATAGCGAAGGCGGCGATGGTCTCCACCTCTACCGAAATTCCGTTGACGCCAAAGTCCGGCAAGCGTCGTAAGAGCGTTCGCTTCTCGCCCAAGGTTGAGTCGACCACTTTCGAACACTCCGACCCTCCCAGCCCCAGCCTGGCCCTGTTCAACGCAACCAACGGAAAGGCAGCACCGCCTGCTGATGGCACTTCGCTTGGACCTGGTGTCCTAGAGGCGGGTACCAAAGATATTGCAAAATCTGACAACAGCAACCGGCTCGAGCCCATGACCGAAATCAAGGCCGAGACTACCGAGATTGCCAACAGGGAGCACCTCCAGCTTACCTCTGAGGAAGCCTTCTTCCTCTCTTTCGGAATGGGTGCCCTCCGGGTCGTCGACCCTGCCACCAAGGCGCCGATCCCGACCCCCGAGCTCTTCAACCTGTTCCGGTCGTATTCCTACTTCCCCTCGCAGGCCGCTGGGGAGCTCCAACCAGACGACGGGTTCCTGGTCAATTACGCCGTGTACCACCACTTCCGCTCGCTGGGATGGGTTCCCCGGGCCGGCATCAAGTTTGGCGTGGACTGGATGCTCTACGCCAGAGGGCCCGTGTTCGACCACGCAGAGTTCGGCGCCATCATCCTGCCGTCCTACTCGGACCAGTGGTGGAAGGAGAGCGACCGCCGACTACCGCGCAAGACGTGGCACTGGCTCCACGGCATCGTGCGCGTCCTGTCGCATGTCCAGAAGAGTCTGGTCCTGGTGTACGTTGACGTCCCGCCGCCTCCCCAGTTTGACGAGGCGATGAAGAAGGGCCCCGCGGAGGTGTTCAAGCTGTACAAGATCCGCGAGGTCATGGTCAAGCGGTGGTCCAGTAACCGCAACAGATGATTCGTTTCCCGGTAAAGGCTTATGGCGGCGTTGCAAAGGACATGAGAGAAACTCTTTTATACAAGCAAGGGATGTTTTGAGTGTATTGGGCTTGGGGGCTACGTCCACGCAGGGATTGTATATGAGTACTTGCGAGTTTGATGATGATGGCAAGTCCCAACGGGAGCCACTACGTTGTATGAGTAAAAAAGAAAACGAGAAACTCGCGAAGACGGCATGTTTGGCTCGCGCCGCGCCATGGAGATCTTGCTACACTAGAATACCCCCCGAATGTACGATGATGACGAAGCAAGCTGTCTTTTCTGAGACCCTCGAAGACAACCATACTCTCAGCATGCACGAAAATCTAACCGGGTTCTCGCTTCAGGCGACGACGTCCATGACCATGTCTATCCTATACCCTGCCGGTACCTGGTTAGGCCTGCCTTCATGTCCTATACTCGGACGGACTGCAACGGCGGATCCCATTCCAAGGCGCCCGGCCAAAGCTTCGATGCCCATACGAGCTCGACGTGGAAGGCCCCATAAACAATGCCATTGGCTCTTGCCGGCTAGTCCCGAAACCTCGCGATCTCCTGGAGATCTGACTGGGTTTAGCGCCGTCCGCTCCCGTGATGGCACCACATGCGGCGCGGTAGATAGACAGCACGCCCGGATCGCTTGGCCTCAGAAATGATGCAATTCCCCCAAAGCTGAAATGCTCGGAGATTCGCTGGAACATTCATCCATTTCTTTGTTTGACATGCTCCCCCCCCCCCCCCCTCCCCCCCAAAAACCTTGGTCTCATTCGGGGTTCTGTCAAGGGAGGGGGAGAGGGGAATTAATTGGAGGGGTAACGCGGCCCGATCTAGGTTTACTCTGCTTCAACATCGTCCCCATTGACGGAAGAAATCGAGCTCACTACCGAGAGTGGCAAGGGATCTGTCGGCCAGCACCCAGTATCATCCCGGACCTGTCAGGGATTAAGCATCGCTTGTCGGAACGCGCAGTGTAGTTGATTACAGCCTCCTCGTAGAACCACTCTTCCGGGAAGCTTGGCTGACTCGGTTTTACAGGGTGGGGAGGCACGACGCAGGGTTTGATTAGCCGGTTGTTCTTTGCACGTTGTATAAGAGGAGGAACTTGTAAAGATGGTTCTCGTCTACGAAGATGGACGGCCGGTACGACGCGCGGTCTCTTCTTCCCTAGCTCCAGCTTCAGCCTTAACTTCAAGACCTTCGCCGCCAGGCTCTCAGCAAGCACCACCCAAAGTGCGAGACGGGAACGTCGGCGACCGCGGACTGAACGCGATGAAGCCCCAAGCCCTGCTATCGGTGGCGGGAGCGGCCCTGCTGCCGCCGGCTTTTGTGACGGCAGCCCCCGCAGACGAGAGGGCCTCCGCGGCGAAGCCGCCAGCCTTCTTCCTCGCCGGCGACTCGACGACGGCGGCGCAGTCGGAAGGCGGCGGCGGCTGGGGCAACGGGTTCCTCGGCTTCCTGAAGGAGCCGGCGTTCGGCACGAACTACGGCCGCAACGGGCGGACGACGGTGGACTACGTCACCATGGGCTACTGGGATATGGTCAAGGATGCCGTCAAGGCCAACACGGCCAATTTTGACGTCTACGTGACGATCCAGGTTCGTCGGTTCCCCCCAAACCTTTCCCTATCTTCTGACACCCCCCGCCCGTCCACAGTTCGGCCACAACGACCAGAAACCCGAGAAGAACATCTCGCTCGGCCAGTACCAGACCAACCTCGCCAACCTCGCCGGGGAGATCAGGGCGCTCGGGGCGACGCCCGTCCTCGTCACGCCCCTCACCCGGCGCAGCTTCGACTCGGCGGGCGTGGTGACCAACAACCTGGCCAACGAGCGCGAGCGGACAATTGCGGCGGCGGCGGCGGCCGGGGTGACGTACGTCGACCTCAATCTCAACAGCCGCAAGTACGTGCAGGCCGTCGGCGAGGCCAAGGCGCACTCGTACAACCTCGTGCCGGGGGACAACACGCACCTCAACGACGAGGGCAGCGTCGTGTTCGGGCGGCTCGTGGCGGACCTGCTGCTGCGCAAGGAGACGCAGCTGGCGCAGTGGTTCACGCCGGACGAGGCGCTCAGCGAGGAGATCTGGAAGGCCATCGACAGCTCGCCCGTGTAGAGAAGGGAGTTGTAAAGGTCTCGAAGGAGGAGATGTTTGGAGATGTAGGCTGAGTGTAGCGCCTGTCTGTTTCAATGTTTAAGTACCATTGCCAGTATCCCTCGAGTGCATTTTCGATACAGCAGGCGATTGCATGGCGTTCGACCCCCCCTGTCTAAGTCGACGGGTTTGCTGGGAGTCTCGTATGTTGGAGTAATGATGGATATTTGGTCCGTTGCCCTCGATCAACATATCCGTGTTAACCCCAAAATCTTTCAACACTCTTCCACCTCGAGAATCATTAATAGTGGCTTGGTTGCTTGAAGGACACAAACGCTTCAGCCGCAGGCAGGACATGTAACGGAAGCTGCATGGCGGGGTTCACGAGGGGGAACCCCCCCCCCCCCCCCCCCAAAAAAAAAACCCCCCAAGGCGTATGTTGCCCGGGTGAACAGTTCCGGAGCCTCAACGTTCATGTGAAGGAGGCTAAGTCATACCGCATGAGATTCCCGTCGTCCGGCTGGGCCACCGGACGGAGGGGTGGAGGTCTCGGGGGCCGCGGACTTGGTGCGGGGGTCGAGCGGCGGCAGTGACATGTGAAATCGCATCACTGCCAAGGGGGGATCGTCTTGCTCGGTCAGAATTCATGGACGAATAGCTGATGGATGTACCGGGGCTTTGCTGATGAGGAGGTCCATGTTGAGGGATGCTTTCGGTGAAATGCTGGCGATCTTGACCATGTAATTTCGAGACATACACGAGAGCTTGGTTAACATGGGGAAAAGATGCACGCGTGTTGCAGCACGGATGAGACAGGACGGGATGAGGTGGGATGAGAAACAGAGGAGGATGAAAACCCCGCGCTGTTCCCGTTTAGCACCTGCATACCTAGATGGCAGATGCCTAGGTACCTACCCAGCAGGTAAAAGTACTTTACATACTAGAATAGTATACGAAGTACATGTACTGTCCGACCGAGGTTCATCCCCCCTCCTGGTGGGGTCCCCTGCCTGTCACTCTGAACTCTGGGAGCTCCCGTCCCGCCGCCATCCGGGGGAGGAGGGAGGGAAGCTCTTGCGACATTGGACTAAACAAATCCTTGTCACCATCGTCTCGTCCTCTCATTAATCCTCCGCATTAATCGGACTACCTATTACCCTCCTCGCATCTTCCCACCCCGGACAACGTAAATCTCTCCTTGTTCGGCTCTCCGCGAGATAATAAAGCCGTATCAGGGCTAAATATCCCCCTCGTCTTCTTCTGCTTTCTCTTTGTTCGTCCCTGTAACGGCTTCCCAGCAGCTGTCGCAAACCACTTGATCCCATCTTCTTTCAGCAGGCAATAGCCCTCTCCCGAGTACTTACTTCGATCCTTTTCTCCGCTTCCATCATGGCCCCGATACCTGCGCTTCGCCCCGTGGTGCGCGCGGCGGGGTTTCTCAGATCTGCTATGAGGCCGTCTCTATCCTCCCGCCTCCCCGGCCGACGAAACACCCCCCGCGTTCCCTTGGCATGTGTACACACAACCTCCCCCAAGCCCCAAGAAGCCGCCGCCGCCCTCCGCCAAACCGAAGTTTCCCGGCCCGCGGAACCGTCAATCGACGACCTTCGCCGTTCACCGCACGCGCTGCGCTATGAAACCCCGGCGCAGGACTCCCATCTCCTCCACATCGTCGACCCGAGCACGGGCAAGCCCACGGCCGTCTTCGACGCCGCCTGGCTCCGCGACCGCTGCCCATGCCCGCACTGCGTCAGCCCGTCCTCGGGCAACAAGTCCTTCGCCACCACCGAGATCCCGCGCGACATCGCCTTCTCGCAGGTCCGCACCCTGGCCGATGGCGCCGTCCAGATCCGCTGGGCCAACGACATCCCGCGCGCAGCCGCCATCGACCACGTCTCCGTTTTCCCCGCGACGGGTGAGGACGCCCTCGGCGCCATGGCCCTCGAGAAGCCTGTCCTCTTCGCCCGCCACGACTGGTCGCCCGACCGCGTGCCCAGGTTCGGCTGGACAACCGAGACCCTGACCCCGCGCCTCCTACGCATCCGCTACGACGACTTTCTCGCCGGCGGCGCCCCCTTCCGCGACGCCGTCCTCTCGCTGTCCCAGATCGGCCTCCTCTTCCTCACCGACATGCCGCAGACCGAGACGGCGGTCGCCGACGTGGCCCTCAAGTTCGGCGCCGTCAAGGAGACCTTCTACGGCCGCACCTGGAACGTCATTTCCAAGCCCGACGCCGAGAACGTCGCCTACACCTCGTCCTACCTGGGCCTGCACTCCGACATGCTCTACCTCGACTCGCCGCCCCGCATCCAGCTGCTGCACTGCCTCGAGAATTCGTGCTCCGGCGGCGAGTCCATCTTCAGCGACGCCTTCCACGCCGTCAGCCGCCTCCGTGACGCCCGCCCCGACCACTACGACGCCCTCTGCGCCGTCCCCGTCCCCTACCACTACAGCAAGAACGGCTTCTTCTACCGCCAGGCCCGCCCCGTCGTCAGCCACGACGAGGATCCCGACCTCCGCGAGGTCTGGTGGTCGCCGCCCTTCCAGGCCCCCTTCCCCGTCCACGCGACCGCCGCACAGGCCGCCGCGTGGCCGCGGTGGCTCGACGCCGCGCGCGCCTTCCAGGCCGTCCTCGAAGACCCCGCCAGCGTCTACCAGTACAAGCTACGGCCCGGCGAGTGCGTCCTCTTCGACAACCGCCGCGTGCTGCACGGCCGCCGCGCCTTCGACACGGGGAGCGGCCGCCGCTGGCTCAAGGGCACCTACGTCGCCGATGAGGACTTTAGGAGCACCCTGCGAGCCGTCCCGCGGGCTGGAAATTAGCCTCGGGGGCCTAGATACCGACTACGTGCTCCTTGATTTCTGGGTTACACCATGATTATGCTTGAACATTCCAACGAAGTCACGAGGGGTCAACCGGACGGGAGGGCCATAGCGGGCCACACACGCCCAGCTCAGTTCGAAGCCGAATTTGGGTGGATCGCCGTCCGTCGTTGGCGTCTCCGCACTAGAATTGGCACTTGCTGTTGTTTGTAGCCACGATAGCGTACCAATAATGATGATCTACTGGCAAGGCACCCAAAGCTCCCCCTCCCCCCCTCTGTAAATAAAACCAGACGCCATGCCATCAAGGAGAAACAGTTGACAGACCCCTCACGAGGTCCCGACTTTCCGCAATTTTGGTCCACAGAAAAAGAAAAAGAAAAAGAAGGGAAAAAAAAAAAAGATGTCCCATGGGCCCTCCCCAAAACGCCCTTTTCATCACGGCTCTTTTTTGCCCGAAATCGAATCTGTGATTTTAAATGGAACCCTCCCCGCACGCCGGGCCTACGAGTCCCACTTCTTGGCCTCGACGCCCTCGGGGGGCACGGTTTCGACCTTGCGGCTCTTGACGTCGTCCCAGTCGGTGCTGAGGGCGGTGCCGTTGCTCTCGGTGAAGCTCTTCATCATGGCGCGCTGCTGCTCGGGCGTGGCCCCCTTGTAGAGCGTCTTGAAGAAGGCGTTGATGTCGCGCTCGTCCTCTTCGTCGGCGCCCTCGAGCTTGTCCCAGTTCTTGGGGCCCGACTTGGACGAGGTCGGGTACGCGGGGGCGGCGGACTTCTGGATCGCAGGTGCTGAAGGCGCCGCGGGCGTCGGGGCCGGCGCGGCAGCCTTGGGCACGGCGGGCGCGGTGCCCGGGGAGCGCTGGAGGGTGGGCCACTTCCCTACCTCGAGCTTCTTGAGGGAGAACTCGACCTTGTTCGCGGTCACGGTATGCTTGGAGCCCGCCGGGTCGATTTGGCCCCAGAGGGGGATTGTGTACCAAGGTTCGTGGCCGGGAATGTGCGTCATGCGGATCTGCAATCAGGTAAAACAAAAGTCAGCGTGTCGGCTCTCAGTGACAGCTGTTCGATTCAGGGGGGGAGGGACAATACCTCTTGGCCATCATACTCGACTTTGAACTCGTCCTTGGGGATGTTCTTGGCGAACACCGACACCGACATGGTGGCGTTGCTCTGGAAGAAGTCGACGCGCACATCCTTCTTGACTTCTGGCTTCTGGGCAGCCGCCGCAGAAGCGGCCTGGACCTCCTCCTTGGTGATCTCTTCCTCGTCGTCCTCCTCGGGCGCGTCCAGCGAGACGCCCGGGTCGTACTTGACCGTCACCATTCTCTTCTCGTCGTCCTGGGCGAGCTTCTCCAACCCGGAGAGGATCTGCAGGCGCAGGGCGCAGATCGAGTTCCACAGCGCACCGTACTTACTTGTGGCCGGGTCCTCGGTCGCGCGCACGGCTGTTATCTCGTCCGTCAGCTCCTTCTTGGTGGCGGTAGCGAAGCCGCGGGCGCCGACCCTGGGCTCCTTCCACTCGGGCAGGGACATGGTCTTGCCCTCGGCCAGGCGCTGGGCCCAGGTGGCGCAGGCGTCTGCGTTGGCGAGCTCGCCGAGGCGGAGGTGGGCGACGGCGCGGCGGTACTGGGCGTCGGTGATGAAGGCGCGGTTGCCGCGGGCGGCGGCGGCGGCGTAGGCGAGCTCGGCATCGCGGAGGGCGCGGCGGTAGTCCTTGGTGCCGATGTAGGCCTTGGACCGGGCGATGAGCCACTTGGGCGACTTGGTCGACTTGAGAGCCGCCGACAGCTTCTCTATGGCGAGGGGCCAGTCCTTGGCCTCGACGGCGTCCATGCCCGCCTGGCCGGCCGTGTATTCAGACATGATTGGGCGGGTGTGTACCTGGGCGGGTCTAATGCGATTGGCGGCGATGCTTATTGTGTGCTGGAAAGAGTCAGTTGTGGCTTAGGGAAAGCGTTGCTGAGAAAATTGAGTGGTGTCTTGAGGTTGGGAAGTGACCAAACGGAGGAGACAAAACAGCAGACGGTGACGCAGCTGCGGGTTGAAGGTTCGGACTGTTCTGGAAGCTGTGGTGGGGCAGCCGCCTACCGCCTTCTCTTTCTGCCGCCCCAGCTATGGGTCACCCCGCACCGTCCGTCTCACCGCCTTCTTTTATCGAGCACAAAGCCCGACAGACGAACCTTCATGTCGGAAATTCACAAGAAACCACAAGAGCGTGAATCATGGTCCACAACTACTCGGCCTTGGTGAATTGGTCTTGAAGTTCAGGCCATAGCGATTTAAAAGCCAATTTTCGATGACTAGGACAACCCAAACGCAGACAGACTGATCCTAGCATTCATAGCAAACAGACCACTGACTAACCACCATGACCAATGCAGTAAACGTACCCAGGTTTGGGTTTCTGTCTTCTTCTTCTCCTTCTTTTTCTCTTTTCTTTTCTGCTGTTCTTCAAAAATTCGTAACCCTCATTAATATTAAATATGCTATGGACATGTAGTCAAATCAAAATCTAGGAAGCAAGACGGTCTAGGTCTTATTCATCTCCCTTCTCGCTGATGCCAGGGGTCATCTTCTCGTCGGGGTATTTGCGGGCAAACATGCCGAGCGCCTTGATGGGGAAGGTGAACTTGTAGTTGGGGTACGCGATTGTGCAGCTCTTGTTGAAAACGCCCTCCATGGTCTCCTGCAGCCACTCGCCGTTGGCCTGCTGGCGGTCCATGAGAAATTGGATTCCCTTGCGGAGAGGCTCCATGTGGGGATATTCAGCCTCAATGAGGCCGATGAGGGCCCATGCCGTCTGTACGACCAAGGACCCTCTGGTATGTTCGTGGTATTCCATCGTCTCACACGCCTATTGCTGTCAGTCAAGCCCGTCCTGGGCGGCTTTTGCGGGGATCCTACCTTGTAACTCTCAGACCAGCCACCATCCTCTCTCTGCTTGGAGACGAGGAATTCGCACCCTCGCTTGGAGACCTTGCTAGTCTCGTAAGTGTCTCCCACGCTTGCCAAGCTCTCCAAGGCGAACATGCCGGCATAGGTGAAGCAGATGCCCCAGCTGCCATACCACGAACCGTCAACGTTCTGGTGGGACCGAATCCAGTTGACGGCACGCTTGATGAAGATACGGATATCGTCCTGTCGGTAGTCGGGCCAGTACTTCTGGAAGAGCGACAGGGCCGTGACGCAGGCGGTCGTGCACTCGGGGTAGTCGTACTCGATCATGATGCGGCCAAAGACCTCAGCAGCGTTAAGCATTTCCATGTACTCGCCGCCGCGTCGTCTTTCGTAGGAGCCCACACCTCCAGTCTCGTTCTGGTACAGCAGAATAGAGTCGACGGCATCATAGATGCGCTGGTCCTCGAGGAGTTGAGGATAGCCCTCCGTCTTTTGCAGCATGATGACGGACTTGAGAGCCTCGGAGATGCAGTCGCTCACGGCGTAGCCCTGCTCTCGGTTACTGAACGGCCAGCCACCCTTACGCTGCTGGCGGTAGCACTTCTCCATGTCCTTGCAATCCTCGCGGATCTGCTGCCTGTCAAGGAACCCGAGAGCCTTCTCGAGCATCGGGCGCCATCTGTCATCGGTCTCGAGGCCAGCCGCTACAACCGACTGGATCATGAAAGCCGTGTCCCAGCACTGGACGCCGTTCGTTCCGTTGCCAAGCATGCCCTCGGCATTGACCCACAGCGAGTCCATGATCCTCTCGGTGTGTCTGCGGACGGTATAGGATCCGGGTCCGTCCCGGATGTAGCAAACGACATGGTTCATGGGGCCGTTGACGGGCGCCAGTCCCAGATAGTCCGTGTTGGCGTCTTCCATGTCGATCAACTCGCTGGTCCATGCCTCGGCCTTCTCCTTGATATAGTTGGTTCGGAGATATGGGTTCCACAAGTTGACCAAAAACCAGTTGGCCGTGTTGAGAAGCCATGTTTTGGGGTGGTAGTTGTCACCCGGCGCGATGCTATTGCGGTGCGCCTTCCAGTTGATGGACGCCCAGTTTTCGGGAAACAACTCCTTCTTGAGCGACCGAATCAGGTCCGTCTCCTCGCAACTCCAGCGCCTCGAATAGACATAGGACATGGGCAAGAAGACTTGGCGGATGTGAACCCACCATCGCTCTGGATGAATGGGCACCCATTTGGGCAGCAGCCAGATTTCTGGGGGGACCGGGTTGACAATGTCCCAGTCCACGATGCCCAAGACGGCGAGCCACCATTTGGCCCAATGGGGTCCCTGGGTGGCGCCCCCAAGTTCGTGTAGTCTCGCTCTGGCCTTGACCATGATGGGCTCGTCCGCATCGACGCCGACAAGTCGCAGGGTCGTGTAGTTCAGAGAGGTGCCAAACACGGTGCTAGTACCTTCGGTGTGGAGGCCCCAGCCGCCCAGCTCGGGGTGGGCCCGCGCGAAAAGGTAGTTCTTGATCTCGGTCGCGAAGGCAGACGAGATGGGCGTCTTGGTGACATACCAGGCGATGACGGCGCTGGGCAGAAGGAACATGGGTCCGCCATACTCGCATCCCCAGTCGCCGTAGGGCAGTTGTAGCTTCTCCATGAATTCCAGACCATTGCGGGAGGCGTCGAGAGGGCTCTCGGGTTCGGGGAGGATTGGAAGGTCCTGTGTAGGCGAGGATGGTCAGCGATGAGAGGAACAAGGACACAAGTCACGGTGCATGAGCCTAGAGGTGGGCTGACCAGGGGAAGACCCAAGTAGTACTTGTCGGCATAGGTCTGGGGCCAATTCTTCGCAGCCTCATCATCGTGGTCCAAGTACTGCCAGGTGTGCCGTCCATCCTCATCTTTCATGCGCCATCTCGTGCGATCGGTCTTTGCGTCGACGCGGGGCTTCTTGGGCCATTCTTGTTCGGCAATGGCCTCAGCGACGCGCTTACGAGACTGGACCGCGTCGGCCCCAAGAGTGCCATTGCTCGAGGCGAGAGACGAGGTTTTGTCGACAACCATGTTGCTATGTATGTCGCTATCGCTCTGAACAAGAATGGGCGGGACGCGGGTTGTCGAGAGACGAGTCCGAGGTCTTGGGCCGTACCAGAAGGTGGAGGCCAAAGTGCGTTTATGAATTGACCAGTCCAGTTAAGACGCAGTCCCATCCCCCCCTTGCGTACCTCTTCGAGGCGGTGTCCAGGTTCCAAAAAACGCTGGCGACAAGCTGCATGGACGGGATAAACCCACCATACCCTTGCACAGCGCCCCTGTCTAGATTACCCAGGTACGTACCTATTCTATTGGAGTGATGTGATCAACTAGGTAGAACCTATCTAAGCAAAAACTACGGATACAGACGCACCACTATTTGCAATTTCAAAAGTCGAGCTAGAAGCTTTGCCATTTGCCAAGCTGACCCCAGTTCCATTGAGCTGTAACCTTTCACACTCGTGGAATAAGGTACATTGACAAAGTCCCTTCCAGCTTTCAAAGATTGAGTTCAGGGGTTTCGGATGGTCGAAGCCTATAGGCACTCGCCGATAAGATAAGCGACCTCGGTGGGAGAGCACCATCTGGCATCATCATTTTCCTGAGGCAGGTACCTACAGGGACGTAGGTACCCGCGGACGATCCGATCCTTCCTAAAGTCCCAGTCCAAGACAAGAACTAATCAGCGCTGAGCAACCAATGGTTCATTTGTCAATGGGGCTACAATGTGGGCACCGACTTACCTACCTTCAACTTCGGCGCCAGTGTGATTCTCCTGATCGTGACATCTCTCCAGGCCCTAGCCAAGAACATACATCACCGCAGCGTACGGGGACGTCTTGTATCTGTTCTTTTTCGACGCATTACGCACACTCTGGGCTCTCCGGACCATGTTCCCTATGGACTATGCTACATCTCCAATGATCAACGGCAGCCAGCAGGGCCGACTAACATCTCACCTTAGCCATTCAAGCAACGTGGTGACCATCCCTGATCATGATCCTCAGCAGAATACCACAGGGGCCGCCATCGCCAAGCTGGAAGACATTCTCGCCGCCGTCCGAGAGTCTCTTTCTAGAAATGAAGAGATGTCTATTCCCTACAGATCTCGCCGCTCTTCGGCCAGTCGATCATCAGCCGACCCAGCCCGCTCTCGAACTCCCAGGTCTGCTGTTCGCTTTCCTGGACGGACGGTCCACGAAGCCACCAAGTTCAGTGCGTGAGTGGGTATTTTGGAGGTAACGGTCTTCTGACATTCCCATCATGTAGGCCGATTGATGCGGATCCTCCAAATGTCTCTCTGCACCCTCATGGCAGGCCGCACCATCACCAAGAGGTTTGTCATCACCACCCTTTCGTTTGCTTGCTTCCCGTGTTGCTAAAGGCAAGAGAGCCTAGAAACATCTACTATCAAGATGAGAACCTTTTCAAGAAGCAAAGCGTCGTCGACAATCTCGTTGATGATCTAGCCTACACCCTCGGGCTTGGCCGGGAGGACCTTGGCATCGTATGTGGGCACCATACCGCCGATGGTGCTTTCTCACTCTGATAATAGGTTGCTACTGGTAAAGGCTTGGTGGCAGGCCCGATTCTGATTCGTACAAAGACCCATCACGCTTTCCACTCGTCCTCGGAGGCGCCACCCAATCTCGACGCATCTTCGAGCGCAACCGTACGATTGCCTGGTGGTGCCATACTTTGTGTGGGCAGATTTACTAACGACTTTTCAGGGGGTCCTCATACCTCCGGCGAGAGACATCTCTCAGATTGACTTTGGCCGCGCGCGATGGGTGCTAGTCATTGAGAAAGACGCAAGACCCCATACCCTTCTTCTCTCGGAGCCTGTTTTCTGACTTTCAAAGGCAACGTTTCGTACACTGGCCGCAGCCAGATACTGGGATGCATCTGCCTGCGGAAGCGGCATTCTTGTCACGGTGTGTAGATCCTGCTGGGTTCAGCTCAATTTCGATCAGTAGGCCTCCTCTGACACTCGAATCAGGGCAAAGGCTATCCAGATCTGCTCACCAAGCAATTCCTCCACCTCATCCATGACGTGAAGCCAGAGCTTCCAATCATGGCCCTTGTGGACTACGATTCGGATGGCATTGCCATCATGCGCTGTTATAGCCATGGCTCGCGTGGCCATGCACACGAAAGAAACACAGTCGTCCCTAGCATGTCATGGCTCGGCATCAAGAGCGGCGACCTTGCCCCTCAGTCGAGCCTGCTCTACTTCCAAGGGCAGGTCCTTGGTGGCAGCCAAAGATCAACTAGAACGGGCCTGTTTGAACACTCGAGCTCTCTGACAAAAAAGGACAGGAAATCAGCTGCCAGGATTATCATGGAGATTGGAGAAGACGGCGCTGATTGCGACATTATGTGCAGACGGGAGCTGCAGGTGATGTTGTTTCTGGGCATCAAGGCCGAGATTCAAGCCGTGGATGACGCCGGCGACATGTCGAGTTGGCTTGACAGAAACATGAGGGATCACTTGTTCACTTGTTAGAACCGCCCGGATGGTTTGGTTCCCGTTAACATGTTGATTGCCACATTTGTTGCGGACTTCACTTTGGCTGGCACATCGCTCTGATTCACCTAAACAAATGGCAGAAGACTGTGCGTAGTGCGCGATGCTAGTTTACACACTGTACCTCCACACACATTACTCGAAAATTTCTACTCGACTTGAAGACTCATTCAGGCCCTCAAATAGCGCTCACAAAAAATCACCGAAAATGGCCCCCAAACTCTCGGAAGAAGAGATCGATGATCTGATCTACTTCTCGCGAGCCGGCGAGCTCGCCGATCTTAAGGAAACGCTCAAATCCCTGTCGGAGCGCGAAAACGCTTCCATCGGCGAGGTCATCATCGCCGCCAAGGACGAGGGCAAGTCGACCTGCTTGCACATGGCCGCGGGCAACGGCCACATCGGTATATTCTACCACCCACGATCTTGTCACCCCAAGAGAAGAACCTCCGACTGACACCCGTCAGGCGTCGTCAAGGACCTCATCGCGGCCCTGGACTCCCGCCCCGCCGACGAGCGCAAGGCCTACGTCGACGCGGCCAATGAGTTCGGCAACACGGGCCTGCACTGGGCCTGCCTGGGCGGCCACCTCGAGGTCGTCAAGCTGCTCGTGGCGAGCGGCGCGTCGCCGGCCGCGGCCAACGACAAGGACCAGATCCCGCTAGACTCGGCGCTCTTCAACGGCAAGAGGGAGGTGGCGGACTGGTTCCTGGCGCAGTCGGAGAAGATGGAGGGCGGCAACCAGGAGGAGGGCCTCAGCGGCGCAGCGGCGGGGGTTGAGATCGAGGACGACGGCGAGGGGGAGGGGAAGAAGGCCGGAGAGGGCAGCAAAGATTCATAACTGAGCCTTTTATGAGTTGAACGAAAAAAAAAATTCCAAATGAGTGAACGTCATATCTCGGGCCTTTCTTTTTTCTTCTATCTTTTTTTCTCTTTGGGTTCTACGGTGAACGTGTATTAGTGAGGAAGAATAAGAAACCAAGATTCTCATAAGGGAATCTCCTCGAGCAAATGGTGGAAACTTGGTAAACGGGAGAAAGTGAGTCTCCTATTCATCATGGAGCCGTCAAATAGTCCCTTCCCTTCCTCCTCTCTTAATCCTACTTCCACTGTTGATGCCATTTTGGGTCTCACTAGCATTCAAGATATCAATACACAGCCAACGGGGGAAAGGGCCAGACCATGAGCCCTGCATGGCTCTTGGGGTCCAAAGCGTTTGCACTTTATCCTCCGCTCAACACGGCCGCCCCCGGATACCATGGGAATTAGAGGGACTGTAAGGAACGAAATAACAATGAATTAACACATTGTGAAGCTGGTAAAGTGAGGCGGTTCAGACATGGCATCGACAGTTGAGAAGATGAGACTTGGGAAATAGAGGGTTAAACAGCGTAATGGCAGACTAAAACTGAAACCTGGTAAGTAACGATAAGCCGGCCTCTTTATCCTGGGAATTATGGGTGTGTCCGTAGGCGCTGTGAGTATATTGCCCACGTCGAGATGCTTTATTTCGACTTTATGTATGTATCATCGTCTCTCAAGTAACACATGTCGATTTGCATATCGGCGAATTCTCTTCGAACACGAAACTGTATACCACTGGTCCCCTTGGGAGGTATACTGTGGAAGCATTGGTACTACAATCCTTTGACTCCTACGTGCTGGGTCGAGCCTTTGAAATATCAGATCAGAGTGTTTATCGGGTATTTCCAATACTTTGCACAAGAAATAGGCTCGGCGTAATCTTCGTCTTTTTTTTTTATTTGCTACCAATGCTTCTAGAACCGAGCCCTGTGGAGTGCCCCCGAGTCAGTTACACGGGGGTGCATCCCTGTGTGTTTTACTTCGCCCTGCAGGGCTACCGGGGGGTGAGCTTGCCAGGCGGTAGATGACGCCGCATGTCCAATATTACAGGAGTGTTCCTGCATCAAGGGTTCTGGGGGCCGGATACCGTCGCCTGTGCTCCGTACCCAATGTTGGTTTGAGATTGGCACATTGCTCCGTCGGCGCAGTTATCGTGTTCCATGGCTCGACTGGACGCACAGCCACCGCATCGCGGACCCAAGAATATGCTTCTGTCGGCGTGACTCTTCGGGCCGGAGGCAACCCGCCAATCGCGGGATGCGTTTCGTAGTGTCCGGCGAGCTATTTGATGCGGCTGCATCCGCAATGTATAAGCTTGCCCAGAACAACGACAAAGCACGCTTCACTTTGCTCTTCTGTGGCACCGGCAAATTGAATCAAAACTTCGGTCGGATTTCCAATTTGCACTTGCATTATATCCACGCTTTCAACGTCAAGCAGCATCTGCACAGCCGGAAGCCCATCGGTACCCATGGCACAACCACTGAAGCGCCCTCTTACCGAGGCCGAACTCCGCAGGGCCGAGGACTGCGCTGACGAGAACGCCAAACTGGCAGAGTGCTGGGAGAGTCATCAGGTCGCCATCGTGACATGCGAGCCGGCCGACGAACTCAGTTTCCCTAGCTACTTGAGCACGTCCGTCCTGACCATCGAGACCCTGTTGCCCCTCGAGCAGCCCACGCCGGGGAGCCCTGACAGGAAGAAGAAGCAGCAGCAGCAGAAGATGCGCGAGCCCAAACGGGACAAGAGGAGCGAGTCGTCGGAGCCGAGGCCGTGCTACTTCGAGCACCGGTCGTACGAGCGGCTCGACGTGTGCACACAGGTGGCACGGCTCAAGGCGTCGATGACGTTCGACACGCTGGCGAAGGAGTACGGGACGGTGTGCATCGCGGGGTACGACCTGCGCGAGACGCGGCGGGCGATGGAGTCGCTGAGCATCGAGACGCCGGCGCGGGTGGTGTGGGTGGACCTGATGAAGGTGCTGGAGCACCAGGCACGCGGCGACGCGGGCGGGATCCCGGCGGAGCTGCACAGGTACACGGACGACAACGTGACGGTGCGCAACGGGCGGTACGACCGCGTGCCAGGGAGGCCGCAGGGATATTACGGGATGCCGAGCGTGCGGCTGCTCGAGGTGCTCGGCCCGGCGGCCGCGGCCCACCGCGCGGACTTTAAGAAGATGGAGAAGGAGTCCGCCGCGCTGAAGAGGATGGCGAACAAGGCCCGGAACGGTAGTTCGTAGAGGAGGGTGGGTTCATGTAGTCGAATCAAGGATGCGGTTGGCGCGTCGTTCCGCCGCCTCAAGAGACGCCTTCCATCCGGTCTGATTCCCCATCCATCTAATTACTGCCTCGTGACAAGCCCGTTGCGTTGGATTTGTCCACGTTGTGTCTTGATGCGGGATTATCGAACCAGCAGATAAACATGAGGTGTTTAGCCTAAAGTGGTAGACTCATATCCTGAAGAAGAGAAACATCGCAAGAGAGTAAACATGGTCTTTCAAGAAAAGGAGACGTGGTGATACCATGCCACAAGCTCAAAACCTTAGGGTCGATGATGGAATGACTGGTGTTAAGCGGCACAAACGAGCGGACGACGGGACGGAAAGGAAGGCACCACACAAACATACAGTACGTACTTTCCGCGAACATATAATCACTAACCATTAATAGAGCAGGCGCTCTATTCTTCTTCACTTGGAAGACGTCACGTGGTCTTGCAACTTCTCTACTCTTGAGCGCCATGAGGCAGTATGGCAGATACAGGTTAGGCAGGTACACACATACCTGCCTGGTCATGTACCTACCTACTGTATCCGTAGGTACATTAGTTTAGACAGGTCGCTTAGTAACCGCGTGGGGGTCCGGCAACTTCCCCATTCATTCCACGTTCCCCCCGTTCCTGGAAGGAGAGACCAACACAAGGATGTGTGGAGAAGGGGAAGGAGCTCCCTCATCTCGCCCCGCGTTGGTCCCTGGCGCCTAAGGCTTAAGTTTGCCAATCAACCAAATCCCCGTCTCATCCCAACTCGCACCGTCGCAAACAATCTTACCAGCCATCGCGACATCTTTGGCGCAAATCACTTCCTTTCACGGATGAGGAGCGCGCTGTCCGGCTCCTAAGGCTATCCGAACGGCATCTTATTGCCTCCGGATGACTACCCAGCCAGAACAGCCGACGATGCTCCCGTAACTGCGCTTGATGACGAGCCTCCCATCTTCCGCTCAGCATGGCAGTGCTGGGCCCAACTACAAACGCGCCAGTCGCAAAGGCGCCCCGCGTCGCTTTGTTTGCGATCATCCGGGCTGTGATAAGCTGTACTCGAGGGCGGAGCACCTTCAGAGACACCAGTTGAACCGTGAGACCTTACGCCGAGATGGGTTGCTTTAGTCACCCTTGACGCGACTGACGCGACTCATCAGACAACCCCAAAGACATCTTTGTCTGTGACGTCCCAGGCTGTGACCAAAAGTTCGTCCGCGCCGACCTGCTCTCGCGACACAGGAAGCGCCATTCTTCCTCGTACATACCACGGAACCGCGCCCCCAGCTTCAGCACTTCTGTCGCCTCCGCAGCAGTCTCATCGCCCACCTCGGCTATTCCGTCACAGACGACTTTCCACTTTCCTTCTTCCAGCGGGCCTCATGACGCCGCCATCCTTCTCACCCCCGACTCGAACGCGACGCACGCACCGACCATGGCCGCACCAAGCCTCTCCATGGCTCGGCAGGCGACGAAGATCGGCCAGCCGTCCGCATGGCCATCCATCGACGACATGAATGTGGATATGATGCGTCCGAAGCATGGCTACTGCGGCCGCGAGCAGATGTCTCTATCCGAAGCGCCGCCAATCATGCCGCCCTTCACCTCCGTCGGCTTTCAGCCCCACGAGGCATTATCAAGGGAGAACTTTGCCATGTGGTTGTTCGACCCCCAGGCAACTTTCACCGAGCTCAACGGCGTCGCCAATCTGCCCTTTATTGAAGGCGGCCTCGAATCGACGTTCAATAACAACATCCACTATGACTACGAGTCCCTCACGAGCCGGTCGCAGCTGGACCCTACCCCGCCACGCCAAGTGGAAGTCAGCGATGGACTCATCGCCGAGCATCGCCGGCAAGAGATCCTCCGATGGTTTCAGGTTTTTCGACAGAAGCAGCCCAAGTACGAGCCGCGCATTGTGACCCTGGTGCATGAGAGCGGCGGAGATCTGCCTGCTCTGAGCCTGGACATGATGAGGGATTGCTTGAAAGAGTACTGGAAGAATGTCTCGCCGAGGCTGCCCATCATACATCAGCCAACCTTTTCATCCAACCGCTGTTCCATCTTTTTGTTAATGGTCATGATTGCGCTTGGAGCCGCATCTCTTAGCAGCAGGGACTCGACGGGCAACCTGGAACAATATGGAGGGTTTGCTGATGTCATCATTTCTAGCATTCGATGGGAAATCCTCACCGCCGAGGAGGCCTCACCCCCAGTGGGCTTGTACATCGCCCAGTCGCTGTTGTTGCTCGAGTTTTACGAAAAGATGTTCTCATCCAGGCGCATGCACGAAAGAGCACACATCTACCACTCAGCCACTTTGACCCTCTTGAGAAGAGGGAGCCCCCTGATCGGGAAAGGAGGCAGTGACTCGCCCCCAGAAGAAGCAGCACCTACAGCCAACGACGGGGCGTCGTCTGACTCGAGGACATGGTGGGTTCGGTGGGCGGAGAGCGAGTCAATGTACCGTGTTGTCTTCGCAGCCTTCATGATGGACGTGGTTCACGCAGCCATGTTTGGGCACGCTGCCAACATGGCCCCTCACGAGATCCGGCTCCCACTGCCGTGTGACGACGGCCTCTGGACCGCGCCGACTCCTGACGCCTTCCGCCATCTCGATGGGAACTACAGGATGTATGGCATTAAGCAAGTGTCTTTCCTGGACGGGCTGAAAAGTGCCCTGCACGGCCAGGAAGTTAAGACGCACACATTTGGGCGCATGATCATCATGTCGGGCCTGCTCAGCGTCGGGTGGCATCTATCCCACCGGGAATCCCATCTCAAGTGGCTCGACCTGCGCACACCTAGCACGGAGACGCACGATGGATGGAGAAAGATTCTTCTCCGTGCGTTCGACGAGTGGAAGGAGAGTTTCGACAGCGCCGCAGGAGCTAACGATACGTCCGAAGTCCCAGGGCAGCCGTCGAGCTCGAACGGGCCGATCCACTCAGCCGCCGTGCTCCATCACTTGGCACACATCAGCCTCCATGTGGACATTGTCGATTGCCAGGTATACGCCGGAGCCAAATACCTCGTCGGTCGCAAAGTCTCCACGCGTGACCACGCCAACGCGGTTGCGCGAATGCGGGCCTGGTCCAACGCCCCATCAACCCGCCACGCCGTCCTCCACGCCTTCAAGCTTCTGTATCGTGTCCTCGTCGACCATAGGGGACCCAAGCGACGGACGAGCAGCTTCGGCTCCCTACCGGAACCCGTGTCGGTCTTCTACTCCTGCCGCAGCGAGGCGGATCCCCATCGGCCGTGGATTATGTACTACGCGGCCCTGACGATATGGTCCTTTGTGCAGGCGCTGGGCATACCCAGCAGGAACGTGCCGCCCGGGAGATATAGCGAGATCGCTCGGTACCTGGCGCACTTTGCGAGCTTGGAGGAGCTTACCGACGAAGCGACCCGGGACCTCAACGAGAGGTTGCCGGCACTGCTGGACCTGCTGAAGACGAGTTTGGAGCAATCTCATTCGGAGTTACTGAGAGAAGCCAGTGACAGGCTGAAGGTCTGTCGGGAAATGCTGAGATGATGAGACGCTGGCTTTTCGACCCAACAGCAGTATGTGCAAGGGTCGCCGCGACTAGAACAACCCAGTTAGGCACCAAAAAGACCGAGTTGAAGGCTCTTTGTTCACAACTCGAGCCAAGATGCCGTCAGTCCTTGGCAGATCGACATGTTGCCGTGTCCGCCGACCCGTACCATGTTGGGGAAGCTTGCCAGCCAGAAAAGAAACACATGATGCTTGGATGGCCATTACAATAGGTATGTTATCTGTCACGGATCTGGACCCAGAGGACCGTTGCCACCTTCTATGCTAGGACCACCACTAACGATGCTATCAGAAAGACTAAAAGTCCATCACGGAGAAGGAGGGGCGATTAGACGAGCATTGGACTAAAGCATCAGACGTGTGTGCATATGGAATGGTCTATGGACCGCGCCGTTTAGCTCTCATGCTATGTCTCGTCCAAGCAGGGCCCTGCTGAAAGACTCGCTGCCTCGATAGCTGCGGTTAGCCAAATGGCAGAAGGGACAGCTTAAGCTTCTATCGGCCCGACATTGGTCAAGGTAGTAACACATCACAGACCTGGACCATTTTTAAACTACATGGAATCCAGACACTTCGGCTACACGTATAGATGTGCCTCGATGACATGCTGTCGCTCGCGTACTTGATGACATCAAGTGTGTGGAAAATCTCGAATTCTGAAGATGAACGTCAAGAGGCGGCTATCAAGCTAGGCGGACTTAATGCGACGATGGTTAGGAGGCATTGTGGACTTGGAGCCTAGCTTGCGAGACATGCTGGTCCCCCAGTATCAAGTATCGCCAGTTGAGCCCGTCCCGTATTCGATCTCATGCAAGCGGAAAGAGGCAATTCCAGGTAATATATTCAAGGCGAAGGGGAAAAAAAAGTGTTTTGATGTGGATTAAAATAAGAAATTGGGCAAAAGTGTTCTCCATCCCGTCGCCCCCTCTCTCTCTCTCACTAGCCCAGACGACATGGTCCCATTTTCTCGAGGACGCGATTGTTTCCTCGGCTTCCCTCATCCCATTTCCCCAGACGTCTATGCCTCTGCTGCAGCCGGTGGCGCGGCCGCAGCGGCCTGCGGGATGAAGATGGCGAACTCGCCGTTCATGTTGGCGACAGTCAGCGTCAGCTCGTTCTCCTCGGCCTCAAACTCGAGCTCGCCGAGGGCGGGGTCGATGATGAAGGCGTTGATCTCCTTGAAGAGGCGGCCGACTTGTCCCTTTTTGATGTCCAACGCGTCTGCGGGGGTGTTGGTGTTAGTCACGTTGCACGACAGGCATCCATCCCATTCGGGTCAAGTCTGGTTGAGGAAGAAGGAAAAGAAAAAAGAGAAAGGAGAGTGAGAGAAAGAAAGAAAAAAAGCGAGAAAGAGGAAACTCACTGCCGGGGTTGAGGATATAGTCGACCTTGGACAGCGTCAGGCCCTGGGCGCCCTCGGCCAAGTTGATGCTGTAGGAGACGGGCTCGACGGCCACGAAGCCCGGGGGCGCGGCTGCCGGACTCCTGTTCTCGGTGACGGTGAGGGTGCGACCGACGGAGTTCTGGAACTCGACTTCGAGACGGCCGTTGGTCTGGGGGGCGGCGGGGAGAGATGTCAGTCCGCTACGTCGGTTCAAAGGGGAAGGGATTCGTGCTGGTGGTTGCTATTGCTTACGCCGGGGGGGAAGAGGACGTCCTGCTTGACGTTTGCGCCGCCCAGCCGCAAGGGGACGGTGAACTGGCCCTCGAGCTCCTGCTCGCCCTCCTTGGCTTCTTCCTCGGCGCCCTTCTCGGCGCCCTCCTTGGCTCCCTCCTTGGCCTTGCCGGCAGCGGCCTCGGCGGACACCCGCTTCGTCATGCTCAAGCCCGCCACGGGGCCGTCGTTCCGGGAGACTAAGCCAGTGGCCGGGTTGGCGGAGAGGGGCAGCGAGGTCGCCAGCAGCAGCTGGGAAGAGAAGAAGAGGGCCAATGTCGAGAACTTCATTGCGACGGTGAAAGGTGAAACGTGATGGTGTGATGGAATAAAAAAAAAAAAAAAAGAAGGTATAGAGAACCAACGCAGTTGGGCTCGTTGCAAAATCGAACGGACTGGCCGCGAGGAGAAGAAAACAAGGCGAGTTGGTTAACGAATACTCAAGAAAAGAGAACGAATGAACAAGCGCGCAACGAACAAACAGTATTAGGAAACGGTGCAGGCACGGAGACCAACGAGGTTATATGTCCCCCGACGAAGGCTTCCCCGATCCGAGAGTCTCGTGGTCGATACAGGGGGGGGACGTCTCTTCGTTCTTTTAGACGAAGGGTAAAAGTTCGACCACCTTTGCCAAGAGTTGCGGTATCATGAAACCCAACATAAGACCACTAGGACGGATGGGCTTGCCTGTCCTCTCCCACCATCCGCGCCGCCAAGCTCGCCAAGGGGAATTTCGTCGAGCAGATTCCCCCCCCTCTCATCCCCCCCTTTCGAAAGAGCTTCGCAGCTAGGGTGTAAGCAGCGGGCTTCTTCTGCAGTGCACGACGCGCGGGGCGGCTGGTCATGCCTGTTTTCTTCGAGATGCATCTGCATTGGCGCCGCTTGGCGGTGTGGCAGCTCGTCTCTTCTTGACAGTTTCTTTTTTGATCGACGTTGGGCTCATGCGCCAACATGGCTACGTCAAACAAGTTCGGGATTTGCACACTCGATTAATGGAATGAGTGCAACGAGTGCACGATGAAAGAGAGAGAGAGGGGGGGGGGGGGGGGGGGAGTTGCTGCTGGAGAACGTGGGCTCTCTCTTCCATACGTAGTCACGGCACGGGCTGGAAAGCCAGCAGCAACTAAGCTTAATCAACGTCAATGTTTGTTTAACGGTGCTTGTGGACACTTACATGAGTCTCGATCAACCCCCCTGGACTATCTTTGGTGGAAACTAGTCTGTTTTTACCACTCCGAACCGAACCTTCCGCCCATCCATCCATCAACCCTGAATATCGGCTGCTTTTCGTTTTTTGGGTGTTCCCCTGCCTGCGGGTCTCGGATGACAGGTGTCATATGGGCTAAACTTAGACTCTCAAACGTGCTTCTTCTGGCGGTCGAATCAGCTGGCGGGAGAGGCCTCCCCCCCCTTGTCCATGTCCAGATCCCTCTCTCTCTCTCTCACCCTACCTCCACGCCGACAAACTCTTCCCCAGGGCGGTCATGCGACCGAATGGCTGGTTCATAGCGCTCTGTGGGGGAGGAGAGGGCTGTCGGCTGAACTTGCTCCAGACTGAAACACCACGGCGCGGGAGACACCAAACGGCTAGTTGACTGCCTGGTTGTGATCGGTCCAAGGGTTCATCATGAAGTTTATCGCTTTTTCCTTTGGCAAAGATTTCGGTTGATACTCGTAATTTGAAACCAGAGTGAAAGAAAGAGAGAGGATCGAGACCATGGCCGAGAAAAAGATGAAAAGAGAAAAGCTTCGCCATGTCCCCAACGATGACCACTTGGCCAACGGCATTCTTGCTCGTCTTGGCAGTCAGCCCATTTTTCGACTCGGTCCCCCCCATGCGCTCCTCGGAGGAGGCGTCGGACTTGGCGGATGCTTTTGCACATCGGCTAGCTGGGTTTTAAGGCCCAGAGATTCTCGGCTCGACCTCCCATACTTCACGTTTCTCACACTGCCAAACCCGAAGCTTTGGTTCTTAAGAAAGGCTCTGTGGAGATGCCAAGAACCTCCTTGCGCTGCCCGCATCGACGCAGCTTGGGGATGAGATGGATCATGGCCGCACTTAAGAGTTGCATCAAGAGCCATGACGGTTCTTATTGAAACTCGGGCCCAGGAACGCCGTGCAAGAAAACGGCCACCGGCGCTTTGATCCGACTTCAGGACAAAAAATGGAGACGGAGACCGGTCGGAACCGGGGCTCAGTTCCGGCGGCTCACGGCACGTTTTCCTCCTGCCTTAATCTGACTATCAAATCTCACTCTCAATCTGACTGTGCGTCAAATCTTCAACCCCTCACTTCGGTGTCATCTCCGCCTTCACACCCACCTGCAACAGCTCAAAGAAGCCCGTTGCATTCATAACCTGCTGCGTCCATCTCATCGTGTGGTTCCAAGCAAGACAGAATGGCCATCAAAAGACTGGTGCGATACGGCGATTGGGAGAGCCCCATCACAGTCGATACCGTCACCTCCAAAAGCCGGACCGTCGCCTCGCCGCGCGTGCATGTGAGTCGCCTGTCTTGAAGACTCGCGATGCGACCTACTGACCTCGTCCCCCTCCCCGCCAGCGCGGAACTGGACGCGCCTTCTTCATCGAGTCCAAGGACGATGGCCGCAAAGGCATCGTGGAGATCACGCCGGATGGCCTGAGGGACTTGCTGCCGGCCCCTTACAGCGCCAGCAACACGGTATATGAGTATGGCGGCTCTGCCTACGACGTACTCGCAGACGGGCGCATCGTCTTCTCCCACAAGGACAACACCGTCAAGATGCTGGATCCCGATACCAGCAAGGTGTCCGATCTGGCCGGTGGCTCGGGGCTGCGGTATTCCAACTTCAGTGCAAACCCCAAAAGCCCGTGGGTGCTGGCCATAGAGGAGGACCACGCGATCCCCACACCAAAGGGCATCCGGAACTACGTTGTAGCCATCAACGCGGACACTGGCCATGTCAAACGGGTCGTCGAGGGCGCTGATTTCTACTACACGCCCCAGTTCAGCGTCGACGGCAAAAGGCTGACGTGGATGGAGTGGGATCAGCCCAACCTGCCTTTCGCGGCCGCCAAGATCTTCGCCGCCGATTGGACGTCCTCGCCCGGCGTCGAGAACGCGGTGCTGGTCGCGGGCGAGGACCGCGAAGGCGCCGCCGAGCCCCGATGGGGTCCCGACGGGAGCCTGTTTGTATGCATCGAGACGGACGGGTTTCGGAAACTGTTCCGCCTGGCCCCGGGCGCCGAGAAGCCATCGCAGATCAAGCTCGAGGGGCTGGAGAAGGCCGAAATCGGGGAGATCCGCTGGTTCCAAGGAAGGTGGGTGACCTAACGGGCCGTCCGTCCGGGGTTGGCCGACGCGGTGATGCTAACAGTTGGATTCTCAAGTCACACGTATGCGCCGCTGTCGGCCCGCTACGTCGCGGCGGCCGCCATCGTCTTCGGCCAGGCGAAGCTGATCCTCATCGACCTCGACAAGAACGACTGGAAGCCCGTCGGCCCCCCCGACATTTGCGGCGTCGTGTTCGACGCCATGATGCGGATGAGCGACGAGTCCCTGCTCCTCGTTGCCGACCAGACGGCCGCACCGCCCGCGCTGTACAAGATCGACATGTCGACCGGCGAGACGACGACTATCCGGGAGACGACGGACGAGAAGCTGGACGGCTCCCTCTTCTCGCGACCGGAGCTGGTCAAGTTCCAGTCAAAGGGCTCGCCGCCGCGCACCATCTACAGCACCCTGTGGATGCCGCGCAACCCAAAGTTCCTGGCCCCCGACAACACGCTGCCCCCGCTCGTCATCTCGTCCCACGGGGGGCCGACGAGCTACACCGGCTCCGGGCTCAACTTGCGCACGCAGTACTTCACCTCCCGCGGCTACGCCTACCTCGCCCTGAACTACACGGGGTCGACGGCCCACGGCCGGGAGTACCGCGAGGCCCTGTTCGGCCGCTGGGGCGTCATCGACGCCGACGACGCCGCCGAGGTCCCACGTGTACACCAGACGTATATCATGGTCGAGTGAGATGCTAGAGGCACCACACGTTAGCTTTGCAACTTGTTATCGAGACGCCTTAGAGTTCTCGTCTGACCTCACAATACCCGACGGCCGAGCCCAGAGTGAGTATTCGTGTCCTGTGTAATTCAACGATCGTAGATCCGCTCGACAATTATGTAGTCAAAGGAGAACGCTTACCCGCCCACAGCAAACAACGTCATCGCGCATGCAAGCCGGCATCAAGCAATTCATTGACTCAGGAGCCATACATTATCCACCTTCGGTTTGAAAGATTGTTGATCTTCCCCGGACTTTGGTAGTCATAACTTTTGCTCGAGTGATATGTCAGGGCTTCTTGGGGCATACCAAATATTAGGCGCTCGGATCTGTCACCTCGAGGACTTATCGAATACGGCCAATTCTAGGGAGATGCGGCCTTCTTCACACGACGTGCAAAGCGGACTGTATGTAGGGGTGAGGCACACCACTCACCCATAAGGATAGCTGTTACAAGACACTTGTCAACTAGGGGCTAGGGCCGGCGAGAATTACGCCGGCGATAGATTGCCTGACAGCGGGCCGGTTACCCTGAAAATTGCCCTCGTTTCGCGTTCGTGCGGCACCCGGGCGCGTTCGACGCCGGGTTCTGCGTGTGCGGCGTGAGCGACGTCGAGAAGCTGGGCGAGTCGACGCACAAGCTCGAGTCCGAGTACATGGGCGCGCTCGTGCTCGACCCGGGCATGACGGAGGCGCAGAGGCGGGAGAGGTACCGCGAGCGGAGCCCCCTGTTCCACGCCGACCGGATCGGGGCGCCGCTGTTCCTCCTGCACGGCGTCGCCGACACGGTGGTGCCCGTCGAGCAGGCCCGGCTCGTGTACAAGGCGGTCAAGGACAAGGGCGGGGACGTGCGCATCAGGGAGGTGGAGGGCGAGGGGCACATGTTTGGCCAGCCCGGGAGCCCGAGACTGTGGCTCGAGGAGGAGGAGGCCTGGTGGAGGTCGTACTTGGTTTGAACGGGTCGGGGAGACGGATGGAATGAATGTATGAAGAAGATGCTCGAGCCAGCAAGGCTGGTGGAACGGATGAACACGCTCGGGGGCTCAGTCGGAACATTCCCCTCCACGGCAATTTCTCCCCTCTTATCTTTGTCTACTATGTAGAAGACTTCGCTCGGACGCCGCTCGGATTTCGAAATGCTCTTCTGTGCAGAGCGATTGTATGGCACAGAGCAGTACGGAGCATTCCGAGGTAACTAACTTAACACTCCCAGAAACAACTGCGTATACCTGCACACCATTTGAGGAATGTTATGTCATGCTGCGTATTCCCCGCTATGCTGAACTACTACTACCTACTGTCATGGACCAACGTTCAGGTGGACTAAACAGTTATTGGGCGAACGATCGAGGGTCTTACTTGGCTATGAAACAGGGCGCGTCCTCGATATGGACGGTTTCATCGGCGTTTTTAACCATTTAGCATCCAGGCCAAAGAACATAACGCTCGGGAACTAGACCGTTCGACGTACCATCCATCGGATGGCAATTGCCAGCCAGGTAGCATTAGGGATAGGTAGAAAACCACAAGTCGATTTCACCCCCAAACCAACTGGAGAAGTCGGTTGCCTACTATGTAGTTCGTGTGTCCGCTCATCCCCTTGGCCAAGGGCCCGCCGCCACCCGGGAATGCTAGGATCTCGATGGTGCGAGGTACACCACACTAGGCACGCATAGCTGCACACAACAAACGCCGCCGACAACCTATCGCATTCGAGGCAAAGGGCAAGCCGCATCGTTCTCCGAGCTCACCGAGACGTGCAGGCGAATGCTGTTCCACCTTTTTATCCACCTCTTTTACGGATACCTACACTAGGTAGTGTACTCGGCAACGAAGGCGCCAACCGACATTCCCTCTCCACAATGTCGACACGATGCCGCGCAGGATATGCCGTTCTGTGGGTATCGAGCCACCACAATGACATGCCCGGCCTAGCATCTGGAGGCTAGGCCGCAACTAGAAAGAGGGGCGCCGGATCATTCAGACGGGACGGCTGCTGGTTGGCGTCACTTCGAGACAGTCCGAAAAGCCGTGCGCCGGGCTCTTCGCAGAGGCAGAGGGGGGTTGTTTCGCAGTTATCTGGCCTTTCAAGAGTTTGATAGGGTGATCTCGACGGTCTTTTCGGGGGTTCTATGGGTTCGACTGTTTCTCCTCCCTCCCTTCCCCCCCCCCCCCCAGAAAATCAGGGATTCCCAGCCATGTTGTGTCATTACAGACATCGTCATCGGTGTTGGGCGGTACCTAGACAGACTAGTCGTTGGGAGGGAGCAGATGAGCAAAAGAAAGGCGCAACAGTCTTCTATCATGGTGCGTCGGCTGTGCATACGCATTCACATGTGTGGCGGGTGGTCCTGGGGGTCGATTGGTGTCTCGCATAACAACTTGTGTCTGATCCAGACCTATCAGACCCCGGGCCAACCCCAGACTCGACGTCACTGACCGAGGACGCACGTCAGCTCACACACACACACACACCACCTCCTCATCCATACTCTGATCTACGTACGTCATTACCAAGAAGCATATATTCATGTATATAGAGTACAAGCCACAGGCTGCCCAAACCGTTTCTTTGTGAACTCGAAGATCTAGTGATACTATATCTGTATATCGTCATCACCAGTATTTCCGCGGCACAGTTTCTGGGTTTTCTTTGAAATATATCCCGCAAAAATGTCATCGTCAGTTAAGCACCACAGTGCTCCTTTGGAAGGTGAGACGTCTATCTAGTCTTGTTCCCCTGTCATGGCAAGAGGAAGTCATCAGCATTTGCCCGACTAACAAGACTGGGCCCAGCTCCAACCCCACACAAGTCGTCTGCGACCAAGAAGGCGACGCCATCCAAAGTCGACCAACGCAAAGCACATGCGACCCCCAAGAAAGAGTCAGTCGCAGCCGCCATCAAGGAGAAGACGACGCCTGTAGCGAAGAAGGCGTCTTCATCAGCATCGAAACCCGCGGCCTCTACCAAACACACACCATCATCAGTCTCAAAAACGGCGACATCGAGCGCGCACAAGACAGCTTCGCATGCCCCCAAGCCGGCCAAGTCTGCATCGCAGACTGCTCAGAAGACCACGGGCGGCAGCAGCGGCGCAGACATCGTGAAGAGGCTGCAGGAGAAGAAGAACCCTCAATACACCGAGACGACGGGTTCGGACATTGTCAAGAGAATCCAGGCACGTAAGGCCGCCGCAGCCAAGGCGGAGGCCGCCGCGTCCAAGGCCGAGACCTCAGCGAAGAAGACAACGCCCTCCGTACCTCGGGCCCCGGTCACGGTTCCCAAGACCGCGCCGGCTCCTGTGAAGAAGACGGTCAAGCCCGCCGTTATCCCGGCCGCCCCCTTGCGAAACGTCCCGGCCGCGAACCCCACCCCGGCCAAGACCGCTCCCTCGCCGGTCCAGAAGAAGGAGAAGGTCTATGCTCCTGGCGCCCTGGTGCCGACTGCCGAGCACGAGGCCAGGCGTGCGAAGGCCGCTACTGCCAAGACCTCTGGGTCCAAGGAGAAGACATACCACCCTAGCGCCTTGGTGCCCACGCACGAGATCGAGGCGAAGCGCGCCGCGAACAAGTCCGGCCGGGCTGGTGGACCAGTCGGCCAGGTCGCCGACACCGTCGGCAAGACTGTTGGAGGCGTCGGCAAGACCGCTGGCGGCGTGGTTGGCGGAGCCGGCAAGACCGTCGGCGGAGTTGGCAAGACAGCCGGAGGCGTTGTCGACGGAGTCGGCAGGTCGGCCGGGGGCACCGTCGATAACCTTGGAAAGACTGTCGGCGGTGTCACCGGGGGCGTCGGCAAACAGGTCGGCAACACGGTCGGAGGCCCGCTCGGCAAGGGCGTCAGCGGTGCCACGGACGGACTCGGCAAGACGGTTGGCGGTGCCACCAGTGGCGTGGGCAACACCCTCGGAGCCGCGACCGGCGGCGTCGGCAAGACCCTTGGTGACACCACTGGCGCGCTCGGAAGAGGTGACCTCATGGGCACTGTCGGCGGAGCCACCTCTGGAGTTGGTGACACCGTCGGCGGCGTTGGAAAGGGACTGGTGAGTTCGCTCCTCCCGAACATTTTTGGAGCTTATTGTCTAACAAACTCAGGGCGACACTGTCGGCGGTACCCTCGGGGGCGTAGGCGACACCGTTGGCGGCCCGGTGGGAGGCATTGTCGGCGGCGTCGGCAAGGGTGCCGGTGATGCCGTCACTGGTATCACCGGTGGCCTTGGCAAGGGCGTTGGCAGACTTGGCAAGGGAGATGTCCTCGGGGGTGTTGGTGACGTCGTCGGGGGTGTCGGTGATGGGTAAGCAAACAATCCACACAACGTTTGCCGTACTTGCAAACATACCCCTATTATCGAATTCTTATGGAATACTAACTGTTTTACCAGGGTTGGAGGTCTCCTTGGAGGTGTCCTTGGCGGCGTTGGAGGAGGAGGAAAAGATAATGACGGCGGTCTCCTTGGCGGTGTTCTTGGGGGTGGCGGAGGCGGTGACAAGAAGAGCGGAGGTGGCGGAGGCTTGCTCGGAGGAGGTGGAGGTGGTTTATTGGGATAGTAAACTGGCATCCCGCATTCGCCGTTATGATAGTTGTAGGGATATTAATAGTTACGTGGACATATTGGCATTGTTCTGTTCATTCTCAAGCCAGTGCAAAGGTTGTAAAGTGAAACATTAGCCCACCCATACGAAGTGCTCACTCTCCCTACCCCTATGAATAGAACCATAAAAAGTCCAAATATTGCCATACAAATAAGCCATCTTAACTTCTTGTGACAATATCTATCAGTACTATGTCGTTTTGCCCTCTCTTGAGATCGTCTCTTTAGGTCGCTAGGGCACTTGATCTAATTACTTGTTAATATTCTCTTGCTGTACCTTTTGCCCCTAGCCTCTAGGCCTCTAAAGCAGCTAAAGTGTGCACTTTGTTTTTTTCCTCTTTTCTTTTCCCTTTTTTCCCTTCTTCTTCTTCTTTTTATTTTATTTTTATTTTTTGCAACCCGGGTGATTGTGTATCATCGCCGGATTCTTACAAAACTACTAGTAACACGACAAAACTTGAAGACGCATTGCATTAATACCGCCAATGTGTAGCAATTTAGGGAGGAGATGTAGCGTATGAGAAATAATGGTTGTAAATGAGTGAATATTGAGACCGAATAGACTGAGTAACTACAGGTGGCCACCCAGAGTGCGAAACTTCCATTTAGGACCATGTTGAATGGGCCAGTCGTGTTGTGTAGTCTCCGTCACTTCACAACTCCCAAATAGTGACCAGAGCACGTCTCAGTGGATTCTGATCATCTCGCCAGTGGGTTCAATGAAATTGCCAGGCAAGTATCCTGCCCTACACGTTCGTATATCAAGTGCCCGTCTCTGTCTCTCTTGTTTGTCGATGCCACAATCAAGAGGTAGTGTTCTCTTACGTTGTCACCCAAAGCAGCGCTGACATGCTGTTTGCCTAACACGACACATTTTGTGGCAGGTTGCTGAGAGCCACCAGGGCGATCCAAAATGATCCTACCTTGCCCCCCGGGAAGATTGTAAGTATTGTAGTCTCTCGCTTCTGCAACCAAAGCCACGAAAACGCGCACATTTTGCATATCACTGCAACGGGTTTTCACGTTGCATTTGGCCCCCTATGAGTTCATCCCAGCTCGAGTGTATGATGTATCATGCATATTGAGCTACCCCAGATGATATATGGAAAAGCCTACATCTACCAGAGCCCCTCCCCCGCGCCGTCCAACGGTGCCCTTCTGCTCAAATTAAGTGCTCAATGTCACTTCTCTGCGTCAGGGTATTCACCGTTCCGTAACTATGGTTGCGAGTGCCTCGAAATCTACGCTATTTGCCTACCTCGCGAGGGGAGCGACTCCACGTCATCATCCACCTTCAGCGAAGAAACTAGGCAACATGAGATTTTCTGCCAGCTACGGGAATCGTTCATCAACTTCCAACTCAAATACCATAATGGATATATGGTACCCAAGATAGCCCACTAGAAGCCGGTTCGTCGTCACACAGGACGATGTCTCTTACTTTTCTTTCCCCGTCACCGATGTGCAGTTCGTCGTCGACCCACCGGTCTCGAAGCGCCCGGGCTGCGTGGTGCAGCCCACCACTGACAGACGCATCATCCATTTTGTTCTCGCTCATGAAGTCGTAGGTCATTGTAGCTATATCGACACAGAGCTTGTCGTCCACCTCCCAGAGGGTGCCAATCACATGCCGGAACCCTGCCAACTGAAACGCGCTCGTAAGGTGTATGCTTTCGTCCGCCGACTCTTCGTCCTTGTTCTGGCCGGTGCCGCATGCCGAGAGAAAGGCGAGGAAGGGTGCAACTGAGCCCAACTGGGTCTCAAGGAGGCTTGACACCGTCAAGGGATGCTGCTTCCAGTCTTCGAGACACAGTTGGCTCTGTAGCGGATCGGCATGCGTGCTACCGTGCCCTGCAAAGTGGAAGACTGTACAGTTGGCCAACGCTGAAAGAGTCTCGGCATGAGTAGCCCGCGGCTGGAGCGTCGACAACCCCATGCCAACACAAATAGTATTCACTGCGCTGATCTCCTCGGCGGCATACTGGAGTGGACGCTCGCCCGGCGTGTTGGTCATCGAGAGGAGAACGGCGCTGCCGCTCGATTCGCGGCTAGGAGCTGCTTTTCGCTGCTGGCGAGTGTGGCTGATCGCCTTGATGGTGGAACTGTAGGACGAGATAACTCTATCGAGTGCCGACTTGTTACCGGGTTGTGCATGATACCCTGCGGCATGGAGAGGGAACATGCTCAGTGGTCCTGTCGGAATCCACCAGACACGCGGCCAGGAGCTTGCGGGCGGGATTCCCGTGTATCCCAAAGCCTCCAGGACCGGTCCGACAACGACATCCCAAAGCCACTCCAGCGTTTCGGTGGACCCGCAGTCGCTCGTTCGCTCCATGATGGCCTCTTTGGAAAGATCTTGTAACTCCAGTACCCGGATACGCGACGGCTCAACGATGAGGGCATCACACCGATGCGAGCTGACGTTCAGGATGACAATGGGGCCAAAGGCTGCTGCCCCCATTATCTCGGCCTCCCTTGCCGGCAGCAAAAAGCCCTCAAACCCGGGCTTCTTCCGGATTTCGTCCAACAAGATGGCCATCTCGCGGGAAGCCTTGTGGCGTAGGTCGGCTGCAGCCTGCGCTGGTGGACCGGAAGCGGTCTCGGCCGCCTGAAGCGTATCGCGTGACGTCGGCGCGTCCAGTTGACGCCGCAAATCGTCAAAGGAGCCCGCCAGCTCGGGATGTCGTTCCCGGAGAAGGGAAACGTCGGTTCGCAGGTTCTGGAGGGAGCTTGCGATAACGCCTCGGCCAACCTCGAGAAGCTGGATGGCTGCTACCGGGCCCTCGCCGGCTTGTAGCGCAACAGCGGCGGCGTCGCAGGTGGCGCCGGCGGCATTGGCGAGAGAAACCTTCTTCTCGTCCGAGACAAGGGACAAGGGCGTAGATAATGGAATGAGGCCGACAGTGGTTTGCGCCATGTCGTACATGCATTGGCCACACTGGGTGATGTTGGGTATTGACAGTAACTCCCGGCCGGCGGCAATGCGAACATGAATGGCCGATGCTTCGCTGTGCAAGCTTTCCACAAACAGGGTTGTGGATTCCTGTAGATCCTCGAATGAAGCAGTACGTATGAATCTCTGATAGAGCAGGAAAGCAAGGATATTCAGCATTTTCCCCCGTTCCGGGTGGTTGGCGGATGTGCCTTCGATGGCTTGTCTGATGACCCCGATAGCTTTCCCAAGGTCTGCTGTCGCACCAGTCTCCTCGTACCTGGCGATCAGTTGGTATCCAAGGGTGAAGAGTGTTGTAGGTCGGTCCATGTAGCTATTGGGATTGGCCTCGACGGCTTGTTCGGCAATCTGGACAGCTTCTTCCGCGTCTTCCATCGCATGAGTGTGCACAGAGAGGTCGTGTAGTCGGTATGCAAGATTGTTTAGCATTGCTGCCCGGATAGGATGCTCCGGGGGAGAGGCCTCGACAGCTTGCCTCGCGAGACTGACGGATTCCTCCAGGTCCGAAAGCTCACGAGTGCGTGAGTATCTTTCTCCTAGCCGGTTGCTGAGATTGCTCAACGCTCCCACCCGGTCCAAGTGGTTGCCAGGGATGGCCTCGACGGTCTGCCTCGCGATCTCGATAGACTCTTCTAGGTCCATCATCGCGCCAGTGCGCTTGAATCTGTCGCTTAGTCGTATGCTGAGGTTGTTTAACCGTGCCAACCGATTGTTCAATCTTGCCGATGGGTTGTCATTGTTCTCGTTGGGTGTGGCCCTGAGAGCTTGTCTCGCAAGGTCGATGGCTTCCTCCAGGTCCGACATAGCGCCAAGGCTTGTGAATCTAGTATGCAACTGGATGCCCAGATTGTGTAACATGATTACCCAGTCAGGGTGGTCCTTGGGGGTTGCATCAATGGTTTGCCTCACAATATCGATAGCTTCGTCCAAGTCTGACACGTCACTGGTTTGTGAGTGTTTGTAACCAAGTAGGCGTCCCAGATTGCTTAGGAGAGATACTCGGTAGGGATGCTCTGAGGGGGCCATCGCTATGGCCTGTCTCGAGATCCAGATGGCTTCTTCTAGGTCCTCGATCGAAGCTCTGCGCTTGAACCTATCACCCAGCTGAGTGACAAGTTTCCCTAACAGTCCTATCAGGCTAGTTTGGTCGTCGGGGCCCGCCTCGATGGCTGCTCGCGTAAGGCGAATGGCATGATCGGTTTCCGCTGATGCGCTGGTGTACATGATTTTGTGCTGCATTGGAGCCGGAAAGCCGGTCGACCTAGCGGCCTCAACGGGATGATTGTCTGACGTGTCCTCAGAAGCTTGTCTTATTACTTCGAGGCCCTCTTCGAATTCGAGGATTCTTGTGGTGCTCAAATGCCGAGGTTTTGGTTGAGTATTTCCTTGGCCCTGATCGCTGGCAAACTGACAGCCCCCTTCGGTGCCGTCTTCACGATACAAGAGATGGACCTCCATCTTCCACACCACATTCACCCAGCCCCGACACTGAGACAAGGCAAAGACGGCGATTTCCTGACCCTCGGCTTCTTCAAGGGATTCTATCCACCCATCAACGTCGTTGATTGAATCGTCATCCTCGGCAGGTATTCCAATGTTCCATTCGTTGGTGTAGCACCGTACGAAACTGGATGCTCGCACATTTTTTTGAAAAATGTGTAGATCTTGATCGTCCGGTTCGTTCACATGGCCCATCTCCTGAAGACCTCCAAGTGCGAAACCGGTGTGCGAGACATGATGAGGGTCGTCTGGGTTTGGGTCATCGCCTGATGAGGATTAGCAGGCAATTTCTTGCCTTTACGCGGGACATGACCGGCAAAGCTAACTAACCTTGATCGTTGGACCATATTTTTATGGCCAGGCGCTGAAGTCGTCCACTTCCCAGCGTGAAAGTAAGATAGGGTGTCTTTGGCGTGTCGTGGAAGATTACTTCTTGTGCTGTACGAGCAATTATTCGATGCCGGGGAGCAGGCTCCGCAGCGCCCGTCTTCCCTCTCAAAGACAGACCGCCGTGTTCCATCCTTGATGAACAGTTTTGGTGACGAATGTTTGCTTGAGATGGCTACACTTGTACAGAATTACTCCCGCGGGATGGGCCACTAAGCAAGGAGCAACAGGATCGAGGTGCTTTTGGTAAACTCGTTTTGAGTTTCTAATTCTCCTTCATGCGGAGCGGGACTAGGCCTGCCATGCATCATCGTTTCGCAAGGGTTTACGAATACTGAGCCACGCAACGGCTGACATCCCCTCTCGTTCTCGTCTGCGCAATATGCATTAGAAATAGCCGAGCCACTCGCCTAACCCACTTTAGGCTGCCAATGAATGACATTGTCACGAAATGAGTTTACCCCTCTCCTTGTCCTAAATAGGTTGCTTTGGATACTCAGGTACGCTGTGCATACACACGCGTTGATGCCTCCCACACTTGTCTTTCTACTCAAACTGAGCGCGCTTGCCGATTACGACCTTCCTATCTAAGACAGCAATGATGATTCTGCCTTGTCCTGCTGCGTAGGGGTCCCGCTGCATAGCAGAAGGCGTTACATCTGGGCGCCAAAACCACACAAGGCAGAATGATGCCTGTGGAGCTCAGATCTGTTGGCGGTACCTGAGCAGGTCTTCAGAACCAGCGTCGCATGTTTGCCACGTCAATGTAAGGAAAAGGCTCAGAATCATGGAGTAACAAGCTGTAATTACATCGTGAAATATAGCCCCAGCTACTTAGTATGGGTGCGTATGGAAAAGTTCAAGCATGCCCAATCTTCTGATGCAACTTGATTCCCTCCGCGTTGGGCAGCCTCGTCGGATGCTCTTCGCTTAACCAACCCATTGAGTTTCGGGAGCTCCAAAGAATCAAACGAGGTCAACTGCAAAGTCACAAACACGAGGATTGTATCGTTGCAGTGTCGCTGCCCTTTCTCTCTCATCTCTTCGGGAACCTGCATTCTCACCTTCCACGCTTTTCTGGCCGTCCCTTGGTACGTCTTGTTTCCGTTTCGCGAGGGGAGAACGTGATGACTGCCACGAAGAATGTTCTCGATTTGCCAATTGGAACCCATGCTGTAGATGTAGACATAAAGCTCTCTATCTCCCAAGTTTTCCGCGATCAAGGTCACTACCTGGCCGTGAGTCGCTTGCACTATGGATCCCGGTGAGTGTGTATCTCCCGAAGCACCGACAAGCTTGATGCTGAATGAATCGTTCAGTAGGTTGTTAGGTGCGTCGTCTGTCAAGCCTTGAGCCATGTTGAATTTAGCCAAGTGCTGGATAACGTCACAAACATTGTCCGGAGTTGTCTCCGCTTGCGCCATGGCGGAAATGTTTGTAATCTCATGGCCTGACTTGTCGAGGATTTTGTACTGGCCGTCTTCTGCTGTGACGATGAATGCGAACCGAGATTCGTCATCGTCAACAGCGTACAACGATCGTTTCCGTAGGGCTGCGAACCACTCATCCCTCCATGGAATTGTTTTGGCAACTCGCACCGGATATTCGTTGAGGCGTTTCCTCGTCAGTGCGACAGCAGTCCACCAAGTTTGCGTACCCATGGCGGTAGAGTCTTGGAGCTCCAGCGTGGACTGAAAAGCTTTCGTGTGGGTAACCGTGGCAGTGAGGAGGCCTCGACTTGATGCCAAGGTGTGGTCTATGGAGCCGTGCGGGTATATGGCAAATTTGTCTCTGTCGCAAACCCCTTGAGCACGGCCGGCTTGTAGCTGAAGCTTCCCTTGTTTCTTCACCGCCTGGATTGGGACGGCCTGGACTTCTGAGTTGCTGGAGGTCAAGAAGCACTTGTCCTTGTTCCCGTAGAACATGGGATTTTGTTGTGGCCATGCCTCTCTGAATCTGATGCATAGGTGGTGGTAGATATGACGTTGTCGGTTGCCGATACCACCAAAACCAGTGAAGGTCCTGAGAAGAAAATACGAGAGCGCACCGTGTCTTTTCCCCCCAGGCAGCTGGATTTCCCTTGCTCTCTCATGCGGACCACAAGCTGTGAGGATTGTGTATCCAGCTGGGTCTACCAACCAGTTGGGCTGCATGGAGGTGTCGCGGTACTGTGGACGACAGACTCTGTCTCTGGATTCGAGACCCTCTAGCATAGCAGCAGGATGTGCTGCGTCTGTTTCGGGGTTATAATCAAGATATCGAACGGAAGACTCGTTGCGCGAAACACCACCAGAAAAACAGCAGTCTAGGACGACAGAGACCTCGAGTTTCTTGGCGACGAGATCTTGTAGCAAAGACGCAAACTCGAGACCATGAAGGTACCTGACCCCAGTTCCTTGCATATCACCCAACAGATCCAATGCGAGATCTCCTGAAGGTTCTGTTCTGGTTCCGTGACCGGAGTAATGGACATGAACGAAATCGCCGGGTCTTGCGATGGAGGAAACATGGTTGAACTTTGCTATGAAATTCTCGTATGTCGGCCACAAAGCCGGATCCTCGATGGGTAGGGGTGACTCTGTGCCACCGGGCAAACTCGCGGTGAGTGTATATACCTGAACGGTAGGCTGCTCACGCTTCAGATACTTTTCAATCTCTTGCACGTCTCGGACACAGCCTTTCAGAGGGGATTCCTTGTAAAAGTCGATGCCTATCAAGACTGCGAAATGCTTTGCAGCATCTAGGTGTCTGTCCATCCTCCGGCAGTGCCAGCCGCAATCGCAAGCTAGCGTCGTGCAGCCGTGGTAAATTGTTGGTTCTTGAATTGGAAAAGAGAGCAATGACGAAGATCAAATCAACCAAAAGCGAGATTTGGATGTTGTAATATCAAAGACGCTGTTGTCAAGAAGCGTGTATGGACGATCCACCAGTGATTATAGCGATGATGGTATTCGTGGTGAATGTGAGCAAAAAGGTCTCCTGCCTGGCTGGGCTGGCGATAATAAGGTATGTAAGGGGACCCTGGCGGGGTAACACAGGAGGAGACGTGACCCCCTGCCACGGAGTTACGCATGATTGGAAATCGTTGTGGCCCTGGTATGCCTCGTGGATCTCAGCCACTGATAATGATGTGATGCCACGCCGGAAGCCGGATCGACCGGTGGCGGCCTCTCTTCCCCTCCGTTATTACACTGAAACCACAGCTTCTCTGACTCCGCCCTTCGCGATAGAGTTTTCCATATATCTGAAGGGTTCCTTGGAGGTATAATAAGACATGGAAACGCGGCTTGACTATTTAGACACGTGTGAGATCGCCTTGGCTAGAACGTAGAAATACGGATTCTAATACGTAGTGGCCTAGCTTTGATCTCGAGTGGTATTATTTACTCAAGCTTCTTGTAAACCACCTTCCGTCAAGCTAGCCACATAGCGGTAGCACGCGTATACAACTGACTGTAGCATATGAAGATTTGTTTCAATCGTTCAATCACAATACCGGAGTAGCTTAACTTTTCGGGGCGTTGTCGCCAGAAACGAAAACAGTCAGGACGGTGGCAAACCTGTCTGCCTTGTCAGCTCAATCTTCCACGTCAAGGATTGCACCTACGTCGCTCCTGCTAGAATGAGCTCCATCATCTTTGAATTCGTCAACCGTGACAAAACGGACAGGTACAGAACCGTAGAAATCAAGATGATAGCCACGCGAGCCACCATGCTGTGAACAGCGATGCATATCACCACCGGTATCAGAATAAGACTTGTGATGAGACAAAGCATCAGCACTGGGGCACTCTGCTTAACCAGAGACCCAGAGTATATATACACATTCTCGTCGCTTGATTTATTGTGCAGAGGGCCCTGTTCCTATTGTAAGCTGGTTTCTATTAAGCTTTGACGGCGTTCTCTACCTTTCGGAAGCCTCGATAGTAGTGGATGAGTTTACCCTCCACCCAGTTTTCTAGTAGTTCTATTGCGCTGTCTTTAGGGGATGATAGAGTCGCCAGATCTTGTCTTAGTTCCAAGTACTCTGTCTCGCTCCTGCTTAAGCAACTTCTTCCCTGGAGCCAGTTCTGCAAGCTGAGTATGTCTTTAGGTGCTGCAGCACTTAGACTTAGGGCCTGACGGGTCCGATCAGTAAAAGAATCTGGACTTTGTTAGACTAGATGCGCGGGAAACAGTCGTTGATTCGGACCATAATCTACTAAGCCTGATTCTATTTCGTGGAGAAGAGCACGACGAGCTTCGTTCTTGTCGCAGCGGCTTTTGCCAAGAAACAAAGGCGACTCTTCGTCCTCATCAAGTTGGTCCAGTTTCGCTTCGAGGACAGACAGATTGTCTTGTTTCAACAAGAGGATTCGGGCGCGAAGCCGCAAAAATCGCCTGAATACAAAAAAGGAATCATCGGCTGCTACAAGCGCAGCAAAACGAGGGTATCCGGCTGGATAGTCTTCGACTACAAGCTTGTGAGATTTTAATGCATGTGAGTTTGGAAAACGGTCTTACTTGTCGTCCCGCCTTGAAGTACTTCGGTCACAGGGCACCCCTTTTCCAAATCAACGGAACTTTGCATGGATGGCCGCATTTTCCAGCCGGCACTGGGAAAACCAACAGTGCTGTATCTGTATCGTGTTCTACCCCTCCCCAACCTCTGGAAGAACACAGTCGGCTCCGCGCTTCCTATGGTAGTAATATGAGGAACCTGGTGCGGTTTGCTGAGTCAGGATGCAGCATTCCGGTGAGCAAGACTAGCGCAGTATCCCTGCTTAAGGCAGCAATGCAGCCGACTGCATCGCCACGCTCACTGCCCTCGAAGAGGTTAGTTTCGGATGGTACACAGGGCAGACTACGGCTCACTAGGAACTACAAAAGTGAACGTAAGCAGCAATGATCCGAGGTGACCATCATGCACGATAGCCACCAAGGAGAAAGGTCCCCTCCGGTCCACTACTCATCAGTATCAACTGCGATAACCCAACACGTGCAAGATGAGCAGTCCCACACGGTGAACATTTGTTGTGCCCATACCTTTGATTCTCAGACTAATGCTCTACAACCAGAAGGAGTGAGAGCCCGGAGTTCTCGGTATGCGATGACGACGATGGCCGCGCCAGGATTACAGCAAGTAATATCGTAAGTCGGTCTTCTGTCTTATTGCAGGATTTCCACTAAGATTTATGGGCAGAAAAACAAGTTCTGGGTGGGTGACTTGGTGTACCTACGCACTCCAGGCGGGGGAAAAGAAGGTCCCTTTCTCATCGAAACTGTACCTGCTGCGGGAAAGTACACTCTCTGTACCGAAGCTGGTGTCTCTGTCAGGAAGGGTGAGCAATTTGAGGAGAAGGACTTGGACTAGGCAAAATGTGTGCTATGCCTAAACTTGGCTGTCTACACTCTATCTATAAGCCACTGAGTGTGGAGAGCCTGTAGGGCCCAACAGGTACTGATTTGTCTAGGACTCCTAGTTAGACAAGATTTATAGGCATGCTACACCAAAGAGGAAGGCTTCTTAATAAATAGAAAAAAATATATAATAACGTAATTAGGCTAAGGGTGTGTTGTGAGGACATGATAGAGAGCACGCTTTGCGAATTGATCAACGAGGCAAAACCGACACAAATCTTTCCAGTCGTGACTTCTGTGGCCCTCCACTCAACCGCAAGCTCAACAGAGAGATTAGCAAGAATCATTTCAACCCGGACAAGACGGGCTTTCTGCCTCAACATCGGCTTACTATCTTTCTATCCACAAAGGCCACAGAAAAGGAGTTGAGGAGACGTGATTCGTTCCTCAGACGAGAACCAAGTCTACGACGTCTTAGATTCTTCTCCCGGGACGGTGACGTGCATCTAGATGAGCGCATTCGAGCTCAAGCCCTCAAGATTGCCGGCAGCACCGATGAGGCTTGTCAACTAGAGTTGCCGGATGCCGCAAACCAGAACACCTCTCACACAGATAACCCGACAAAGCGAAAAGTCCTGCTTGAGGATTCTCGCGATTCTGATTTTGATCGAGAGACCTGGTAGAATCAAACTGTTCATGGACTCCGGGGTATGTGACGCGGATCTTCCACTCGTCAAGCACTCTTCGGAGGAACAGATGGATCTCCGCAGAGCAAGTGCTCCTGAAATCTCACTAGATTGCTTCCGAAAGTGGTCCCGTAGCACCATTGATAGGTTTGAACAATGGCAATGGGCACTTCTTGCTCCGTCATTCGACCGTCCGGAGACAAAAAATGTACCTCATCATTCCTTCGACAAGGCCAAAATCTTGCCCTTTAGATTTCTGGATAATCAACCCGACAGAGAAGGAGGCTTTGGGACCGTTCGTAAGGTGGAAATACATCCAAACCACCACAGGTTCACAAACGATAAGGTAAGCATAATCCACATAGACCATTTGCATATGGGCTCTTTCCTGCCCTGTTGCCGAAACTGCTTATCATATGATTCTGTAGACGTCAAACTGCTTCTATGCGGTGAAAACATTAAGGGACACGCAGAAAAGGCAACTTCGAGAGAGGGGTTGCAACATTGAAACGGCTCAGTGGAGACGTCCATCCACATCTTATCTAACTCTTGTGAACATACGAGAAAGATGATCAGTTCCATCTCATTTTCCCATGGGCAGAAGCCGATCTCTTGAGCTTTTGGGAGAATGACAAACTTGATTCAGCATTCGGCCCCAGAAATTCTTCGGAGACCTTGCTCTGGGTTGCGAGACAATGCCAGGGCCTTGCGGAAGGACTTGGATACATTCACCGCCGCGACACATCTTCCGGCTTTTCCTTACTGAACCCGACGTCGTTTCCTCTAACCCAGCCGGTGAACGGCAATGAGGGATCCAACCAGCACATGATTAGGGAGCCGCTTCGTCTATTCGAACGTCACGGGGATCTCCAACCGGGGAACATTCTTTGATTTCCTCATTACGTTTCCCCCGGTAGCGCAACGAAAGGAACTCTAAAGATTACAGACTTCGGTCTCCAGATTTTAGTCAGAAAGAGACTGTTGATAGACGCAAGCGCGTTCAGCCCCACACATATTCGCCCCCCGAAGCAGCTTTGGAAACCTATCTGCTCAGTCCATCTTACGATATATGGTCTCTGGGATGCATCTACCTGGAGTTCATAGCATGGTGGCATGGCAGTTGGAGTTCTGTCCTCGAATTTGGGGACTTACGACTGCAAGCTGACCAGACGTCATCTGTTTGGCAAGGAGTAGGTTTCAAGTCCGATATCTTTTTCACCCTGCTGGATGTTGAAGGGGAGGAAACTCGTGAGGCTGTGGTCAAGACTTCAGTGACGAAGGTGCGGTCCTACCAAAACGACGGCATCCCATTGGCCATACCGCTTACTCCTGTGTGCCTAGTTCATCGACAAATTGAAGGTGGAGCAAAAGCAAAATCGTCTCATCTGCGACTTCTTGGACTTGATCAAAATGAAGATGTTGGTAGTCGGAGGATCAGCGGAGAACTCGGCGAGCATGGGTCGGACATCCTCAAAAAGAATTGGAGAGTTTATTGAAGAGATGCGCAAAAAGGAGCCACCCTGACAGAATTGTCCCAAAACAATACAGGACCAGGAGGATGAGTGATTTAATTAGTTGCTTATTTCATCATAATTTTACACACATTAACCCTAGTAAACATGAGGGACCCGAATTTGGTTCCTTTATGCGTGCCATGCTCCGTCTTTTGTCCGGTCCAGGTGGTTTGCCTTATGACTGCGCCAACAACCACACGCTAGCCGTTGCCGGCTGACCAGCATTCGGGGCTCCCTGTAAAACCTTACGGTACGTAACCCACTTGGAATCATAAGGTGTGTTGGCAAGAAAATAGATACTATCCGCAATCTATGTTCAAGGCGTTTGCCCTCAGGAGGTTGCGATCGTGAAGCTGGCCAACTGTTTGGGGAATTTGCAGTTGAAAGAGGTTTCCCCAGGATACTGGGAACGATCTAGTGTCTTATGCTTCATGTCAACATTTTTTTACCGGTGTTGTTGAGCGGATTCGAGATTGTGGACAGAGTAGATTAACCTGAATTATGAGTGTTGTAAATTTACCATCGCGGTTACCATGCTCATCTCAGGCATCACTTAGTAATATCAAAATCAACCACTTTTGGGTAAGCCCTGAATTGAGTGAAAGGCACATGGACATCGTGCTGTGTTGCTAATACCTTGTTGACAGAAGGAGCCGATCCACGGGTCCTGTAGTTCAGCATCAGATAGACACTTGGCACAAATGATTTGGAGTGGTAATTGTGGTATATTGCATGGGTCAGGGCCTTCTATTTCATGCCTTACAAGTAGGTAGAGCGTTGGCCCATCCGATACGGCATTATTTGAATTCGGGGTCAAGCGGTACCCAAAGCGGTCTTCAAGTTGGGCAGTATGGCGTTTTTAGGACAGGCTAACATTGTTGCCTGCTTCGATACGTTCTGTAACACAAGATCGATAATGATCGTCGTTTATAGTAAAACGAAATGTACTCGGTGTTCCATACGGTTCCGGTCAAGCTTGTGATGCAGAAGTAGGAGGATAAAGCCGGGTGCGTGGCGGGCCACCAGGCTGCTGAGCCAAGAAGAAGAAGGCGATTCTGGTCACTCGGCCGTGAAGGATTTGTGTGTCTTAAAGTAGGCTTCTTTCATTTGCGGTGGTATGGAATCGTCATATCAGCCGGCAATTATTTGGCGACGCGGTAATGAAGTGCCCGGCGGGTCTAAAGACCGAGACCTGCTTCTTCGGCTTTTCTTGCGAGGAAACGAGAAGACTGCCTCTGTCACAGGTCCCATATCTGCCTGAGCCCAAGAATAATGTAGATGTTCGCTGCGGCAGGAAAGAAGTACAAAATAAGACCACTCAAGTTAGAGTAGAATCTGGATTACGTCAAGGAGAGACTGCAAGCCGTTGTAACGATAGCTCTTCATAACCAAAAACCAAAAAGAAAAAGAAAAGACGACAACGCCATCTTTTTGCTTGCCGTCAACCTAGCCCATGATGGAAGTCTCAAAAATCCCAGATCTGTGGTTCAACGGCCAGTATCGTAATTTTCCTCGAAGCTGCCTCCCAGTCATCGAAATAATTGCCACCACCGATATGCAAACACGCAAAACGACTCGGGGCTGTAAGAATGAAGGACTAGACTTCTCAGCGCTAACATGACAAACATTTCTCGAAGCGTGGAGGTCCCACAGGCGCCCCCCAACGCATTCCTTTCAGGTCCCCTCAAAGCCCGTCGTTCTTTTGCCACTAAATGCCGTTCGAGACTAGAACCGGCTTTTGACCCATCTCCCCGCTCTGCTCTCGGCCCTGTAAGAGGCACATGATGGAGTAGAAGTCAAAAGGAGCTTGAGGGCGTCTCAACGACGCAAGCGGTTAACTCATAAGACAGCGCCAATGTCCTAAAAGATGCCTCCCGAGCTGCTGATCGGAAGATCTGGCCCTACCTTCTGAATTGCTTTCGACATTAGAACTTGTCCGGAAAGGGACTTTGTTCACGTTGACATCCATGCCTTCGCCCAATCCTCGGGTTGCGGAGCGCTGGCGACCCAATACAGACGATAGTTTTGGATGCCGTACATCAGTTGATTCAAGCCGTACATGGTAGGTAAGTATCTCAGCGTTTGCATCTATAGATAGATACCCTTGTTCGTATCATGGGACCCCTGGTCTAGGCAACCCTTACAATTGCCTATCTAGCGGCGTAGAAGAGGGCTGTCGGATTCACGAAAAAAGTACGATGGGGTGGTTGGCACCACGAATCTGCTGAGGCTCGCTCTGCTTGTTATATTAGGCCTTGGCGAGAATCCGATCATATCGGCCAAGGTGGTCTGGCTGGATCTTCCGCATCCGGCAAGCCATTTCGCCCCATCCTACCGTGGCTTACACGAAGCCGCCTCATCCGCGACCGCTGATCCGAGTCGAATAGCTGCCCATATCTGTTGCCTTTACCTAGACTTCGCCTTTGTGTGAAGTGTTTCCCTCCTCCTACCTCCTCCTCCCCGCGATATCGTCCCCAGACTTGGTCTAATTCGCAGAGCTCCATAGAGTCACAAACTTCCCTCTTGTCCGTCATGTTTTGATTGTTGCAATAGTTGATACCCCCCAGCGAACTTACTTGCAATGAAGCCCTTTACCTGGGCCCTTTCGTTTTTATCCTGTCTGTCGCTTGTGTACGGCCTATACGAACATGTTCCAGACTGCGCTGTGAGTTCGCCTGATCTGTCCCTTCTCGAGTCTCTGATGTCAGTCCCTTGCGGCCTGACTCTAACAACCATTGTCTAGTTGCCATGTCTCTTCGAACCGCTCGACCACACGCCTTGCGATTTCTCGAACTCCACATGTCTATGCCTCGACATGAGTTACAACATGGCCGTCATCCACTGCGTCCGCGTGCAATGTAGTGTCCAGCAGGCATTGAGTAGTTTTCTCCGCGGCCAATATGTGGTTTGTCAGGACTGACGATGCATCGACAGTGACGAAGAACCGAACCTGGGAGGACTGCGGGCTCGAATATCACGATGAAGGCGCCGCGATCTTCTGGGTTCCCGCGTTTCTTTTCGGCTGCGTCACCCTATTCTTCGTGGCTCGGTTGGCAACGAAATGGATGGGCCTCTCAACATGGGGCTGGGACGATTGGACCATCTTGTTCGCATACGTACGTCGAGGCCTCCTTTGGGCGAAAGGCAGAAGTGACATGACAGCTGACAATCAGTTAACAGTGCATGATGATTGCGTTTTTGGTCGCGACAATAGTAGGAAGACAGGAAGGATTCGGAAAAGACATCTGGGCGCTCACTGTGTCACAAATCACCTCCTTTGTAAAGGTAAGGGCAGCGCCACGCCTGCGCGTACGATCAGTATGGCTGACCTTGGATCCCAGGGCTTCTTCGCATTCGAACTCATGTATTTTGTGACTCTGGCGGTTATAAAAGCCTCGATCCTATTCCTCTACCTACGAATATTCGGCGCCATCACGGACGTATTCCGCCAGATTCTTTGGAGTACACAAATCTTTAACGTCGCCGTATGCATCACCTTCATCATTGTGAACCTTAATCAGTGCAAGCCTCTTAGCTACTTCTGGTACGGATGGGACGGGAAATACCCTGGATACTGCATCGATCTATCCGCCATGACGCTCTCGCACGCTTCCCTTAACATCGCCATCGACGTATGGATGTTGGTTCTCCCGGCAACACAGATCTATAAACTCAACTTGCAGAAGAGGCAGAAGGCGGGTATTATGTCCATGTTTGGCGTCGGTATCTTGTGAGCACAGCCCTATGCCCTCTCCACTCTCATCCATGGGTCTAACACGCAGCAGTATCACGGTTGTCAGCGCCGTGCGTCTAAGGAGCGTATCGGTCTTCAACAAATCGTGGAACCCGACATGTAAGTACTGGTACGGATGCCCCGTTCAGGACGCAGAACTCACGTTGTTGCCAGATGACTTTTTTGGCCTTGCACTCTGGTCACACATCGAGCTGTGTGTGGGCATGGTGGTCGCATGCATGCCGGCGGCCCGGACTCTGGCTAGACGCCTCTTCCCAGACCTTCTCTACGTCACCAACCTATCGACTAACAGGGGATCGACTAGAGCGTCGGGGAACGTCAAGATTGTGTCTCAAGACATTGCAACGATCGTCACCGACGAAGCCCCCGAGTCTTCGACCGCAAAGTCCAAGCAGAAGGGCTCCCTCGGCAGTGTAACACCAGACCGCGTGCCCCTGCGGCGACTGACGACGGATAGCGTTCTGGAGATCATGCCCAGCGAGCCGTCTCAGTCATTATACGGCGGGTCGTGTCGAGACAGAAAGATGAGTGATTGGTAATTGGTAGCGACAGTCGGAACACTATGAGTTTGGCATTATGACGACTACGCGGGCTCGAGAAAAAGCCTTCGGCAATACCCCCTCTCGCCCCCTTTTTTGTATTACACGATGTTAGATGACTGCGTAATGCATTATCTACAAAGTATTCCCAAAACTCTTTTTTGTAGTCACAATTCAATCACATTCAGTTAGACACGCAGGATCTCGGCGGCGCGAGACACCGCCAAAGCGCTCTTCTCGACCCATTCCCGTGCCTGCTCCTCGTTGCCGGAGCTGAGACTGTCCTGCACAGCGGGAAAGACGTCGGCGCCGTACCCGTTGTCCAACCCGGGAGCGCTGATGACGTTGTGAAAGGTCGGGCGGCCCGGCAGGCCCCCGGCGCTCGCGAAGCCGCGGGAGAAGTCGCGGTACTTGCCGTTGATCGTGTTGATGAGGGCCGTGTCGTTGAAGGCGCGGGCCTGGTTGGCGACGGTGGCGATGCGCTCGGCGGCCGACTCGAACTCGGCGATGGCACCGCCGATGGGGGAGAGGTCGAGGTCGGGGTAGTCTCCGGCTAGGGTCTCGTTCAGGTCCTCGTAGTGAGTCCGCAGCACGCGGCCGGCGTTGGGGAGGTCCCATGGGATGATCACGTCGTCAGCGATATGGTAGGCTATCAAGGTGAGCCACTGGCCCATCACTCGGTGTATCTTGAAGCCAGGATCGCCAAACTTGGCCATCCAGGTGTACGAATCATAATGTCTGTTCCGTATTAGCCTGGATACAAGCACTCTGGCAGACACTTGCGGAGACTTGCCCATGGTAATGGTACACGGGGTCAGCCTTCCCCCCATCGGACCCGATATCGATCTGCAGGGAAAGGTTAGTATCTAATGCCCAGCCGCTATTTTACTGTTGAACCTACAGCACTGATACCATTGTGGTAGAAGGCGGCATAATCGCTTCCACTCCCTAGAGGAGGGATTTCTCCCTCGGTAGTGTTGAACCACATGTCGTACAGGGTCGGGCCGACGCCCCAACCTTCAGGGAATATAACCTTCTTCATCATCTCAATTGCAACAGTCTGAATCTCTCCGGAACCTGAAAGTGCTGTGCGCGGTCCCGACACGGCAACGTCCAGGTTCAGGTAGGCGACGGCGTTCGTTACCAGCCAGGGCAAGTGACTCTCGACCCATTCGGTCGAGCCCTGCAAGCCAAACTCCTCAGCATCCCAGGAACCCAGGATACTGCGAGTTGTGTTAGTCGGACTGCATATTTGTCTTATAGTGTCAGCGCTGGCGACACTTACATGGTTCGCCGAGGCTTCCACCCCTTGTCAACGAGCTTTCCGAAAGCCTTGGCCAGTTCGATGAGGACCGCAGAGCCGGAGTTTGGATCCGCGGCGCCACCAATGACCCACGCATCGCGATGGTTGCCGATGATGAGGACTTCGTCGGGATGGGTTCCGTTGATGATGCCAATGACGTCCCATGAGGGCGCCACACTCTGGTTCATGAAATGCACCATGTCAAGGGTGGCCCCAGTCGCCGGCCCGCTGCTGTAAGTGATGTTCGGCAGCGCGCCAACCCAGCCGGTACGGTTCACTTGCCTTGCAGACAGTCCACTTCCGTCCAGCGCGGCGAGAAGGGGGGCCGCGTCTTTCATGCTGATAGGGACGGACGGGATCGTTGGGTTGTAAGGGGTCACGTCGTTTCTCGGGCCGTCTTTCTCGGACGCATAGCCGACGGTGGAGGGGTCGCCAGAGTATAAAGAAGAGAAACGGACGCTGCCTCGCTGGATCATGGAAGGGTTCCGAGCGGGGCCGTCTGCAGCACATAATCCATTAGCTCTGCTGTTGGGGTTGCCAACTAGTTTGGAAATCAAGAACAAAGCCGACCTGGGTACGCGAGATAACCGTTGGCGACTGTGATTTCACCGTCGTCAAGGGGGTCGGTGAAGAGGACCGCTCCGATCATGCCGTTGTCCTGAAGAAGCCGGGTTAGCAACCACTCGCGGCATCTTCGCAGGGAACCCATACCTGGGCGTTTTTGACCTTGGTGCCTCTGTAAATGCCGCCGTACATGGAAAGCGCGATTTTGCCTTTCAGTTCTATACCGGCACCTTTCAAGGCCTTGAAGTCGGCTTTCTGACCACGGCTAATACGAGTCGTCAGTCCTTGAAGATTGGCTTCAGGCCTTTGCGAGTGAGACTTACCCAACATAGACATATTCGGCACTGATGTTGCCGCTCCCGCTCATCGCGTGGTAAGCAGGAATTCGGTTTGGGTAGCTCGTTGTGGGATCCTCCTCTAGCATATCCTCTATCAAGCTGACATGATGAATGCTCCCGTCTGGCCTGTTTAGCCTCAACGTGGTCTCTATTGGCGCAGTGTACCAGATCCAGTATTCTTTAATGGATGCATTCCACCCAGCACCGGTCCATTTCTGCTGTGTCCACTCGGCCTGGGTCCGGTTGTGTCCGCCCAGATGATCGCCAGACGTGTAGTAGTGAGACCACTCGTCCAACGACTTACTGTCGAACGAATTCACGAGGATTGTCTCATATTCCGTGAGAAATGGCGGGTATTCAACAGCAAGATCGCGCTTTTTGTGTCCATGGCCATGGTGACTGTGACTGCTGATCCGTTGGTTGAGGGCATTCCAGTCACGCTGGCAAGCTTCTATGCAGGTAGTCGCAGAGGCGACAGCTATCAGAGTCCAACGCATGCTGAGGCTTGTACCGACGCCGCCGTGTATCGGATGGTAGCGCTGATCCTGTATTCTAGGTGTTTCCGGACTTTCTCAACAGCCATAGGAGGATCACCCACCCACCGATATTTATAGGCGGTTCTCAATGCCACAGCTCTGTGCCATCATCATCAACCCCTCATCTGAGCTTCCCACAATTCAAATAGGCGAGCGCAATCAAGGCATAGAGCGTTCGATGGCACCAGTCAGTGCCGGGGATACACTCCCCCGGCCCGGCCTCCAAGTAACCGCAACAACAATTGTCTTATCATGATTGCGTGACGTACATTGAGCTTCCTATCCGGAGTAGCGTTCATGTAGTGCAACATGAACAAGCGGAGAATCAAGGGAGTCGCGGTGGTCGAGATGCAGCTTACATCTCTGGGAGGATTGGTTGCCAGTGAGGGGTAGTTCATTCCTTGATGACCTCGGGCGTGGGGTAAATCTTGGCGTGCGTAGTCACCCGCGTCGCCAGTAACTTGACGCCTTTTGGTTCAACTTCTTGCATATCATGGATTCGGAACGAAGTGAAGGTTCAAGCAGGACGACTACATTCACATCATTGCCGCCATCAGAGTCTTTGGGCTAGTCACTGGCGTATCGACACGAGGACGTGGAAACCACCGAGAGTCTGATCAGGACGGCCGGATAACTCTGTGCTTCGATTTACTAGGAAAACGGCGCTTTTGAAATCAAGATGGAATCGAACAAAGGGTCCTTTGAAACTGTGCTAGAATCGTGGTGATGCGAGCATGGAGATTGGGCGCTTCGATGACAAGCACCACCGCTACCGATTTAAGCTAGTCCGGGGCGTCTCTTGGATGAAGTAAATGGACGCTTCATGGGCGGGCTAGACGTCCATCGAGCACAGATGTCAAAGCTAGTGCAGGAACAGGCGTGTTCTAAGCGGACGGACTAGACGTGCGCTTCAAGTAAGAGTGAGATGGGAATGAGAGGCAAAGTGAGGATGAGAGTAAGAGTAAGAGTAAGAGTGAGAGTCAGAGTATAAAGCCTAGAAAATAAGGTTGAAGGGGGAAGTGCTGGAATGCGGAGTTCCCAGTGCACACACACGAGCTGTTACAGCTATACAGGCTTGCTCTATCAGAAGGTACTAGAGTCTAGGTTAGGCTTACGTCTAAAACAAAGTATCTCCGGATAGAATCCCCCTAGCAGCTGCACCCCAGATGCTGCGCCGCGTCCAAGCGTCATCGTGCTCAACCAAGCCCCAACCTCCACCAAAGAAAGCTCCGAGAGCTCCCCCATCAAATCACCAACCCAACCCACCTACCCGATCCAGCCTTCGGTCAACCCGCCCAACATCTACGGATAGATTGGATCTCTTTCTATCACTTATCACCATATCTTGATACTCAGCTGGCTGGGTTAACCGATCGACCATCTTATCGTCTTTTTTTCACCTATATACAGCTCTCGCCTCAACCCCGTCGCCATGTCGGAGAAGGCACCTCTCATCTCGGAGCAACGCGTCTCCCACGATCCGCCGACAACGCGGTGTCCGTACGCCAAACGGTGCTCCGTTGGCAGAGTCATCGTCAAGGTCTTTGTCCTTGCTACCGCTGCCAGCTTCCTCTACTCCCACTTCCCCAAAGGTTGGTTGTAAACCGTTGTAGGTCTCCATTGCACGTTGTTGACGTTTGTTTGTGTAGCCCAGAATGACTTGCACGAGAGCAAGACCCCGGTTTGCATGACTCCCGCCTGTGTCCATGCCGCCTCTGAAATTCTATACAATCTGTCCCCCGACTACAAGCAGCTCGATCCATGCAACGACTTCGAAGAGATGGTATGCGGTGGATGGAGGGAGAAGCATGATCTTCGTGCGGATCAGGGCGATGCCTTCACTGGCACCATCATGTCCGAGAACTCGGAGCTCCTGCTTCGTCACATTCTAGAGGCTCCTTACCCCAAGGACTCGCAGGTAACAATTCCATTGCTGCCAATGTCCGAAAACACACTGACCGACTTTTCCACCAGCATTCCTCCTTTTCGCCACTCCGGCTCGACGCCACCGACAAGTCCGCGGACGAGCAGAATTTTGATAAGATGAAGACTGTTTACGATGCCTGTATCAACGAGGAAAAGATCAAGAGCATCGGAATCGAGCCGCTCTCTCGCATTCTGGACGATATCAAGAACACCTACCCGATTGAGGGTGCTGCCTCAGTCCCTGGACCGACCAAGGATGCCATCCTTCTTCTGGCCAGATATGGCGTCGGCGCGCTCGTCTCGACAGGCACTGGTGCAGACGACAGAGACCCCGACACGGTTGTCGTATCTGTTGCCCCCGGGAGACTGGGACTCCCCTCCAAAGAACGTTACGAAGACGATAAGCTATTCGAGAGATACCGTGACGTTGCTGTCGAGGTTCTCGGGAACCTCTTCCCCGACCAGAACAAGGACAACTTTGTCAAGGTCGCAGACTTCGAGAAGCTTCTGGCGGCCGCCTCACCGAGCACCGAGGAGCGCGAAGACGTCACTGTGAGTACCTCGTCCACCAGACCAGGATTGGCGTGTCCACTAACACGACGGCAGAAATACTACAATCCCATGTCGATTGACGAGGCTTCTGCCCTTACGCCCGAGATTGAGCTGACGGCACTTATCCATGACCTGGCCCCCGAAGGCTTCGTCGTGCAGCGCGTCATTGTCATGGCACCCAAGTACATGTCGGAGCTGTCTACAATCCTCGCTGAAACCGACAAGGAGATCATCCAGAACTACTTTATTTGGAAGGCCGTTCAGTCATTCTCCTCCTACGTCGATGCGGACGCCGTCAAGCCCTACAGGCGTTTTGTTAACGAGCTTGCCGGAAAGGTCGGCTATTCTAATTCTGTTTATAGTCTCTTCCATCGCTAACTATTGCAGGACCCCGAGTCCGTCCCCGAAAGGTGGCGAACCTGTGTCGGTCACGTCGACAACAGTTTGGGCTGGGTTCTGAGCCGCTTCTTCGTCGAGAAAGCCTTCTCGGCCGAGGCAAAGAAGTTTGGCGACACTATCATCACCGACATTAAGACTGAGTTTATCAAGAAGATCAAAGCCGCAAAGTGGATGGACAAGAAGACGACTGCCAAGGCAGTTGACAAGGTCCACAACATTATCCAGAAGATTGGCTACCCGACCAAGAGCCCCAATATCATGGATCCGCCTAGCCTGAACGACTTCTACAAGTCCGTCGACGTCAGTCCCGAGACCTTTTTCGACAACGCCCTCGCCGCGCGAAAGTTCGAAGTCGGCTACGAATGGTCAGCCCTCGGGAAGCCTGTCGACCGTGATCAGTGGGACATGACAGTACCCACGGTTAATGCCTACTACAACCCTCCTGGCAACGAGATTGTCTTCCCTGCCGGCATCATGCAATTCCCGGTCTTCGACGTCGACGTTCCTGCCTACATGTCGTACGGCGCCTTTGGGTCTGTTGCCGGGCACGAGCTCAGCCACGCCTTCGACTCCACCGGTCGCCACTTTGACCAGAACGGTAACTATACGGATTGGTGGTCCGACGCCACCGTCAAGGCATTCGAGGAGAGGGCAGAGTGCTTCGTGGACCAGTACCACAACTTCACGGTCCCGGGACCCAACGACGAGCCGCTCCACGTCAACGGCCGCCTTACTCTGGGCGAGAACCTTGCCGACGCTGGGGGGCTCTCGGCCTCGTACCAAGCGTGGAAGCACCGGGCGCAGAAGCACCCGAACAAGGATCTGCCGGGTCTGGAGCACTTCACGCAGGATCAACTCTTCTTCGTCACCTACTCCAACTGGTGGTGTGGCAAGTCGCGCAAGGATACGGCCATCAACCGTATCTATACTGATCCTCATGCGCCCAAGTGGGCCCGTATCCTTGGCACAATGGCCAACAGTCGCGAGTTCAAGGAGAGCTTCCAATGCAAGGACAAGAAGCCGACTTGCCAGATGTGGTGAGGTGTGAAAAAGCGTGATGCCTCTTTCTGTCCGTAGGGACAGGGGAATGGTTACGTAACGCAATGGGGTGTAGGAATATAGAGTGTGGGATGTATCACAGATTGAAGTCTTGTTGAATTGGACATTGTCTTAGCTGGAAGACACATAACCACTGAGGCGGTGTATTTGGTGAGGCGTCATCCGGTGCTTCACTGCTCATATAGTGAAGTGGGCGAGTTGAGGTATTGAAAAGGGGGTACGTAATCCTTGACTAACGAATGCAAGACCCAAGATCGACACTCACTAGTTGATCTCCCCTGATGAAAGTGACGAGGCTGCTGGGTTGACACGGTGGGCAACATCCTCGACCGGCTTCGATGACGCCGAGCTCATTGCGTGACATCCGGCTCAAACTGAACAGCGCACAAACACGTCCAGCCAGTGTTCTAAATTTTAGCTTATCACAAGCCCCATGTACACAGCATGTAGAGACACACCCTATTACTACTCAATATCTAGTAAGAGTAAATACTCTTATATCTTGATAACATTAATCTAGGGATATATCTGAGAGGCCGGGTAGTTATGCAGAAGTACCCTTACTCTAAAATCATAAGGAAAACAACCTTTATGTGGGTTTCTGAATTGATTCACAACGCTAGCATTTAGACCCCCGACGGACGTGTAGGTATATCTCTTGGACTTCCGAGGTGTGGTTTTAGGATGGACACCTTTGTGCCTCCCGTCTTAACCGTGATGTCTTGGGGTAAGACATCAGATTTCCCGATTCCTAATATAGCCATGAGTGACGAATCTCTCGGCTTAACACCAAAGCGGACGGGTTATCGTAGAAAGAGACGCAATAGATGTTATGGAAAAGTGCCATGGGCCGACCAACCATACGATGGATGCGGGTATCAGGAGAGACCTCGGATGACGAATCATCCTCCCGCGTGATTTCAGAGGCAAAGCAATGTCATGTATATTACAATCTAAGAGGTCAGACCGATACCACCGTGCAAAGAGGCCTCGGGGATACAGAGTGAATCAACTGATACACGCCCTCTAGGGGTCTCGCAATTTTCTGCTACGTGCATGGCCGCTCTCGCCTTGTCGTTGTTAGTCTAGACGGGGCCATCGGATCGCAAAGGCTTTATCGACGAGAAGATTATTTGAAAAGCCGCTCCAAGGAATCCAGTATTTCCAATACATTGCCAAACGACAGCTTTGATGGACGGAAGCCCGTCGACCCGTACCAAGACGTCGCCGCCCAGAGTCAGAGTGTGTGCACTTCTCATCGCGGCCCCCTCCCGTTGCCGGTTTGTTATTTTTATTTTCTTACTTGGTTGTTTGTTTACCGCGAAATAGCTTCGTAGTTCTCGAAATAGCTGCGACTGTAGAGGTCACAAACCGCTTCGACCCCCTTGACAACCGCCTGTGGGGTCCTTATTGCTTGGCACAGGCCGGTTCGCGATAGCTTTCCCCGTGATTTCATCTCCTTTATCTTTTTATCCACATCGCTTTTTTTTTTTCACCCTTTCCAAATTTTATTGAGGCTTATCTATCGCGGAGACGCGGGGGAAGAGAGGCCAATAATAACCCGGAGATGAAACATGTACGCATGCGAGGTTCGCGGACCTTGAGTGGACCGTGGGGGGAGGGGGCGTGCAAAGTGGTATTACACGGTAAGCTGTCCGAATAAGCGTGTGCACCTTGCGAGAAAGAAAAGACAGGTGCAGACGAGAAAGCAGGGCCCCTTAGGTCCAGAAAGATGCTGCGGAGACGGTGGTGATGGAATCCGAGGTTTTGTTGGTCCAAGAGAGAGATGTATGTGCCTCCTTGAGACGCGGCCGGGACAGGGGTGGGCGGCGTTTCGTAATTTTCCGACGTTTCTATATTTGAACCTGGACCCGAATCTGAGGATTTGACGAGTTTTGGATCTCGTTGTTTTTTTTGTTTTTGGCGTGGTCCTTTTACCCCTCGGTCTCTCGCCCCCCCTTTTTCCTAGTATTCTTCCTTTTTGTTTCGTTCTATTCTTGCAGATATCCGGGGGGGTGGCATGCAGGTGAGTCCGCCTCCATGTTTGAAGCAGCGCGCGGGCGGGCGTTTGTATCTTTTTTTGTCCTATTTGGTATTTTCTGTGGTGTTGGGAACGGGGGTCCAGGGGCTTGTGTCTCCGCGTCAAGTGAGACACGAAGCTGGAGATAGAGAGATAGAGAGAGAGAGAGAGAGAGAGAGAGAGCGTTTTGCCATGATGATAGCAAGTTGAAACAAATATGACCGGCGAGACTTTCCGGAACCCCGCCATATGGGCGTTATCGCGGGCTAAATCGCACTGCCACAAATAGCCAATCCTCCGTGTAAGTCGTCGAGTCGGGTAACCGGCCTTTTAGTTTATAAAAAAATCATCTTTTTTTTTTATAATAATTTTTCATCTTGGATGTATGTTTATGCAAAGAACGCGCATAGAAAGGTTCGCGCTTGACTATTAACTTTGAGCCTTCTTGCGCCTCCCGGCGCGTGCGCCAATTCGACGTCAAGCCCTTGCCAAGCGTCAATCAGGGGGGGATGGATGTTGTCTTAGCTTTCCACTGACAGGTACCCGAGAGCCTGTCGATAGGGGTTACACCAAGGCAAAGCCTCTGCCGCCCGCCGTCGATTTGATTCGATTCGATCGAGGCTCGCCCGGGGCCCGGAAACGGTTGCATAAAAGTAGATGACCATGTCGGGCTGGTGACGAATGCCGACGGCGTAGCGAAAAGGGGGATTGGGGAGCTGTGGCGGGAGTGCGAAGCTTAAGCATTCACTTGCGTCTACGTGGTGCCTGTTTTCGGCGTTGTCTCGGGTGAGGGGAGGAGGGGGGGGGGCAGGGCGGCGATGCGAGGAAAAAGCGGCGTCGAAACCTTATATGTATACCGAGTACGGAGTATATACAAAGTATATCTCTCCGTCTCGACCGCGGTCCGTTGGCTTCTGAGATGGCCGGAGGTGCGTCCGCCGAAAGACCGGTAGCACCCGGGTCCGACACCTTCCAGCTCCGTGTGTGGAGGGGGGGCGGTGGGAGGAGAGGGTGGGAAGCCAGCAGGGGAGGACGATGGATGGGTGTCACAAGCTGGGATGGGTTCGTTGACTCATAGAGGGGAGATATCGGGCATCAAGAGAGTGGGTAAGAAGCTCTCCAGACCTGGTCATTATCACATGCTATAGCCATGGAAGATTTTCCCTTCCTCTCCTTTCCTTTCGGTTTTGGAAGTATTTTTTTTTTCGTTGTCTTTTAGATTGCATGACCAAAACCCCAATACGTGAACGGACGTCAGACTGAAATGTGAGAAGAGATAAGAAAGCAATAACACTCAACCCCCGGTCCTCAGGGGTTTTCGGAAGCGGGCGTCTTGGCCCAACGTTGGGTGGTGTTGCTGCTTCATTGGGTGCTTCACCTTTTACATTTTGCCGGCGGACCCAGACAAATACCTTCTCTGGTGTTATAGGCCGGGTCCCGGCATGGTTTATCCCTCCGACATCCCCCAACTACCAAGTAAGTCCCGTTGCTTGTCCAAAGCTTCGCGGGCATATGCGTGGGACCACCCGGCGTCCCGCGGTGCTTACAGGTGGGTGGGTTCGGCTGGCTGATATTGTGCAATATAGGATTTCAAGGGCCGTAGAGAAAGAGTGAACGGGAGGGAGACAGAGATGCGTGGGGGTGGTAAAGAGATTAGGCAATTTGCTACTCACGGCGGCTGAATGATCTGCAACATGCTCATGGCTTTGCCCTGGACCTCGCCCATCCCGCCAAGACAAGATGCTCCCTCAATACAAATCTGATGAGAGGTTCCACCGTGGATGACACGCGGTAGACGCAGTGCTTGTCCCAGGATGATGCGGAGGAGATGAGTGGGTGAATCGCAAAAAAAAAAAAAAAAAGGAGTCATCGTCGACTGAATATCGATGGAGAGACCGGGCCGGATCAGAATCGAAAGTGAGTCCAGACTGTCCATCTCTCGTGCTAGAGCGGCGGCTTGGTGTGCGAGTCGACATCGAACGCGTCATCCACGGCCCGGTGTTGCAGTATAGCACTGCCACGGCGTGAACGATGAAGCGACAACAGTAGCTAGTTAGTTACACTTGGCTGCCCGCGACGATGACGCGGCACCGTCGTTGCCGACGGCCCGGAGCAAAGAGCTAGCCACAGCTGCCCGGCCGCGGCGTGCAGTGGTTAGCGCCGGGCGGTGCAGGTTTGTCGCATACCGCCAGCGACGGAAGCGGTCGCGGTCGCGGTTGGGGCGATGCTCATCGTCGACGCTCACGGGTTTCAAGGCGCATCTTGGCAGATGTGATGAACCAGGCCCAACGGTAAGGGGTGGGGGGTGTGCATGCACGCTTCCGTCGACACCTTGGCGGCATATACTATGTATGTGCCTGGTGCCGCTGCAACAGTAGCTTCGCATAGCGCCGTCGAGAGAGAATACCTAGGGATTTTCCTGCTTGGCGACTCGGCGGTAGATCATCTCGCCAAGACGACCACCAGTGATGCAGACTGATGTGCTTTGCTCTCTCTGTCTCTTCTCTGGCGCCCCTGTCGAGAGCCGAGTCGGCAAAGCCAGATAACACCAGAATGTTCGCCGGCATAGGAGCACACACTGGCCCGGGCTCTGTCATTGGCAAATCTGCCACGGGATCCCCGGTTGCATATACTATGTACCTACCTTACCTGTACATGGTGGTGCTCTTCAGTTCTATTGCCCTGGTTCCTCCCTTCCACCCTCCTTTAGTGGACATGCCGTCAGTCATGCATCGTCTTGGCCCTTTGCTATTCGGTGGCTTCATTGGGCGTCCATGTCATGCGAGGCGAGGCGAGATAGGAGGAAACACGGTGGTACCAGTTAAGTCGTTCAGCAAGGGGGAAGGGTGACGATGATGAGGCCAAACACGGACCTTTTTCTTCTTCTTCTTCTTCTTCTTCTTCTTTTCTCTATGGCCGTCCGTCGAGGCTTTCCATCGCAATTGGAGAATAAGAGGAGGAAAAAATAGACGGCGCAATGGCGAAAAAGAAGAAACGAGAGCCAAGACATCTACCAGAATAGCAACGGGCGGTTGGGAGTTTTGTACGCTTTGCACGCTTTGCCATCCATCCGCCTCTCCATCCGAAGTGGGATTGGACAGCTCGCTCGCTCGCTTTGTTTTGTGCGCTACGGCGAACCGGCATCGCGCCCCGTCTGGACCTGCGGGAGCCCAAGGGGAAACGCAGAGAGCATGAGAGAGAGGAAGAGGCAGAGGAGGCTCTGCTCTACGCCTGTGCCGATAGACCATGGAAGGCACACATTGAGCCACTTATGATGTGCGGTTGCGCATATGCACACACCCAGTCTTCCCTGTCTGATAAGACGGATAGGTAGATGACAGATGCCGGCCGGGTGGCACATGAACAGCCAAGAGGCTAAGAGGCCAAGGGGGCCAAGCAGGGCCAAGGAGGCTTGTACTGCTGGCCACGCTGTATAGCGGCCTTTTGTGTGTCTGTGTGTGTGTGTGTGTGTGAGTGTGAGTGTGAGTGTGAGTGTGCGTATGCTCTGTCTTCTCGAGCCGCTGTCAGAAGCACTTGATCACCGACCCGACAATAGACAATGAACGAACATATTCTCTTTGACGGTAGCTAGCCTCGGACGGCACGGTTCTATGGTGGGGGTATTCAAGTGGGCGCCATCGGGAAACATCAGCAAAAGTCTCTCCCCATGGACACCATTCATTACTTTGCGCGGTACGGCATGTCTCCTTCTCCAAACCCGCACTCGCCGTCATCAAAAGACGTCAGGACTTGGCGGCCCGGCCGAGTCCAGTCAACCGGCCCCAAAATCCTATAGTGTCGAGCCCAAGAGGACGGACCCGACAACCCCAGGGGCGTAGGAGGTGAGACTTTCTGACTATGCAAGCTGGGTTGGGGGGGGAGGGGTCGCCCGAAGAGGGAATCTTGGGAGACGACGGGACGGGTGGCCCTCTTTTTTTAACTTCTATGTCAATACGGAGTCTCCGTATAAATGACCAGAGAGTAAAAAGTGTATTTTGTATAGAGACTTGTATTTTTGTTTTAAAAATACAGTAATTACAAGGCTTAACTTAAAATAATAAACTCTATGATTAATATATAGTATAGATCTAAAGATTATTATAAGGGTTTCTTAATATAGTTTCTATTTGTAGTAACTATATACTAATATATTTAAGTTAATACACCTTATATCTATATTATATTTTCCTTTAGATAAGATAAAATATATATTAGTGTGTGTACTAAATATAAGCTTTTTATATCTTTAACGTAAAAGCAGGTCTACTTTTTAAAAAGAAAATAAAAATAACTATTACTAAATATTAAAAAATAGGTTTAGTCTAAACTATATTTCTATATATATTTATATGCACTATATAGGCTGATATATATATTTATATATATATATTTAAATACTTTAGCTACACCTAAAAGTCCTTAACACTGGTATTAAATTTGTATTTTTTTGGTTAACTCTCTGTAAATGACAATCGCCAAGGCTCCCCTTGACGTCCAAGGGTGATGCTCCCCTCTCGCTCTTGGCAGGCGAACACGTCAAGACACAGAGACAGAGAGGGGACGAATAGAAACTTTAGTCTGGGGAAAATAGCTGGCGGTCCAGCTGGAGAGCGAGCGAGTAGAGTGAATATTCTTGGACGCGTTCCTTATCGCTGGGCTCTCTAGAAACGGAAACGGAGGCGCCTCCCTGGTCGGTTTCCTCACATGTCCGGCCAGAGCGGCGTTTCGCCCGTGTGGGTTCCGTCTCCTGAATCCCCGTTCCCACGAACCACGACGGGCTACCAAAATAAATCCGGTCCAGACTCTTCTCTCGGCCGCTTTTCTGCTGCAGTTGACGTTCTGCGTCGACTATTTTCTGGTTCCGGCCCATTTTCGTGTCCATTGCAAGTGGGGGTACCGCCACTGTAAGTGCGTGTGTGTTTGCGTATCTGTCTGTCCGTCTATCCGTTCTGTTTGTCTGGTTAAGGTTGAGCGTGTTTGCGATGACATGTGGGTGACCCGGGGGTGAGGAACATAAGAGAGCACAGAGAGGAAGAGAGCATCGATAACGAGGCGTAACCGCTGACGTATCGTCTCTCATGACGCAGAAAAAAAAAAAAGGTTAACGAGACAGAGTTTGGGCGCGCGCACGCTGTGACAGGCATGCGATGATTAGGAGAAGCCGCTTCATGGGCATGATTCCAATGGCAATCTGAAGCCGGGCTTGGCAGAGGTGCGCAGCTTCGCGATACGAATGCCCTCTCACTTCCCAACCGGTATATTGCTTGTCGCCGTGGACGAACTGTGGACGAGACGACAGGCACAGCCGCGAGCTGGCAACGGTCCAGCGTCAACGAAGACAGGCGGCTTGGCGTGGCTTGGCTCTACCGCCTTACCGCACCTCCGCACTACACCACAATGAAGGAATTTGAAAGCAGAGCAAGGAAAGGAAAGGGGAAAACTGTGCGGTGCGAATCCCGTCATTGCCAGAACGTGTTTCGAGGTCCAAGAGGCGGGCCTACCCATCTCTTGGCGGCCAGAGCTCTCAGATCGTGAAACGAATTGCCCGACTCGGACACCCGAAGGGCCACACCCCCCCCCCCCCCCCCCCCCCCCCCTGGCCTGCCACACCCGCACCGAGCCCTCCTTTTCGCATGGCAGGCCTACGATCCCCCCCCCCCTCCCTTTCGATGAGCTTCGTGGCGGTGGCAGCCTTCCCAGCATCAACCGGACTGGTGGTGGCAGCGGGAAGGGAAGGGAAGGCAAGGCAAAAGGGCGGACCGCAGCGAGGAACTTTTGACGTGTGTGTGTGCGTGTGTGCAGTACGTGTGCGCGTGTGCGTGTTCCTTGATGGTGCCGAATTTCCATGATCTAATGTTTGCTCGAGCTACTATTGCTGACGATGGGTTGCTGCGGACACCCGAGTACTGCAGTTTGATGTCATATCGAGTCTATGAGGATGGCGTTCCAGCCGACCTGAAGCAAAATACAATACCAACCTGCATGAGGCTATTAATATTCCCCACTGACACTGTAAACCTAGATATTACATAGTACTAACCACCCCCCCCCCCCCCCCCCCAGACGGATACCATGCCCGCCCATTGGTCTCTCTCTCTCGCAGGCCAAGTACTCGGTAGCTGTAAAACAGATGCAAATGACATCCTGTTGAGTGGATGATCGACGCCGAGATGGCCCCCATGGATCTCAATTACACCGTCCAGATAAGGAAGCCTCTAGGAACCAAGGTGCCAAGCAGAGAAGCAGGACCTGTAGGGCACACTACCTAGGTAGTCAAGTAATAGTGTAGCAAAACGGACAGCCAGATAGGGTGGGTGTATACCCATTCGCAAGGGCAACGCTGCCTTGGTGAGCTGGCGGCCCCCCGATTGGTCAAGATCATGACACGCACACCCCCTCTCCCTCTCTGCTTTCTTCCAGTCCATCTTCCGCACGTCTTCTTCCCCTTGGCAAAGAGATACAACGCCAAGCCTTGGCACGGCTACGACCGAACTGTAGTCTTCTGTCTCCCAAGCAGATGTGACGGTTCAGGAGGTACCCCTTGAGCTCGAAATACTTGGATGCTTGTATCGCTTCATATTGACCAGCCCGCGCCTTGACCCTGACCGCAGGTTCCTTCATCTCAGTGTACATCACCTACCGCATTCGTGACCCTCGTCTGAGACATCCGGACGGTAGGCGCCCTTTAACATCATTCTTCAATCGCAAGCCTCTCCTAGTGCCTTGCTGTACCTACCTACCCAGTCCTAGGCAGTCCAAGTAGGTACATCCCCTACTACGGTAAACATACCGGCCCCTTGTGCCACAACCCTTGCATGTCGTTGTCTGCCGGGCCAGCCCCCCCCCTGGACCTCGACATCCTTCCTCTTTTGGCATGCACTCGTCGCCCAACTGGGTCCTCTGGGCTCCGCGGCGTGCTACTACGTAGGTATGTGTGTGTGTGTATCCGTGGGTGTGTTTGTGTGTCTGGCCGTGGGGGTTATTAGTTGCCTACCTAGTCTTGGAAACCTGCGAGAGCCGCCACCGCAGCCACCGCCGCCACGTCACACACGCCCAAACGCCAGCCAGCCCACGATCTTCTCAAAGAGCCTCAACGATGCGGACCTAAACGATGTGGACCGCAGCGGCACGGCAGGCGTTGCTCTCATTGTCCGGCACATGGGTCACCGGCTCAGTATGTACTCGGCCACCGAGCCCGAGCCAAATCCAACGTATCTCTTTCTCTCTCTCTCTCTCTCTCTCTCTCCCTCTCTGTCTCTCTGTCGCCATCTCTCTGTCTCTATCTCAATGTGACTTACACCCCGGTGTCGCCGCCGGACCAATTTGAAAAACTTCATGTCTGTGGGACCCTCTCCCTCTCTCTCGCCTGCCGCGAATCCATTATCACAGCCCAAAGCTACCTCCTGATGCTCGTGCTGGTCTTGGCAGATTGGCATTTTGGCGCGGATGCATGGTCGTGGAGCGGGTCTTCTCGTCCCAACTTCCACCCCAATTTGGTGTCGAGACTCGCGCTCTCGTACCCGCACAGCCGTTCAAGGGTCAGGGAGCCTAGCAAACACCTTGAGGGTAGCAGATAAGTAAAGTTCATGGAGGGAGAGACGCAGCCACACAGCATACACACACTCACACACACACACACACATACACGGACACATGGAGAGAGAGAGAGAGGGATCTCCCCCCCCGCCAAGCCTACTCATCCCAGTTGGCCTCGGACAGGGGGTGGTTGGAAACCACGAAGCATCCACTCTCTCCCAGATTCTGTCTCTAGTCGTCTCATACACGCACACTTGGTGTATTTTCGTTCACTCACACACTCCCCCCTGGCTCCCTCACTCAAATCCAACTGCACGCTCACGTCTCCACCGGACTGATACCCTGTTGTCACCTTCAAACTCAGTCCCATTCGGTATCTATTCTGAGAAACACTGGCATTTTGGTCTGAAGATCCGGGCTCTTTTCGCACGCCCTCCAGTAGCTCGAGAGGACATATATCATCTGGTCCAAGGCCACAAAACTAAAAATGGTCCACCGGAGCTGGATTCCCCTTGGTCAGTGAAAGCAACTTTCCCTATTTCGAGTACCTGTTTAGTTCCTTACCAAGTTTTCATCATCATCAACCCACATTTATTTTCACTTCAAGAACATATATCAACTTCCCCTTTCCCCCCGGGTACCTCGAGTGTTTCGTCCTCTTCACCAAACAAGTCGACTCTCACTCAGCTTTCCCGCTTATTACCCTGCTCCCCCCTTACATCCCCCCCACCACCGAGCAAACGACTTATTCTCTGCGAGATTCGACGTGCTTTTGTACAACAGCAATATTAAAACAACAACTTCAGAAAAAAGAACAAAAAGAAAAACACAATCCAAGATGGATCACAGGGACCCGACGAGCTCGGCCTGGACCGAGTCTGCCGTGTCAACACGCAAGAACTCAGCGGAATGGCAAACGTCAAGGCCAAACTCCCCCAAGCTGGCACCTCTGGACATGAAGTTCGAAAAGAGCAAGATGCATGACAAGGAAACAAACGTCACACCCATCATCGAGAAGGGTGCCTCGCCCGCCCACGACAACCACGGCCACGGCCACATCGACATCAACGACCCGAACCGGCCGAGGATGGCCTGGAAGGCGCGTCTGCACCACTTCACATGGGCCTGGTACACGCTCTCCATGAGCACGGGAGGTCTCGCCCTCCTCATCTTCGCCCAGCCGCACCAGTTCCCCGGCCTGCGGCAGATCGGCACCTTCGTCTACGTCCTCAACCTCATCATCTTCACCCTCATCTGCTCCGCCATGCTCGCCCGCTTCTTCCTGTACCCCGGCGACTTCAAGAAGTCGCTGACCCACGAACGCGAGGGCTTCTTCTTCCCGACCTTCTTCCTGTCCATCGCCACCCTCATCACCAGCACGAGCCGCTACGCCATCCCCGAGAACGACGAGACCCTCGTGTGGGCCATCCAGGTTGCCTTCTGGGGCTACCTCGTTGTCACGCTCATGCTCGCCATCGGCCAGTACAGCTTCGTCTTCGCCAAGCACAACTTTGGCCTCCAGACAATGATGCCCACGTGGATTCTCCCCATCTTCCCCATCATGCTTACCGGCACCATCGCCTCCGTCATCGCCGACACCCAGCCCGAGATCACCGCCGTGCCCATCGTCGTCGCCGGCCTCACCTGCCAGGGACTGGGCCTGTCCGTCGCCGTCCTCATGTACGCCCACATGGTCGGCCGTCTCATGTCCGCCGGCCTGCCCAACCGCGAACACCGCCCCGGTCTGTTCATGAACGTCGGTCCCCCAGCCTTCACCGCTCTCGCCCTCATCGGCATGGCCAACGGCCTGCCCGACAACCTCGACCCCGACCGCGACGGCATCATCATCGACGCCGGCATCATCCGCACCATCTCCCTCATGGCCGCCATCTTCCTCTGGGCCCTCGCCGCCTGGTGGTTCGGCATCGCCACCATCGCCGTAATCTCCTCGCCCCCCGTCTACTTCCACCTGGGATGGTGGGCCATGGTGTTCCCCAACACCGGCTTTACCCTCGCCACCATCACCATCGGCAAGCAGCTCGGGAACGAAGCGGTGCAGTGGTTCGCAACGGGCATGAGTATCTGTCTACTCCTCACATACTTCTACGTCCTCTACCACCACATCAGGGCCGTCGTCATCCAAGACATCATGTACACCATGAGAGACGAGGACTTCAACGACCACTAAAGCACCAGGCAAAGTGGGAGTTGTGTGTGTGTGTTTCTGCGTTTGTGAGGACGACAGCGAAAACGGTGTCGACAAAAGGCGCCCCTCAAGGAGCGAGGGGGCGTCCACCGGAGACGGAAATATGAGATTGGGTAAACGGTCACAAGCGGTTTGTTTTTGAGCTCACTGTTCATTCAATGTTCACAGCAACCAGAGCTTGGATCTGGGAAAGGTTTTTCATGGCAATATTTCCGCTCTGGCTGAGCGAAGTGGCGTTATCATTTTCGGCGAAGGTGGGAAAGAGAAGGAAAGCCAACAGCATATTACCATCTTCATCATCATCATCATCATCATCAGCGTCAGAGAAGCGCGCGAATTCCAAATTGGATTCTTTTTTTTTTTCTCTTTTTTTTTATACATATATCTGAATACCCCCTTTCACGCTCTCTACCTGTCCTAGTTCCTTATTTAGTATTTGGTCGACGTCTTCGGGATCCCTTCTCGATTATCGAGAGTCATGTAAACTCATATCGTCAGAAACGCGGGGGAAATTCGGTTTGGTCGTCTCACCATAGACTTACTTCACACACTAGAGAGATCAGACGCGTTGGATAGCACGCCTGTAGAGGAAACACTCGACGAAGTTTACTCCAGATAAAACAAGAACTTGCTGCTCCAACGTATTCTATTCGCCTCCTGACCCCAACTCTCAGACGTGTTCCTCTTGCCCCCCCTCCCACACGAACTCTCTCTCTCTCTCTCTCTCTCTCTCACACACACACACACACACACACGCACACCCCTTTCGTGCATGACAACCCAATTAAGCAATGAGAAATGTCTCGTGTGGCCGCTTAGTCAACATCTCGCCATCCATGACCCCGTCGCAGTATGCTTCGCCGACGAAACGGGAACTCGTCCCATCACTGGATGGTCTCAGGACGTACGGGATCCGAGAGCCGAGCAGTACCACGACCACGTCGCCCGGGTGTGCGCCGCCCGGGGCCATGCCCACGTACCCCAGCCTCGTCACGTACGGGCGCTTGCCCGTCATCTTGTCCATGTTCTCGCTGTAGTTGGACTGCGCCGGGATCATGCGGTAGAACTCCTCCAGCCGCTGCTGACGCAGCTCTGGCGGCACGGACTGGAAGCCCTCAGCCATCAGCGCAAGGACGGCCAGGCAGGCCTCGTAATCGCCCCTTTCTGCCCGCGCGACCCGGTGGTAGCTAGCCGCGCTGGTCCAGTACAGGTCTCCCACGGGCACCCGCCACGCGGCTTCGGCTCGCCTCTCGCTGCTCTCGTAGATGTCGTGCCCGCACGCCGAGGACTTGTCGCAGAAGGCCCTGATGGTCCGCAGGTGGCTGGCGCGAGCTTCGCTGCCCGCCTCCCACTCCCACACGTCGCCCGTCTCCTCGATCGTGTCGACGGCGAGGCCGCGTATCCCAAGCACGCACGGGTCGTCCGTGTGCGCCACCTCGACCGTGCTGTCGCCCGCCGCTCGTACGAGCAGCCTGTCTGCGTCCTCGAACGCGGCCAGGTACGAGTGGGTCAGCGTCGGCCTCCAGTCTGGGACCCAGGACGGCAGCCCGTCGACGTCCTTGGGGAACTGCGAGAAGGAGAGCATCTCGACGCGGCCTGCGCCAACGAGGGCGCGGGCGGCCTTCACGAAGGTGGGATGGCAGTGTGGAGAAGTGTATTCCGGGACGATCTGCAGCCCTTCTGCATCTACGGCGACGCTGAGCAGGCCGTAGATCCGGTCCCGCGGCAGGGTCGCCTGGGCGTCTCCGTCCACGTACGCCTTCTTCAGCATGTGGTACAGGTCGTCCCCTGGTCCCTCGCCCTTTACGAAGTTGCGCCTCCGACGCCGTACGGCCATCAATGGACCGAATCGGCGGTCCTGGGCTTTGGCCAACAGCTTGATGTGCTCTTGGTCGCCCGGGTTCTTTATGTCCTGCGTGTTCATCACGCACCCGTCGAATATCAACGTGGCCAAGGGAAGCAGGTCGAGGTTCAGCATCTTGTACCCGCACAGGAAGAACGTGTTGGTGCCCAGAGCTTGCTCCTGTATCGTCCACACGCGGCCGAACCAGGGCCTCTCGTTCCAGGCAATCATCGCCTCCAGGAGAGAGTTGAAGGCCGGCACCGCCCTTTTCACCAGGGCCTGGAACCTCACCGTCGCCGGGTCTTCGGGGTTGCGGTTCTCCAGTATCGGGCGCAGAAGCGGGAGCCGCTCTCTGTTGAGGTAGCTCTCGATATCCAGATCGCGGGCCGCTTGGCCGATGTCTTCCCAGCACTCCATCAGCGCGTCGGAGCCGTCCGCCGCGGGACCGAGCCAGACGAGGACGAGTTCGGCCCTGCTGTAGATCTGCGCCATGAGCGGCACCTGCTCGTTCTTCTCCTCGGCATCTGCCTGGTTGATGCAGATCTGATCTATCCAGAGCGTGACTGGCTCATTTTCTTTACGGACATGTCGCAGCGCCGTGTCCAGAGAGGCCGTGATTCCGAGGCGCGCGCCCCCAATGTCAATGCCATGGGACTTATCCGGCTTACCCCAGGTGTACGACAGCGCCTTGTAGGGCCGTGGGGTGTCGATTGGGGTGGTTGAGACGGCGCACCGCAGCGGGCTCGAGTATCGTGCAGCGCAACCGGGGCCATCTTCGTCTGGAGGGTCTACCTCGTCCGGAGATGCAGAGTTGACGCTTGTGGCGTGTCTGGACGGATAGAGTTCGAGAACCCTGATGTGAGTTGATGCCGAGGGTAGGCATACCTGGTCGTAGCTAAAGCGAGGAACAGAGTTCTGCCGACTCGGCCACGTCGGCACGGAAGCCATGACTGCCGTGTGGTGTTGGGACAACAGCGAGCGCGGCTATTCCATGTCGACGCAAGGGACACCCGAGCGTAAGTTGGAGAGGACGGACGGTGTGGTGTTGAGAGCTGCAGGGTCTGCCCTTTAAGTACCCCTCCCCTCCTCTCTCATGGAAGCACACACACTCACCTGCTTTTGGTATGTGGTAGCCTGGTAGGGCTGGCGTCATCTCGACCGAGGCCGGGGTGTCATGACAACTTCCAAAGTGGAAATGTCAGTTGAACTAACGATTGCGCTACTGCGGGGTTTCTTGGGCTGCAACCCCGAACGGGTAAATCCGGACAGACGTGCAGGAGAGTTCGTAGTGAAGCACGTCTGAGTTGACGAGTTGTGCTCTCAGCCGCACCGCGCTACTGTTTGCTTGCATGTCGGCATCACGCAGAAACCTGGTAACTTTCATGAATCGCCTGGTTCATGGCTGCCTCGCCTTAGTATACGGCATGGTGCTGGGGGGATTCTACGAGATAGAGTTGAGGCGCAGGCTAACCCACCCCCGATGCCCATTTTGCCATTTTGCCGAAGAACCAGCGACATGCAGTGTTTGTATGGAATATGTCAGTGTTGGCAGTGTCCTTTCCACACTGACTGATGCCTATTGGAGAAAACGAAAACGAACCATTGCCCTGGGCCAAATGTGAACGAGACCCACGGACGATACGGGGAATGGCCGATGGCGGTACGTCCAACCAAAGCGCAATGCTACGACTCTGGCGCATGTTCCACAGCCGCACCTCCCCAGTCACCTTTCTGTCTCTTCTTCGACCGCCCGGGCCAGACAGGGAGCGTCGGCACCCCCGGGTTGGGGTTGCTCTGGTGCCCGCCGTTCTCGTCGATCCACGCCGCCGGGTTCAGCGGGCGTTTGGCGTCGGCGTCGACGCCGAAGCGGATCCAGACATATATGCCGTCGGCCAGGGTGCGGCCGACCAGTGCGTAGCGCACGACCGGGTCATCCGTGTCGGAGGCCGTCCTCATCAGCCTGTCCTGCGCGTTCTCGGTGACGGCCTGGTTGTTGGTCGAGTACGGCGCCAGCTCCTTGACGGCGTCCAGGAGCTTCTGGTCAAAGTACATCTGGCCGATATGTGCGACCCTGCCGCCGGTGATGGTGTTGTTGGGCTGTTTGGTGGCGCCGATATGGGCGACTGCTAGATGGAAGTTAGACATTGCTACGAGACGACGGCCTGAATTGGAGAGAGTATACCGACCGTGAATGTGGTTGGTCCTTCCCGCATAGTGACCCGGAACGACGGCGTCGAATGCCGCCATGCCCTCGTTGTCGGTGAACTGAACCCCGCGAAGGGTGGTGGTGTTTATGAGGGACAGGTCGTTGGGGCTGCCGTTGCCGGGGTAGTTGAGGACACCTCCGTAGACGCCCTGAGACCCATCAGCCAACGTCCAAAGCGTCTTCCATGAACAATGAGAGGCTCGTGACTTACAGTCGAGTTGGCGCTCCAAAAGTCAACGGCAGTGTTGGCGATGGGCTCGCAAGTCCTGACGTCCACGACCTGAATGTCGATGGTCATCTTGACGCCGCTCTCGCCCTCGGTCACTTCTCTGCGGACTTGTTCGCCCTTGACATCTGAAAGGTGAGTCGAGACAAACGTCACCTTGTGTTGGGATGGGGGGGCTTCTTACATAGAGGGCCTTCGGTCTGCTCGGGCGTCAGCATGCACGCCCCGGAATCCGCAAACAGCTCCGAGGCCGGCGTGCTCTCATTATACGGCTTGTTGACGAGATGGTGCTTGTCAAGGACGGCGTTAAAGTCCCGCCCGTGGATTGTTGGGCTGGAGAAGAGGGGGCTTTGGATCAGCAATGTGCTCTTTTGTAGCAGTCAGCGCCCACTCACATGCCTTTGATGCCCCTTGACTTGCGGAGCCTTTGCAGCTCGTCGGCCCGCCTCTCGATGGTTCGCTTGACGAACCCGGGCTTGGAGAAGGCTTCGGCGCAGTGGTCCAGAGACCGTCTATACCAAGGCTGCGCCGAGTGCTGGAATTCTCTTTCCTCTGCGCCGTGCGGGTGTGCCAGCCCCAGCGGGATGGCCAGCGGCATGTTCTTGGCCGACATACTTGGTGATTCGGTTATAAAGAGATAAAGATGGCGATGGCAGCTTTGTTTCCGACTTCTTAGGAGCAGTTTGAGTTTTTGGTCCACGGTATATCTGATATCTATATAGGCCTGGAAGCCCTTACACAACCGTCGAAACTCAGCATTGGTATCTGCTTGTCACCCAATCCATTGCCACAAATTAGCAACATGAGGTCGCCAGAATAACACGCAATGAAGCAACTGTATGCGGTGGCTACATATCGTTATTCTGGTTCCTATTAATCTGGATAAAGAGGAGCTGCTACCACAGCACCTTCCACACGATCTTTCGGTGTATAGCGGCTAAATTTCAGCATGTCGGTAGTTGGGCCTTGGAGCCCGATTCCGAGAGCCAAAGCAGGGCATTTAACCGCCGCACTTTAGCCCAAGAGGGGTAAACCTTTTGGGGGGACATGGCACTCTCTGTTCCAGTTGATGACAGCTCCAGAAGGGCATTTGCTGACCTGGCAGCTGCGTGTGAGTGAGGGGATCATATGACTCCTAGGCTTTGGCTGTAAGGTAATGTTGTGTCAATCTAGACGCTAGGCTTTATACAAAGGACACTGAGAATGAGGGCTTCTACTTCGACTAGTCCGAATACAAAACAAAAAGTACAAAAATAGGAAAAGAAAAAAGAAAAAAGAAACACCCCAAGTCGCAGAGAACCGCCAGTTGATATAGCAACATACTTTCCAATCTCCGACCCCTCAACCAGATTCTTTAAAACTTTGCTCCGTCGAATGGCGTTTATCATACAGGTTGCAGCTCCAGATGATGCCTGCCAGGATCTCTGGGCTCAGGACCAGTCCTCGCAAGGTCTCACAAAGACGATCGCTTTCCCCGTCTCTCTCGATTAGGTCTCTGATTTCCGTTGCGCTAATGTCCAAAGGCGCAGCGTCGGCCGGGACGAACCGCACGCACACGTTTCTGTCCCATTGGAGATGGCAGGTCTTGACTGTCGTCTTTTCGTCCTGCACCGACAGAGCTGACGTGGATGAGTCCTGAGTCGCGTCGTCCGAGAGTTCATCTACCACGCTTTCCTCGGTGACATTCACGTCCTCCTAGGGCGTGAAGTAGGGGAGGAGCGTGAAGAGAGACCCGTCGGGCTTGACGAGGTCGCTCGATCTGCCCGCGTCGCTTGTGATGGTTTCGTGGCAGTCCCAGCAATACCCGTCGTACTGCTCGGACCGCGCGACATAGTCCGGCCCGAGGACGGCGGTGAACTGGATCTCGAACCCGTCCATCTCGATCGCCTCCTCCAGTCTCCTCCGCAGCCTGTCCCACCTGTCCGTGCTGCCGCTGTGCACCCACCATTCGGGCATGAACCTCGCGTCCAATCGCCAGAGGCATGCCCGTTGGGCCTTTGACAGAACGAGGCTCTGGCCCTTTCTCTTGCACTTGGCCTCCAAGACATCGTCGTCGAGGGGGAGGATGATGGCGGCGATGACGTTGATGTCCCGGCTCGCCTCAAAGGCGCGTCGCAGAATATTGTAGTGACCGAGGTGAGGGGGATTGAAGCATCCTGCATAGACCAAGACTCGGTTCTTCTGTCCCTTTTTCAGGAGAGGCTGCTTATCGGTGCGGAAGACGGGATGATGGCTTTTGCTGTGAAACTTTGCAATGTATTTGCCCAACTCGGCAGTCTGGTCATCCATTCCAGCCCTCTGGTAGTTTGCTTGGCGCGGTAGTAACTGGGAGGTGAATGAATTGTGATGGTAGAAGATTCGACAGCGAAAGCAAAGCTTCTGAAACCGAAGATGAAAGGACAGGTTTATAGGTGAGTTGCAAGTAGGAGAGTGCTTTTGATTTATGTATCTGCTGTAATAAACCTTTCGAGATGGAAGTCTTTGCAGTTATATAACTGTTAAAGCTTCTGCCATCTGTTTGTTCGGGCCTCTAGTGTATTCTCTTGGCCGAGGCGGGTCACGTGTGGTAGGACACGTGACTCTGCCGTCCCTCTTCTTTGCCAGGCCCTGCATACTATGTACTTCATGGGCTCCCCTTTCTCTCTAACTGCAAGATAATACTCACACAGGAGTTTTGCCTCACTTTTCGTTGTTGTGCTCCTTTGCCGTCTCACATCTCGAGACGGTCCGGCCCGTTTCAGAAAGGATCGACTTAGGAAAAGGGGTCCATTCGTAGGCCATATGAACAACCCCTCTCAAGAGACCAACAATTATCAAAGAACGAGCAATTCCATGAGTCGAGAAAAGAGCAATGTCTCTTTGGGTACTATGCGTCTTTTTCATTGGAATGAATGGTACTAGGCTCAGGTGACAAGTCCTTCAAGGACAGTCGAGTGGTCGGGTGTTTCGGTTTCATCCCCAAGAGAAAAGATCAAAGAAGAGGAAAGAGTTAAGGAATGAACCTATACTGCGACTATACTATGATAATCCCAAGGATGCAGGGCTCCGGGGCCGATGAATGGGTTACCATCGGACTGTCTCTTACTATCTTGCTGCTTACAGTATGCTGGAGTGATGCCGAGAAGTGCCTGCCTTGTGAATATATACCCGGTCAGACCCGTCAAACACTGATGGCTCCTCCGTTGCTTCGACGGCTTTCCTGGAGTTGGAACGACGGAGAGGAGAGGTTCGCAAGTCTGCCGGCGAATCGATGCTAGGTATCCGTATATGCACAGATGAGGAATTGCATATATGCTCGTTTACTGAAATAAAGGGGTTTCATAGCCAGGCAGATAGATGACAAAGCGAGCTAGCTACGTAAACCATCCTGACAAATGTATTATGTAATGGTCAACCGGATGTACACGGAGGCGCCGGAAGTGAGATTGGAACGGGAACGGGAGCGGGTGCCCCACCTTGGCTCCGCCACACCCCTGCCGATGAAGCTCGCGGGCACTAAGGAGCGCATAGAATCGGAAACGGGGACCCCGCACCATACAAGTAGGTCCAAGAAATAGTCATAGACACAACCGCTCTCACTCCTTCTTCTCTCTACAAACCCAGCCAACAAACCCGTGTGTGTCTTGCAGCATTGCTCGTGCTTGTCATCTCAAATCACCCTCTCGGAAAAATGGCCTCCCCTCTCAGAATCGGTTACGTGCCCGAGCACTTTTCCACCCCCCTCCACTTCGCCAAGCAGTACTTCGGCCTCGACGCCACCCTCATCCCCTTCCCGTCCGGAACCGGCCACATGATTACCGCCATTCGCGGGGGCGAGATCGACGTCGCAATCGGCCTGACAGAGGGCTGGATCGCCGGCCTCGGCAAGGAAGACGCCCCCGGCGATGGCGGCTACCGTCTCGTCGGCACCTACGTCGACACCCCTCTGTGTAGGTCGAATCTTCCATTCACCTGCATGCCGGGACCACACACTCAGTATGGACACTGACCCCTGTAGGCTGGGCCATTTCCACCGGCGCCCAGCGCCCCGAGATCAAGTCCGTCGAGTCCCTCAAGGGCGGCAAGATCGGCGTGTCGCGCATCGGCTCCGGCAGCCAGATCATGGGCTTCGTCCTCGCCGACCAGCACGGCTGGCTGACGCCCTCGTCGCCGCAGCCCTTCTCGGAGACGGTCATCCTCAACAACTTTGAGAACCTGCGCAACGCCGTCAACTCGGGCGCCGCCGACTTCTTCATGTGGGAGCACTTCACCTCCAAGCGCTACTACGACTCGGGCGAGATCCGCCGCGTCGGCGAGATCTACACCCCCTGGAGCAGCTGGAAGATCGTCGCCTCCACGGCGCTGGCCAAGGGGGAGGAGGGCCAGAGGCTCGACCCGCGCCTCAAGGACTTGTTCGCCAAGCTCGACCGCGGCATCCGCCACTTCAACGACAACAAGGACGAGGCCGTTAAGTACATCAGCACCCGCCTTGACTACTCCGAGGCCGACGCCCGCGAGTGGCTCAAGACGGTAAAGTTCACCGACGGCGTCGAGGGCGTCAAGCCCGAGGTCGTCCAGAGCACCGTCGACATCCTGAGGAAGGCAGGCGTCCTGGTTGAGGGCAAGGGGAGGCAGCCGGAGGCTATGGTGGTCAAGGACTAAGAGGAACCCTTCCCCCGCCACTGAAATAAGAAATGAATAAATTTCTAAGCTTAGCGGTCCTCCCGTCCATCATCCATTGTAGCCGTGGTGATGAAGGTCATTACTGATCTCACATGTGAAAAAATGTCCAAAGGGGAGTAGCCTGCTGTGAAATGGGTCGTGGTTCCAAAATACTTCAATTATTCCACCCCTGTACTCCCTCCCGAAACGTAGTCCAGACGATGATGCTAGGGTATCTACTATTTCCCGTCGTTACTCTTTTTCTCTTTTTCTCTTTTTTTCTTATAAGCCGTGAACAGTCGCATCTTTGGCCTTGTCCATGTCCCTACGCGGCCTCGGCCTTCTTGTTCTTCCTCCTCTTGCCCTTGCCCTGCAGCTGCTCGCGCTTCTCCTGCTTCCGCGTCTCTTTGTCCTTGGCCCCGATGACGCCCGTCTCCGCGCCGCATGGCCACTTAGCGAGCGCCGCGGCCTCTTCCTCCTCGCTCCACTCCCGCGGCAGCACCGCAAACACGAGATAGGACGTGTGCGTCTTCAACTCTGGCTCCGCCCGGTGGATAACCCGGCCCTGCAGCCAAGGCTTCCCCGCGTTGGGTTCGTCCTCTCGGGCGCCGCCGCCGTTCGTCGCCGCCTGGTCCACATCCATGGCGGTGCCCGCGGCCGGTGAGTCTTCCGCCGAGTTGGGGTCCGCCGAGGTGTGGTACTCCCTTGTGCGGCGCTCAATCTCTCGCAGCTTGCCGACCGCCTCCTTCACGTCGCGGGCGAGGGGCGGGATGCCGCGCTCGGGCTGGCCGTAGCCGGCGCGGTCACGGATGACGTTAAACTTCTTGTGCGAGATCTCGACCATGTCGATGTCCACCCACCCCATCGTCCGCATCGTGTTGATCGTCTTCTGCACCTGCTCGATACATGGCGAGAAGGTGCAGATGTAGACGGACTTCTTGGGATTCAGCGGCGAGATCCATTCCGTCGCCGCGTCCTCGTCGTCTTTTTGGAGAGCAGCAGGCTTCCGTCGCGACAGATGGCGGAGGGCGTCCCAGGGGGCGGGCAGATCAAGGAACACGGAATCGGCTTCGGGGCTCTTGCCGTCGGCCAGGAACCCGCCGTTGTAGACGTCGCGGTGCGAGAGCTCGACGATGCCTTCCAGCTCGTGCGCCTCGATCTCCACCTGCATCTTTTCGTACCGGTCCTTGTTGAACTCGAAGCTGAAGACCTTGCCCTTGCGGTCCGTCTCGTTCTCGGGATAGCCATTGTAGACGGCACGTGCTGAGGCGTGCGTGAAGCTGCCGCTGCCAGCGCCGGCCTCGATCAATCGCGTGCCGGGACGGGCTCGTATGCGCTGGAGGATGTAGCTGTAATCGGGGGTGTAGACCACCTGCGTCCGATGGGGCAGGCCGGCGGTCCATAGCTCGGCGGTGGGCTGGAGGATGTGGACGAAGCCGCTGGCGGCGGTAGGGGCCTTCTTGACCGGCGCGCTCGACTCAGTTTCGGCGTCGTCGGCGGCGGCTGGTGTGGACGTGTCGGTCTCGTCCTCCTTTCTCTTGCGCTTGCGGCCCCGGGAGCCGGTATCGACGACCGAGGCGCGGATTTGCGAGCCCCACGGAACGTTGATGAGGGTGGAGTGAGGAAACGACCCGAACCGGGTGTTGAGGACGGCGCCCTCGGCGTAGCCGTCGACGGCACCGGTCGAGTCTCGGAGGATCAAGGGAACGAGGTTGTCGCGCGAGAGCTGGACAATGGCGAGGGAATTGGCCGATGTCCTAGAGCCGGGCTCTAGAAAAGGCGAGGGTTTCGCCATTATGATGTTTCGTACGGCCGAGACCGAGTGCTGCTGGGGCCTGGATGAAAAACAAAAGCGAGCAACAACGGGACGAAAAAGGTCGGATGCAAAACGCCTGGGACAAAAACTTCGCGAGGCTGAGAAATTGGAGGAAAAAGTCATAATGTGGCTTGACGCGGGGAGTATGTGGCTGGTGATCATCCCTACAAAGGTTCCAGCCACTCAGATGTCGACGCCACAGCCCCACCGGCTGCAAGGCTGAAGATGGTGTCACACACACTTTATTTGTGACTCCTGTCTCAGCCGGTCCCCTCCCTCCGTCCCTCCCTCAGCATTTTGAGTCACTCATCACGATCCTCTCTCAGTCCTCGAACCCCCCTCACCCCCCTCACCCTCTCCCTCCTTTCTGTCCAAGTTCTCCCCCCCGTCCTCCCTGACTTTCATTTTCTTCTATACTGGATGAATCGACTCTTTAGACTCACCAGGTTTTCGGTTACTATCTCCACTCAGATACCCACCCTTCGATTCTCTCGGAGGTCCTGCGCCACCATCGCGACGATGGAGTCGCTGAAACTGCACAACTCGCTGAAGCCTGGCCAGCCAGTGCCCTTCACGCCCATAAAACCCGGAAAGGTCTCGTGGTACGCCTGCGGGCCTACCGTCTACGACAAGAGTCACTTGGGCCATGCGCGCAACTATGTCTCGACCGACATTATCCGGCGCATCATGATGCACTACTTTGGCGCCGATGTCAAGTTTGTCATGAACATCACCGATGTTGACGACAAGGTTGGTCCCTCGTCTGTCTGAACTGCTCGATTGGGCCACAGTTCCTGACAATTTATTGTCTCGTTCTAGATCATCATCAAGGCCCGCAGGCAACGCTTGCTCGAACTCGAAAAGCAGAAGAGCTACTCTCAAGATGAGCTGGCCAAGCTTGCTCTCACAGCGTTCCGCGCATACGCCGACAAGAGCTTGCCCCTCCTCCAATCCGCAGATCTCGACGAAAACAACTACCTCGAGCGAAGAGACAGCGCATATGGCAAGGTTCTGGCGGGTGGCACCCTGACCGGAGAGGGCAAGCCCGGTGACGACGAGGCCAAGACGAAGATGCACATCAGCAACATGGATAACGCCGCGTTTGCCATCAAGGACAAGAAGTTCTACCCAGGCATCGACGAGATCCTCTTGCCTTACCTCGACTCCCTCTACAAGGAGACCATCGACACAAGCGACCAGACCATCTTCACCGACCTCACCCAGAGCATGGAGCGCGAGTTCTTCGACGATATGGATGCCCTTAACTGCTTGCGCCCCGACGTCATCACCCGCGTCACCGAGTACGTGCCCCAAATTGCCGAATTCGTCGCGCGCATTGTCGACAAGGGATTCGCCTATGAGTCGGACGGCTCCGTCTACTTCGACATCACGGCCTTTGAGAAGGCCGGCAACACGTATGCGCGCCTGCGCCCTGGCAACCGCAACGACAAGTCGCTGCAGGAGGACGGAGAGGGAGCCTTGTCCAAGAACCTGGGCGAGAAGCGCAACGAGGGGGACTTTGCGCTTTGGAAAAAGTCCAAGAAGGGAGAGCCCTACTGGGACAGCAGATGGGGCCAGGGCCGCCCCGGCTGGCATATTGAGTGCTCAGTCATGGCTTCCGACATTCTCGGGGCGCAGATGGACATCCACTCTGGTGGCGTCGACCTGGCCTTCCCCCACCACGACAACGAACTGGCCCAGAGCGAGGCCTACTACGTCGACAACTCCAAGGGGGAACACACATGGGTCAACAACTTTTTGCACATGGGTCACCTGTCCATCTCCGGGTCCAAGATGTCCAAGTCGTTGAAGAACTTCCAGACCATCCAGGACGCTCTCGCAACGACGTACACGTCGAGGGGGATGCGTATTGTCTTCCTCATGGGCAAGTGGAACGACGGCGTCGAGATCTCCCCCGACATGAGAGCCCAGGCTTCCAGCTGGGAAGCCACCATCAACGTGCGTGCCCCACCCAATCCAAACCCTAGATGATGATGCCTAACCGTTTTGCAGAACTTCTTCACCAATGTCAAGGCCCTTGTTGCGGATGTAAGCGCGTCAACTGCTGGAGTCGAGTCCCTCTCCATCTCCGAAAAGCCGTCTGGTAGCCTGGTATCCGAGCTGGAAAAGGCCAAGAACGACCTGCACACCGCCCTTACCAATTCCTTTGATACCCCCCAGGCGATGCGCGTGATTCAGGAGCTTGTTAGCGAGGCGAACAAGGTTGTCGTTTCACAGGAGGCCGAGGCGAACCTGCCGGCGCTTGTTGCTGTTGCCCGCTGGATCACCAAGATTCTCGGTACCTTTGGTCTTGACGAGAACGCCACGGCGCCGTACGAAGGCCTCGGCTGGGCCGTCCCCGCATCCAAGGCGAACCTGGACCCCAAGACAGTCGTCCAACCGTACGCGGCCGTGTTCCAGAGCGTCAAGTCTGACGTGGAAGCGCTCAAGCTTTCGGCCGATTCGGTTTCCGAGCTGCTGAGCCAAGACCCGGAGGCGGAGTTCTCGTCCCTCGCCGACGAGGGCGTGAGCGACCCGGAACAGCTGGCGCTTCCCTACCTGCGGGCGGCTTCGAGGTTGCGTGACGAGCTTCGACGCATCGTGTCGACGGTGTCTCCCGAGACGAAGAAGGCCGTCCTCTCCCTCACGGACCGGATCCGCGACGAGGACCTCACGAATCTAGGCGTGTACCTCGACGACCGGCCGGATGGCAAGTCGTCTCTGATCAAGTTTGTACCGGCGAGCGAGCTGATGGCGGCCAGGAACGAGAAGCTGGCCAAGGAGGCGGAGAAGGCCAGGGCCAAGGAGGAGGCGAAGCGGGCGCGCGAGCAGGCAGAGAAGGAGAAATGGGAGAAGGCTAAGCTCCCGCACACGGACATGTTCAAGGGCGACGACAAGTACGCCGAGTGGGACGCAGAAGGTCTGCCGACGAAGCTCAAGGACGGTAGCGACGTGCCCAAGAGCCAGCTCAAGAAGCTGCAGAAGCAATGGCAGAGCCAGAAGAAGGCGCACGAGGAGTATCTGGTCAAATTTGGTGGCGGTATCCGTACATCATAGATGGGAGGGGCTGGGGCTAGCATCTCAAAAAGCAGGCAATTTAACGACGTTGTGAGGATATGATTGGGGGAAACGTTTAGTTTGTAGCGGCGAGGCCCTGGTCAAAGTTCACATGGCCACGGGCTTGAGCCATGGAGGCAAGCAAGCAAGCAAGCAAGCAAGCAAGCAAGCAAGCAAGCGATCAAGCTCTCGCAGTGCGGCGTGCACTTGTGGCGTGCCAACTAGAGCTAACACGACGTGACGGAGAGGCCAGCTGGATGAGCATGAGAGAGCTTGAAGCTTCGTGGCTGGGGCGGCGCGGGTGGGAATACACCAGGACCCCTGAAACTAGGCCCTGCCAAGCTGGGCAGGGTCTCGGACGGTGCTCGATCCCGCTTGTTTGCCAAGAAATGCGATCGTCTCTGCCCGGTTTCTGGGTGGCTGCTACGTTATCATGCGGGGAGGGGAGGGAAGGGGGGGGAGGTGAGGGGGATTTCTGGCTTCTCGTCGACCGCGTCGATTCATTCCAGAGCCGCTCAGTTTTCTAGACGACAGCATCTTCATCATCATCATCATCATCATCACCAATGATGAGAGGCTTGAACGAGGAGCCCGTCAAACCGAGCTCGTAGGACGGATATAGGCTCTAGGGATCTCAGGCACCGGTCAGCGCGTAACTCGTACATGTAGCCGAGCTTTGTCATCGAGTCTGCTGGGTATGGTATCAAAGGTGTGACGGGCTCAATGCACGGTGTAAACCTTGGGCAGATGATGCGAAGTAAACCGGCTTCTAATTAGCCAGGCCAGCATGGCACAGCATGACGCGGCAACGGGCTGCCTCCGTCAATGTCCGGAAACGGCCTTGACCTGTGCGGTGAGGGGTTTAAGCATCTCGTCCACATCACGAACCTACTGTACCCCTCATCGTCATGAAGGCCCCCCCCCCCCCCGCCTTTGTTCGTATTGCTTAGGGGAAAAGGTGCTCTGAGACGCTCGTTGTACGGCGGGTGGGAAGGGGCTTCAGTGACACGTCATGACGGTCAAGCTTTCTTGTGTCGGTGAGGAGCGCGAGGACCCGAGCCATTCCTTGACATATGCAGGGCCGATGTATGCAGTATACTCACTGGTACGGTACAGGATGGTAGAGGACCACGAACTAGTATCGATCGACGCTAAAGGCAGCCCAGGGGGGGAGGCCGTGGAGCTCTCACTGCCGGTTAGCCGGGACGGTCGAGCTTTCTTGGCTTCGACACCCCCAGTCGTGTCTTCTTCAGCCCAGCAGGGGTGGCTGACGCAGTAATGCCGAGCTCCTCGTGTTACATACATAGTAGCATATGGTGGGGGGAAAGGGGATCGGCTTGTCCATATTCGTTCTGCGAGCGGCATCCTCTTGGAGAGTTTTCAACATACCGGTACCGGTACCTACTACAGTACCTAGACATCTATCAGATTTCCCATCTCAGCAACACTTCGGACCACAGCCTTTGTGCGCCAGGGTTCGTCCTGTGTTGCTCAGTAAGAGGCCTTTGCCGACCCCCCACAATGGCTTTCAATGGTCTCAATGGTTAGTCTGAATGGACTGGGCGGCGGCCAGCCTCAATTTCGTACAGATACCTAGCCTGTCTCAACCCTCGGACCTCTCCTCGAACCATGGTCTCTCTCTAGACAAGACAACACACGGAATGGGGAGGGGGGCGCGGACAAAGCCGTGCCCTCCCGCGGGGGTCCAAAAAAGACGTTTCTGATATCCAGACCAGCCCAAACCCCCCACCACCGGCAAACACCGCATCCACGATTTGGTCATACGTGCTACGTCAGGGTCGTGTCGGGGCGAGGCTTACTCGGCAAACCGGCGTCCGTCCCCATCTTCCTTCGAGTTTCCAGCCCGGACGATCACCGCCCCAATGGCGGGTTTCAATGGGGATCGGCTGGCTGCCCCCCCTCCCCTGCCACAACACCCTCTCTCTGTCCACAACAGGCTTGTTGCTCTCGCGTTTACGGAGCGTCGATTCTGTTCCAGGGACGCGGGCTGGAGCATGAATGAATGAGAAACGCGCTACCTCGGCCCAGCTGCGGGCGATCCAGGGGCGATGGGACACCTCCATCATGTCCCAGTATGGGGACTAGGGTCAAAGGCTAAACGTTGCCAGGTATTGCTCGAATGAATCAAGCTTAGCTTAGCTGAGGCCTCCCCCTCCTTTGATGATCTATGATCACATGAGAGCTTAGGTTGAGGGGGAAGTCGGAGGGGGGATAAGAACCCCTCGGGCTGCCCCCCCCGTCACAGTTTGAATATTAGATTATCACTTAACATCACTCTCAGCCCAATCGTACCTCAACGATCCAACCTATCAACACTTACCTTTTTCTTTCACCCAACCCCCCAAGACGCCAATATGTTCGGATTCGGTACGTGCTACCGTGCCCAGCACATCGGTCACCATCGCTGACTCAAAGAACAGGAGAGGCCAAGGAGCACCGTGACGCCGTCTACGAGGGCCAGCACGAGGGCAAGCTCAGCCACGAGATCGTCGCCGGCGGAGCCGCCTTCGAGGCCATGAAGCTGTTCGAGGACCGCCAGCGCAAGAGCGGTACGTTCCACCACTGCCACAGCTCGCCGAACCCTTTTCCTGTCCGAAACTAACGAGTCTTCCGCAACACAGGAGAGCCCGTCAAGCACGCCTTCGCCAAGGAGCTGCTCGCCGGCATCGCCGGCGCCGAGGTCGACAAGCTGGTCGAGACCAAGGGCCTGGACTACATCGACCGCGAGAAGGCCAAGAGGCACGCCGAGAAGCAGGCCGAGCACTTGTACCAGGAGCAGTACGGCGACCTGGACGAGTACAACCCGTAAGTGAACATTCCTGCCATGCCAAGGCGCTGGCCCCAACAGACATGACAGAGAAGCTGACAATGTATGTAGTAACCAGCGCGGACGCCACCAGGCGACGGACTACTAGATACGGGGAGGGATGACGAGACTTGACGGCCGGAAACATAAATAGCACGATGAAATGAGAAAATATTTATTGTCTATCATATGAGCAACGTGAAGATGAACATGACGCGCAAAATACGTATCATATATTGCTCATAACGACTGACATAAGGTCGCTCTCCCCGTGACCTGCTGTTTGCCCTCACAATCCAGCACCATTCTCTTTGCCATCTCGTTCTCGGCGCGTTGGGCGAAACGTCCCGGCCAAGCTCCCTCTCACTGTCCTACTGCTTCAAGTCCAACCGGAACAGCGCCGCTTGTCGACGACGCCGCCGCCGCCGCCGCGCCCTCGGCATCGACGTGCCCCCCCGCGATCCTCTCAAACAGCTTCTCCCTCTCCCTCTGCAGCGCCGTGCGCGTGCTCTCGAGCCGGGCGCCCTGCGTCCTGAGCCGGCGCATCAGGTCCCGGTGCCGCGCCCGCGTCTCGCTCAGGATCCCGCTCAGCGCCGCGGCGCACCGCTCGACCTCGAGGCGCGACCTCTTGATCTCGTCGTGGAAGGCCATGTCGGTGAAGACATTGTCGAAGAGCACGTCGCCGACGAGGCCGCCGTGGTTGATGGCGACGGGCGGCAGCTTGTCGACGTGCGGCGTCATGCGGCCCGCCTGCTCGACGAGCCCGCGCGCCTCCTGGACGGCGCCCTCGGCCCGCTGCAGCGCGCTGCGCTCCATCATGTCCGTCATGGTGCCGCCGCCGAACATGTCGACGCGCGAGTGGCTCAGCGCGTCGTCCATGCCGCGCAGCGCGTCGCCCATCCGGCCCGCCGCCGCCGTCAGGAGCCGGATGGCGGCTGCTCGGGCCTCGGCCTTTGCCGCGGGGTGTCGTGGTACGCGCGGCGGGCCTCGTCGGCCTCGCGCTCGAGCCGGTCCTCGTCCGGGTAGCTCGCCGTCGCCGTCGTCGTGGGGCCGGCGAAGATGGAGTCGTAGAGGGTGTCGAGGTCGCACTGCGCCTCGTCGTGGCGCCGCGCCGCCGCCTCGAGCGGCACGCCGGCCTCGCGCGCCGCCGCGAGCTGCGCCCGCAGGTTGCCGTTGAGCTCCCTCTCGCGGTGCTCCTCCTGCAGCGCGTCAAAGTACTCGCGCTCCTCGCGCGCCGCGCGCTCGTCGAACTTGTCGCGCTTGCCGACGGCCTTGTGCACGAACCGCCGCATGACGCTGTCGCGGTACTTCTCGTGGTCCCTGAGCTCCTTCTTGCGCCGCGCCTCGAGCGCGCCGAGCGTCCTGTCGGACTGCTGCAGCTGCCGGTCCAGGTCGGCGATGAGCCGGCGCTGCTGCGTGAGGTCCGGGATGGCGTTGTCCGTCTCGGCGAGGACGGCGAGGAGCTCGCGGTTCCGGACGGCCGCCTGGAGGATCTTGGATTCCAGCTCGGACGACATTGTGGTGGTGTTCGTGGCGTTGGTAATGGGACGGCGTGTGCGGGCCCTGTCTAGGGTAATCTCAAAGAGTATCTCAAGAGTTTCTAAAGTGTGTTTCAAGAGTTTCTCAAGCTGTTTCTCGTGTGATGATGCCGGCGCAAAGGCGCGAGGTGTATCGCAAGGTTCGAGAAAAGGCCTACACGATTTCACGGGAGGAAAAGGTGTATGCTTTGTATAAGAGAGGAGTATAGTTAGTCAAGTCATTGTTGGCGACAACTGTACCACAGCAATAACAACACGGGCAATGGCTTCGTCATCAAAATGGATTCACCATCAGGGAGACCCTCCCCGGAGGTTGACTGAGCATTATATGCATGTCCAGCAATCCTTGGCGGGGGGGGGAGCAAAAGGCACCTGTCAACCGGCGCTATTGCAACGACGATCCACGGCAGAGGTGGGCGGACGCACCAGAGATACCGGTAAGACGGACGCAGACAGACTAAATCGATCGATCCTCTACATCACTGTAGCATGATGATGGTGATTGGGGGCCATGTGGCATGCATGGCCAATGACATCAGTCCCCTCGATCCTCGCCGGCCGGGTTGCCTCTGTTATGGCACTGCACCAAGGATCATGCCACCGCCCTGGCTGTGTGGTATGTCGAACAACACGCCCGGTCCGGGTTACTGCTGACGGGCTTAGAAGGGGATCATCGGTGCTGGTAAGCATGAGCCACGAACCAGCACGGCGAGCGCTGTCGCTGACGCCGCCGTCATATACCGAACAGAGCCACGACGGAAAGTATAGGTAGTAAAAGAACTCCATGTTTTGTCCACTCCGCATAGAGAGGCGTGGGACAGAACCAGGCAGACGGATTCTGTTGGCCAGCAACGAGTCTCGCGTACCAAAAGAACCCGCCGCTAGATACGTGCCAAGAATCAAGGATCTGGCCGGTAAAAGGGGAAGGGATCTAAATCTCTTGGGATGATGCTCATATCTTTGCCTCGGAGGGTCACGCAAACCCCCTCAACAGCGGGGATCTTCGTTACTGATGATGGCACTTCTTAATTGTGATAGGGAGCCAAGAGAAGGAGGATTGGGAGGGGGAAACTTTTGCACGTCGCTGATGCGTTGGGATCTGCCATCTCTTCCCTCTCGGCCAAGACCATGAGTTCATGTCGGCTCTTTCACCTCTGTTGCCCCCCTTTTTTGGCGTCGCAGAAGACTCGAGGCATAGAGTGACGGGCAACGTGACTTCAATGCATTAGTTCTTCCATCGGCTTCGGGATGTGCAGCAAGGCACAACAAGCCAAGCCATGGCATGCATGATGGATGACGATGCCCGACAACCCAAGCATCAACATCAGAGACTGCCGCGTTTATGCGCATTGACCTCGTTTATCGTGGGAAACAACTCAAACAGAACCCCCTCACTTACGTTATAGATCCTTCTCCGTGACTTACTCTGGCCCCCTCCGCTACGTGGCGGGCGATAGCTGGTATCGTCTACTGCCAGCGAGGTTGCCCGCTCCCCCACATCACCGCCGTCGTCCGGGATCAACCTCGTTGCTTCTGTCATGCCCTGCCGCATTGGCCCAGTCACGTTTCCCCGGACTGGTCGCCGGCGACTGGGGAGTGGTTGCATGGCAACCGGAATCCTCTCCGCCGTAGGTGCTGTGACGACTACGGCATTGACGGTGACACGCGCTTGTGGTTTATTCCCTCCTTGTACCGATCCAAGCTGCCGTGAACTCATGATAAGATAACAAGTCATATTCGTCTATATCCGAGACTCCCATTATGCCCAGCCAACGCCCGCCCGATCTCCGCAGAAATACATGGAATTACAGTGGTCTTATACAGATCTTTCCCGGACTGGTGTAGCATCTCGCGGCTCATCTCCTGCGACGGGCTTGTAACCCACTATCTCAATGCCATCATCACTTTCCAGGTGGGTGGGGTCGTTCTCCTTTGGTACTTTCACAAGCATCAGCGCCGCCCAGGTTCCCGTGGCCAAGAAGAAGACGTAAAACCAAGGGAGACCCTTCCACCCTCCCTTCTTCTCCATCCCGACCGAGAATGCCCAGGCGAGCACCGGGCCGCCGAGCGGCGACCCGAGGGTGTCGGCCATGCTGGCCAGGGCGTACAACCGCGACGTGTGCTCCGGGTCGACGAACCCGGTGATGAGCGCGCGCGAGACGGGGAAGCTGGCGGAGCCGAGCGTGGTGACCACGAGGCCGGCCGCGAAGACGACGACATCGCGGCTGAGGCCCCCGATCAGGGCGCCGCTGGCAATCATAAAGTACGACACCCTGGCAAGGAGCGCGTCCTTGCCGCAGCCGGTGCGGCGGAAGCGGCCCCGGGGGTCGGTGATGGCCCGTGACAGCCACGGCAGGGCGAGGAGGACGGCGAGGTGGCCCAGCTCCAGTGGTGACATGAGGAAGGTCGTCTGCGCCAGCGTCCAGCCAAAGTACTTGCTTATGTACTGCGGGAGCGTCTGGCCGTGCGATGCGCCGAGCGGGCCCTGCACGAGCGACGGCGCCAGGCAGAGCATGACGTTGCGATCCCGGAGGATGCCGACCGACTCCCGCACCTCGTGCAGCCCGTTGTCCAGCGCCTCGCCCACCGCGGCGCCGAGGGAGAGCCGCTCCCGGGGCGGCGACCCGGCCGACCGGCCGCGGAGGGTCTCGGGCAGCAGCATCATGAGGAGCAAGATGACGGGCACGACGAGGAACATTACGCGGATCGGCGCCCAGGGCCCGTGCCGCTCCATCATGAAGCCCGCCGTCACGGGCCCCAGCAGGCCGCCGGTCACGGCGCCGACGGAGAGGAAGACGAAGTTGGAGGCGCGGTCCTTGGCGGTGCTGACGTCGGCGGCCATGGCGTAGAGGTTGTTGAAGAAGACGACGACGCCGCCGCCGACGAGGAAGAAGAGGATCCCGACGAGGATGAGGTAGATGCTGGCCTCCGGGAAGCGGGCGAGGAAGAGGAGGGGCCAGATGACGGCGCCCAACGTGCCGGTGTAGGCGAGGAGCATGCCCGCCTTGCGTCCGATCCTGTTGGATTTCATATCCCCCCCCTGTCAGCCAGTCTCCGACATGCACACACACACACACACACACATACCATGACTGAGTTTGGAAAGAGAAAACACTCACCTATCAGACAGGACGCCGTAGGGGAACGCGACGGTCATGTTGACGACGGCGCCGAAGAGGGACTGCCAGCCTTGCAGCCACGCAAGGTCCCTCTGCACCTCGTCGACCTTGCACTTCATCTCGGGGATCCGCGCCTCCGGGCCCAGCCGGTAGTGCTGATGGCAGATGTGGTCCTCGATGAGGCGCATGATGGGCATCATCTGGATCGCGAGCTTGTACGAGACGGTGAACTTGAGCAGCGCCAGCACCAGGATGACGGCGCGCGGCGAGGTGGCCCGGAAGGGCGTCAGCAGCCCGTCGAGCCCCCGGAAGCCCGCCCGCAGGCCGCCCCCGACAAGGCGGAAGAGGACGCCGACCCGTCCGCGGGCCGAGAACCGTCGCGGTGAGCGGAACGAGCCGCAGAACAAGTCCGGGTCGTCCGCCCCCGGGAGGTCGTCCTCATGAACCGGGTAAGCACTAAGGACGTATTCGTCGGCCTTTAGCCCGTCGGATGGACGTGTCATCGTGCTGCTGCTCTCCTGACAATCTGTCCTGGCTTGCTCTTCCTTGCTTTTTACTCAGTGCCTTTGGTCTGGAAGGGGGTGAATGAGTACCATCGGCAACGGCTGTTTTGGGACCTAGGGAGAGCAAGAAATACGAGAGGGACCGGAAACGGACTCCCGGTCCTGTCGGACAAGGTCCAGTCCGCCAAGGGAGGGCTCCTACATAACGATGCTGACGAATATATGAGCGTGTTTCAGCCGAAGCGTGCTTCGCCCGGCGCCCGGGATCGCACTGGAATGCGAGATTGACGAGCTTGTGAGGGCTGTTATCACAGTACCTTATCAAAGCTGACTCGGACGCCTGACACAGTCGCCTGTTGAAGTAATCTCTTAACAGACCCTTGCTAGAGCATCTGTGAATAAGCTCTAGTGCTGCCGCGTATCCATTAGTGAAGCACTCAGTTTCTTACTTTAGCAGGGGAGCAGCAAGCTCGCTCTATCAACACAGGGTTCCCCCAGTGTTGGCGGAGCGTCTTGCGACTCGCACGCAGCGCCTGATCCAATTCGCAATGAAAGAGTTACCATGAGCGTGGAACCATCTCATGTTCGGGGGGTCTTGAAAGTGGTTAACGCAGCCGAGAATGAGCAGAGGATATAGTTTACTGTTCTGCGGCATTCATGACCCCGTATCGGCAAATGAGTATCGGAAATAGATATGCCTGCTGTGCTGATCAACATCGGCACAAATCAAGCAGCGGCCATGCCTGTGGACCGATCCCATTTCACCCAATGTTCAAGTTCCCCTTTATTTAGCTTTGAATTCAGCAGAACCGTAACACCTCCAACATCCTTGTAACCAAGCTGGCGGTGCATGAACGTAGCGAAATGCTACTTTTCACAGCGAACCAAACAGCCAATTCCATTTAGAGAGTGGACTGATTCATACTATGCAAAGAGCCCGACTTTATAAGTTTTTGGTTTCCCCCCCCCTCTCCGTGGACTTCCTTCATTATCGATTGAATTCCTCCGGCTGATCGATGTATCATGGACGACCATCTGTTGGGCGGTCAAGCAGAAGCTGTGGCGTATTCCACTCATAGCAGGATTATGGCTTGAAGTATCGACACAACACCGCTCACACAAGCTATTTAGAAAATCCTCTGCCACTCTCTGATATGCGGAGAAGCTACCGCGGCGCCAATTGAGTGCCGAGTTGATCACATGACGCGAGGACATAAGACGGGGACAGGAGTGCGGGCAGCATCCCGACAACGGCGATAAGGACCGAGCTGCTCTTCATCGTATCGTGAATAGAGGATTGGATTTGACTTTGACCGTTTGACTGCATTCTACAAAAGACACACGATGACTGAAACAAAGAGCAACTCGTACCTGATCGTCGGCGCCGGCGTCTTCGGGGCTTCCACGGCCCTACATCTCATCAGGGCGCGCCCGGACGCAGGCGTGACCCTCGTCGACCGCAACGCCTTCGACGCCCCCGTCCGCGTCGCCGCCTCCTGGGACTGGAACAAGGTCGTCCGCGCCGACTACGTCGATATCGAGTATATGCGTCTAACCCTCGAGGCCAAGAAGTACTGGGCCGAGGACCCCCTCTGGAAGCCCTTCTACCACGAGAGCGGCGTCTACTGGGTCTCGCCGAGCAACTTTGCGCAGCAGATGCAGGCGAACTACAGGAAGCTCGGCGTCGAGTCGGGACTCTCCTCGCTCTCGGTGGAGGAGGCCAGAAAGGAGTACGCAGGCATCTTCGCGGACTCGGACTTCACCGACGTCGACGAGGTCTTTGTGAATAGGAACAGCGGGTGGGGCGAGGCCAAGGAGGCGCTGCAGAGGACGATCGAGGAGGCCGTGAGGCTGGGCGTCGAGTACGTCGAGACCGAGGTCGCCAGGCTCGAGTTCAACGCCGCAGGCGCCGCGACGGGTGTGCAGACGGCCGGCGGCGAGAGCATCAGGGCGGCCCACGTCATCCTGTCGACGGGCGCGTACACGGCCAAGCTGCTGGCCGACAGCGCTCCCGAGCGGGCTGAGCTCCATGCCGGCGACAGATTCGTTGCTGCTGCTGTGACGGAGGGATTCACGCCCGTCACCGGAGAGAACGCCAAGGATTTATACGACGGGCCGGTCGGCATCTCAACGGTGCCGCCTTCAAGAGGTGCGTCTCTGATCACAACAGTAGCAAATCGTAGCCCCCTTTTCTGCGGACTGTGCCCCCCCCTCTGACACCGCTTCAGGCGCCAGCAACGGGAGCGTCCCGCACTCAAAAGACAAGACGCTCAAGTTCTGGGGCCAGATCATCTTCAGGAACACGCAGCCGCACCCGAACGGAGACCGGTTCTCCGCGCCCCCGCCGGCCTCGGACTACGCGCAGTTCGACGTCCCCAAGACGCTGAGGGACGACGTGGACTACGCGGGGAAAAGCCTCTTTGGCAAAGGCAGCGCCGGCTTCAAGAACGAGAACTACCGCATCTGCTGGTAAGTAGTACCTACGCCATCGGGAGCCCGTCAAAAACATGAGAAATGTACTTACACGTGCACCCGGGGAACAGGGAGGCCGTGACGCCCGACGAAGACTTCATCATCTCCCCGCACTCGGCGAGCAAAAACCTCTACGTCGCCACCTGCGGGTCCTTCCACGGCTGGAAGTTCTTGCCCATCTTGGGCAAGTATGTTGTGCAGATGCTGGACGGGTCTCTCGAAGAGACTCTGGCCAAGAAGTGGTCGTGGGATCGGGTTTTGCCTCCCCCTACTCACAGAACCTGGCCGAGGAAAGAGCTCAGTGATTTCGAGTAAGCCCTGGGAGTCATAGAAAAGAGCCAGAGGTTAGATCCTCGAGGAAGCACGTGCGCTGAACCCTGTAGTCAGGTCAAGCATTGGCTTCGAGAAAGTCAACTCACCGAATCTATATATATGTTGTCTCTGAAGCTCATACAGCTGGTTGGTTCACCTACATATGACTTCATGATCTGCGCTGATTGGTATACATTCATCTCTTCAGTCGGCTGTCCAAGATTCTCATCTACTGACGCCCATGTTCCTCACCGAATTGTCATTTCTTCATAACCAACCGCACCGTCACGCGCCTCTCGTGCGTGGCATGGGCCTACCAACTGACTCGCGTCGCCGTCTCCCGGTGGCCTGGCCACGAAGGGAACGTCGAGGCCCTCTATCCTAACCACTCGGTCCCCAGTCATAGTTGCCTCCGGGGCGAGCCCGAGAAACCCTGCGTCCGTGACGAAAAAACGCCGCCCGTGGCATGTGGTGAACATCTCTTCGGGCCGGCACCTCGTGCTAGGCGGCGCACAAGCAAATATGTTCCTCAGCAATACCGTCCTCACGTAAACGGAGTCTTCGGAGTCAGTACAGGCGAGCGGACTGATTGGCCTCTGGCGGTAGTATTCTCGGACTCCCTGGACCGCCTCCATCATTACGTTCTCCATCATTACGGTCTCCATCACCCATGAGTCTCCCGGCAACCAGTCAAACAAGGCTTTGATGAACGGTGAGAGTTCTCTTAATGATGGTTGAAGATGCCATGGCTCGCATATGCTCTCCCACTGCTCCAGGGGTAAATAATTGGCGTATATGTCGCACAATTCGCCCAACTTGACGATCGTCCCAGTCGTTACAGCGCGGACGTAGAGCTGTGTACTCTGGCTTCCTTCTGAGGTGGTGTACTCTGAAAATCTCCACGGCCTATGGCCGGCTCCGTCGGCCGTCATCTCTGTAATAAGGTTGCTGCTAGCATCGTGAATATGCATCGTTGTCCACTTTCCTGCTGCCATCGGCGGCATAATACCACGGGACGACCGTAAGTCATGCGTGCTCCAGTCTGGGGCCCACGTCGGCAGTCCTGGTACTTAAGTCGGGGTTACGACGCTGCAGAGAACGTTCAGTCCGAGGGCGTCGATAAGAGCTTGACCGAGCTAGGTGAACGTCTAGGCGGGCGAGCGGCTGTAGTCTCCCTTCGGAATAGCAAAGAGTGCATGTTTCCTCTTTCCAGCATCGACTGTCCAGTTTCGCCGCTTGTCTTCCCGGTCTAGCAGCGGAAGGACTGCGTAGAGCTTGTCCCTTGCATCGGTGGCCTCGAGGTATCTCGTTTTCTGCAAGATGTTCAGCAGACGCACAGGATAGGGCGGTACCCATGTTTCCTGCCGCATCTCGCCCTTGTTCGCCTGGGTCACCGCGTACGGAGGTGGTTCGGCTCGGGAGTCATTATCGACCATGTACCGTAACTCGTCGAATGCCTCCCAACTGACCTCTCTGGTCCCGAAAACAACAGTCGCTCTACTTGCCCGCTGAATCTCTTGCAAGACCCACGTGCGCTCGAACCACGGCCACCGCAGCAGCGACGGAATCGATCCTGGTACAGTTTGAAAAGCCGAAGCCAGCAAGTATTCTTGAGATTCGCCTAGCCAGTCCATGGCGTCGTCGCTGTTCTCGGCCTCACTGCTCTCGCCCAGATATACAACCACGCTTGAAGCCTTGCTGTATGTCCGCGGCATCAGACCCGACTGATGGTTTCTCTCTGGCACAGCAGACTGATCGATGCAGATGGCGTCAATCCATAACATCCGCTGCTTCGTTGGGAGTCGCAGGCGCCTCAACGCAGCCGCGCAGCTGCGGGTGACAGACAGGGGCGTCATCGAAGAGGTATTGCCACGCGACGCGAAAGCGACGACATTGATGATCTCGGTCTGTTTAGAATCCCCCCATGCGTACGAGAGAGCTTCATATTGCGGGCAACGGTGCAGACTAGACGTAAGGAGGTGAACGGTGATCGGGGCACCACGCTCCCCGGGCTGAACCTTGACGAGCCGAAACGCGTCTTTCAGGTCCGGTTTCTCGCCGGGATAGCTGTAGCTCTCTGCGGCATCCATGTGGAGAGCTTGCAACCGCAAAGTGCCTGCTTCGGTGGTAAGATCAGCCGCGCGTGCACAGGGGTAAGCTTGATTTCTGGGAGGTGAATCACAAGTGTAGGAAGATCTTTTGCGATGGTTTGGCTTGCACTGGCGTACAAAAGATCTTTTCACCAGTGTAAAGGCAAGGGGACGATGTTTTTCCAACGGACGTGATTCGTTCTCCTTAGCTGGACGTAGGAGTTAGCATCGGGCAGCAACAAACCCCGGTCATGCATGGATTATCTAAAGACTATTCGAAGCAATTGGAGCTAAGCTGCTTACATCCGCTCGCCCGGACTGCCATGGTGGAAAGCTTGTCTTACAAGGCTATGGGGAGCTGATGGCAGGAATGAAGACGACGTGGGCGCCCTCATGCAACGGCTAACAAGGGCTATCTAGGCAACGGGAATGGTTGGCAAAAAGTCGCCTCATCTCTAAGCCAAGACCAAGGCGGCGCCGTTGCAAGCTAAAATACAAAAGTCCCTCATTTCGGGCATACTCGGGCGAGCTGCCCACTCCTAATTCAACACAGGATTTGCTGTGACACGCCACAATACAAGCCAAAAGATTGTTTCCGCCTCTTCGGTTGATTAGTGTTAGCTCGATGTGGAAGATGTCTAGGACGATCAGCATCCTCTTCCTGCGCCTTGCCATATTTCCATATCCCGCGCCTATGGCCTTGCATGCCTGAAATTGTGGGAGCTTATTCGAGCCATGTTTATTCATTTCGTTAGGTCCTTATGTACTGATACTTTGCTGGAATGACTCCGATGCCTTGCGAAGCCTCGAGGACGTACAGTACACTCCTTATTTTTCATTAGAATAGAACAAACGCCCACGAACACTTCATGGTCACGTAACAGATCTCCTGGAGAAGGGTTTTCTATAATTGAAAATGATTGACAAGATCCAGGTCTTGGGCTGTAGTCGCCAAGTATTCTATACTATCTAGAGCATAAAAAGCTTTGTTCATATTCGCGTCTAGTATGAGTGTAACACCTGGCGCGTATGTACCACTTCCGTGCAGATGGGATGTATAAAAACCCAAGAAATATAATCCTGTTTACTACCGTTTTTGAGCGGACAATAGTTCGTATACGGAAAAGAAAAGAGGAAAGGGATCGACAGAAGTTGGCCTCACGGTCCCCCATGTTAGTGCCATATACCCGCGTTAGCTGCAGTCATGCTCACACTTTGTGGCGCTTCGCCCATCTTCCCGTCCAGGGAAGTGCAAATTCTTGAACGAGATCGTGTCTTGGGCTGACGTAGCGGCGCAAGAAGCCGTCCCAAGAGGGAAATAAACTTTGGACACTATAATTCGCGTTGTGATACTTAAGTGGTCGACATTCCCGTCGGCAAGACAGGTTTCTCTCAACCACCAGATCCACCTTCGACCCCGGCTCCGGACTGACGATCATGAAACCTACGCTCTTCTTCGGATGCTTCTTGGCCATAGAGGCCGCCGCGAGCTGCTCGTGGAAGCCGTCGACGGTCAAGATAGACACACACTCGCACTTCCTCCCCGACTTCTACGCCCAAGCGCTACGGGATGCCGGGCATCTGCCCGGCCCCGATGGGATGCCCAGTATACCTGTAGGTTTCCTCCTCACCAACAACCGGCACAAGTAAACCCTTGCATCTCTGACTGTGGGCCGAAAGGAATGGTCGCCCGAGGCGCACCTCTCGTTCATGGAATCGCAAAACATTGAAAAGTCCTACCTGTCCATCTCCAGCCCGGGCGTCTACCTGTCCGTGCCGTCGCGCCCCGCGACGGAACAGGCAATCTCGCTCGCGCGCAGGGTCAACGAGTACGCTTCGCGCTTGAAGGCCGAGTACCCGGACAAATTCGGCTTCTTCGCCTCTCTCCCCCTGCCCGACGTGGCCGCGTCCGTCGACGAGATCACCTACTGCTTCACCAAGCTGGACCCGAAGCCCGACGGCGTCGTGCTCATGTCCAACGCGTACGGGCTGTACTTTGGCGACCCGGCCATGGACCCGGTGTACAAGGCGCTCGACGCCCTCAACGCGACCGTCTTCGAGCACCCCGCCGTCCCGTGCACCGAGCACAACCATCAGCAGTTCCAGATCGACGGGCCCGACCCCGGCATCACGCCCGAGAAGTGGCTGGCCCTCAACAGGCCGATCGACGCGCGGATGGGGCGGGCGCCGACGCTCGACTTCCCCTTCGAGACGGCCCGCACCTTCGCCGACCTGTTCTACTCGACGGTGCCGACCAGGTTCCCCTCCATCGAGTGGATCATGCCGCACGCCGGCGGCGCCCTCATTCCGACGATTGATCGGATCGTCGGCTTCAGCACGCCCGAGCTCAACCTGACGGAGGCGTCGATGAAGGCCACCCTCGAGCGCAGCTTCTACTTCGATCTCGCCGGCCCGTGGCCCGTCACGTCGGCCATCCCGGCGCTGATGCGCTGGGTAAGCCATGAGAAAATCGTGTGGGGGAGCGACGTGCCTTTCACCCCGTGGGCCGTGGCGAAGGTCGGGGCTGCCAAGTTCGATATTGGAGTAGCGAAGGTCTTCAACAGTACGGATGACGCCCAAGACGTCAGGAGGTGCAACGCCGCAAGGCTATTTGGATGATAACACTTTACCTCGGATGCATCATGGCTTGGGCATAGCAGAGAAATGCCCAAGTAACCGGATCACTTACGCCTTGAATATTGTAAAAGAAAAGTGAGAAAAAGGAGTAGGATAGATGAGAGACTATTGCAGAGTAACAACACTTACCTAGTGCTGGAACCTTGGCGGTATACGATTCGTGTACGACAATCATAGCAAATACCATAGCAAATTGCCACGGTGTAATATCGACGGCAATGTTTGAGAAACGACACACTGAATGGGAATGTATTCGATAGCTGAAAAAGTCGATCCAGTGCGCCAAGTCAGAACACGATACAAGATCGCACTGGCACACAATCTTATTGACAAGTATGTGTCCCACAAACGCCACAGTGATAGTGGAGAGAAGAGGGGGGAAAAAAAAGACTTGGATAGTTCCTTTCGAGAGAAGCTAGGAAATCTTATGGTACTTTCGGGGCTTGTCCGTCATCCGTTACCCCAAGGACCATCCGATTCCGAAGCTTCCGGAAAGTTTACTCAGTATACCGGCTGCTGACCTTCCGGATGTTCTGGAAGCTGGTCATCTCCAGACCATTTACTGCTTGCGGAAGCGCCTGGGCCCTCGAAATGCCGTCGTCCCCGTCAACATGATCTAATTACTTAAAGAAGTACAGTCAGCAGCGCCTTGCTGCCGACGAACTGCTCTTAGACAATCGACGTGTTTTGCAAGAGGCCAAAAAGACTTGCACCCCAGCAGGGACAAGAACGATTGAGATCCTGTATGGGTACATGTATGCGGCACACTAAAACGCTGACGACTATGGCATGATGAGGACTTTGGCCTTGGAACCAGTCAACCGTGTTGAGTATATGCTCAGCTAGTGGGACAGACCTAAATAGTCCATTATATTCCAAGGCTATGCCCTGACTGTGAAGCTTCTGTACGTAATGTCGCGATCAACTTGCCGTCAGGGGGCAGAGTGCTATTACACTCGAGCTGGCAATTTCAATAACTCATCCCAATTGTAATAATAGATATATTATATAAGCCTGCCCGGCTGAGACAATGACAAGTACAATCACTGTAGCTCTCGCTTGCTGCTTGCTGCCTTAATAGAGAACCGAAATGGTTCGACTTTTACTGCTGGGAATAGCTCTCAGCATCTCCCTAGTCAACGCAGCTTATAGTCCCGGAGGTTGTATTTAATCGTAATGAGTAGTAAAAGGGATACTATATTCTACGGTAGATCTTCTTAGACCCTTGCCCTTACTAACAGCGTTTATTACCTAGTTAATCATATACTTGATATACTAGACTATAATAATAAAAATCAGCTAGCCTAAAAAGATAAGGCTATTTAGATAATAACTATAGAAAAAGTGATGATAGTTTGAAGTTAGAGGTAGTGGCTGGGGATAAGGAATTTTTAGGTGTTCCTGATGTAGGTGCTTTGACTTGGACAACATTCATCTTCCCCTTCGCCTACTTTTCCTTGGCATCTACCACGGCGTTAAACGATCTCATCATCATCATCATCAAGTGTAGGATAGATTCGTGATGGGTATCTTTTAGTTTAAATTTCAGGACCCATCATTCATATACGGATGATATGCGGCTTTCTCAGCAAAGAGTCCGTTCTGGTACTCAAAGCTGCACCTGCAGACACCCAAAACCAACGGCCCAACGACCCAACACGCTCATGATTATTAAAAGCAAACCATTTTGATGTGCAACTCAACGCCCGCTCAACGACTCCGAATTAAGGCTGTCTGCCACTGTTGACGGCCCACTTCTCGACCAGAGCCCATAGCTCGGCGCCGCCATCTCCAGATCCGCCAGAACTCTGGTCGTCCTCGGCCAACAGAGCTTTGATCTCTTCTCTGTCGGGCACAATGTAACTCGGGGGCTTCGTCCCGGTCTCCTGGACCGCCAGTTTGACCCACGGGTCAAGAAACTGCTTTGCCGAGGCGGGGATGTCCTGCTTCATCGCCCACGCCATGGCTTGGAGCGCTTGTAAAAGGTACATGGACATGCGGACAACGCGGGCCGAGAGGCCGCCGACCCTGCAAAGACGCGTGAATAGGTCGTTTGTCGCAGCGTGGTCATCGTTTAGAAACGGCATCAAGTTCTGCATCGCCACAAAGACTTGTCGGGTGATGAAAGAGTGGATGGTGAATCGTAGTAGGAACGCTTCTGCAAGGGTGGTGTCGGATACACAGTGTTGCAGGATTAGGGATTTCACAGTGGCAGACGGCCCAGTAAAAGGCCCGTCAAACTTTGTTGATGGGTGGAGAGGTTGCAGCAGAATGTATGCGATTTCATTTTCATGCATCCTGGATAAAGTCAGCAACTTGAAGAGTCTCGGCGTGAATTAGCATAGGCTTACCTGAGGAAGCATGTGCTGGGAGTGAAGTTGTATTCCATCTGGAAACGGTCAGGCAGCGCTTTCCTAAACTCCCGCAACCTACAGTACCAGTGCTTCCTCCGTCTAATGTCTTCTATGCTGCCCTTTATGGTGCTGCCAGAAGTCAGGTACTGCATGATGTCGTACTGCAAGCATGCGAGGCTTGTATTAACTGTTGCTATCCCTGGGACGATTGGCAGTTGTGTTTTTGATTCCATGTATGGCCGCCCTAGGACGTCGACGTTGCCCCTTGGCTCGGTTGCGTCTTTGCCATAATTATCGAATAATTTCGGTATCGTTGGAGGTGGGATATCGGCAACTGAACTGTAGAAGTACGAAATGCGGCTATGCCCAAGATCAGCATGCATAGCGACGATATGGCCAACGGGAGGATGGAGTGAATCTCACCTCTCCATTAGAAAGATGGCCCATACCGCCTTTGAAATGCATAGCATCTCTCTAGCATCGACGGGGTCATCTTTGTTGAGCATGGCGAACCTCCGGTCAGGTTTGAAGCGCTTGTACCGCTCCCAGGCCATGAAGCGGTACATCTTGGCGCTGCTCTCGTCTCCGGCGATACTCGCCGACCAATCCACAAGGACAAGGGCGAGAATGGTGGGTATTGTTGCTCGTCCATGACTCTTCTCCACCAGCTGCATGACCTCGTCCCGAAACGTCTTGCACAGGTCTCGGCCTGTGATGGTGCTGAACTGTTTGGCGCTTTCAAGGAATGGCTGTCGAGCGGAAACGGTCAGCATACTAAGATGATGGACAGCCCGAGAAGGATTCGAGACTCACTGCTCGGACTGCACAGATGGCGTTGACCAGGATGGGCGAGCACCACTTGGCTTCCTTGATGCTGCCGGCGCGCATGTCGTCTATAAACAGGGTCTGCTCGATGGCCGGGAAACAGCTGACGTTTTCCCAATTGAAAAAGTCGGTGACGAGCTCCGACACAAGACCATCATCGGCGACGGTGGTCCAGGGTTTCGCGGGGACTCGGATCAGGCTGCTTTGGAGAGCCCTCTCGTCGAGTTTGGTCAGCCTCATGTCGCGTGTCCTGTCGTTTGTCGCCGGGACGGGCAGCAGAATTTCTGCCTGGCGGATGGACTCCAAGACCCTAATGGGGTCTCCAGAAGCCCTGATGCGTCTGAAGATTTCCTTTGCCTCATCCTCGGACTTGGTGCAGACCATGCGGAACAGGTCTCTGTACTGGGCATTTTCGGTCTCCAAGACACTGGCTTTGCGCTTGAGCGCAAGGCTCACGGTCTCGCCCTGGTTCGCTTCATAATGGCAGTCGACGCCTCTCTTGGAGCAGTGCTGGCACTTTGGGCGTTGGCCATCGCACTGGATAATGGGAAAAGAAGAAGAAACATCAGCCTTGGGATGCGGGTAGCGCGCAAGCAGGATGCTACGATAGCGCGGGACGAGAATGGGGGGGTGTGTCTCTCGTGTAAATGCTGGTTTTCTTATTGGTGTCTTTTTTTTTGTTGTGGAAAAAAAAGGCAGTATCTCACCTTGGCCTTTCTCCGTCGACAGTTATCGCAAGCGACAGCAATGACTTGTCGCTTGGAGGCAGCACGCGGCTTCGGGTCGGCCGAGGATGAGTCGTCACTCTGACTTCTGCTCTCCGTGCTTGTGCTTGGGTCGTTGACAGAGCCGTCGCTGCTCCCTCGTCCGGCCGAGTCGTGGCCCGAGGTCGAGGGCTGCTGGGCTACTACAGCTGCCGGCGCTGCTGTTGCGGCCGTCGGTGGAAGAGAACCGAGAGATTGAGCGCCCGGGGCGGGAAGAATGACGCGACGACGCTTCGGGGGTAGCGACATGAGATTGAACCGAAGTGGCCGAGTGCGGTGCTTTTTGTCGTTGGATTTCGTCTCTTGGGTACGGAGTAGCTAGCAGGTATAGTATGTGAACGAGACGATGCGTGGCCTCTCTTGGGCGGTAATAGTAGTGGTGTTTAGCACTTGCAATAGGGATATTTAGCCCCCGTCTCCTTGGTTCAAAGGGGGGCGGAAGTAATAGAGCATGGGCCAGTCTTGCTGACGGAGGGGAAATTGAATGGATTGGATTTTGCTTGTGCTTGCGGCGCGTAAAGCAGAGCAGAGCAGACAAGAGCAGCAGCAGCAGCAGCACCTTCCTCTCGCCTCAGGTCCACTGATGCTCGTTACCTTCCCTCGACTTGGTTGGGAAAGTGCGATCTCGATCAGTGGGAACGTCCCCCCCCGGTCGGAAAACTCCGTCACGTGGGGGGGGGGGGCACAAAAAGGCTCCTGTCATTGGTCAACAAAAACCGTTCAGCCAATGGGAGCGTGTCGGAGCTTGCTCCTTCAGTCCGGTGGGCTTCCCAGGTGACCCCCTCCACCAACGAAAAGATGGGAAAGAGCTAAAAAGCGAGGGGAAGGGAGTATGGGAAAGTATGCTGGTGGCGCCGAATCCGGTACTGACCGGAGCTGGCTCCTTCCTCGGACACGGAATGAAGCAATTGAAAATTCCAACATTGAAAGAAAAGGAACAGAAAAACAGGACAGAGTTTAAGAAAAAATCAAAAACGCCCATGAGGTCAACAAGCCAAGGGTCACACACACACACACACACACACACACATTACCCATTTTGTCTGTCCCTTGTATGTGCTCCATCGGAAGCTGAACCTGATAACCTTGGGACCGGTCTGGCCCAGTCTAGACCCCTCGCCTATTGGGCAACACCGACTCATGAAAGATGACGAGGCCGTATCACGATCCCGTCCTACCCAGGGCTGAAACGGAAGCGACTATTCGCCCTGTTCAATTCCACGATGGTCTTCAACTTACCATACCCCCTTTCAGTCAACCACTTCTTGACGAGCTTGACGAGGGTATCCGTGTACTATTCCGGTCTCGCCGACGTCCAACAAGAAACCCAAATGTGTTGCTCTCGCCCTTCTGTCGACGATATACGGAGTATGCGAATTGGCATTGAGCGACTCCCCACCAGACTGCCGATCGGAACTCGGAAGCCGGGCGTGAAGTCCCTCGGCCGTGTTCGTGCTGTGCTTTGGCTGTCGGAGAAGAGCCTCTGGGAGGCATTGCTTTTCAATGATATTGCGTCCCCTCATTTTCGTCTCCTGTCGTCTCTTCAACAGAAACGTCAATTCCGCATCCACCTAGCACACTACTCCGGTTTCCCTATATGAGCATTGTGAATGGATGCGGGATGGGCTAGCCCCGCACTCGCCTTTCAGCGCACGCCCATATAATATTCAACACTACTCAGCACGACCAAGTTATAGGCATCCCTGTATCTCGCTGGTCCACTATCTGCTCGGACGAACTCCGAACCGGAAGCATAGTTGATCCAACCAACCATATTGGCCCAGTTTCCTCAAAAGCGTAGCAGCCTGCGCCTAAGCCTATCCGGCCGGCTCGTTACGAAGCTAGCTTAAGGATCGACCGCATAGAAGACAGGCCGCACAGCTTACTTGTTCACCCGCAGCAGTCGGGCCGGCATCTGTGCTTCATCTGCTTCGCCTCGGTCTCCTTCGTTCGGTCGTCCTCGGTGTATAGTACGCAACCCTCTCCGGGTGGCTGCCGAACGTTGGGATAGTTCAGTGCCGGGATCGCCTCCGTCTATGCCACTGCAGTCGTTCGATTTGTGCGCATTGTTCAGGGTCCCTATCCTTCTTTCATCCCAAGGTCATGGGTGTGACTCGAATCGGGCTCCTGTTAAGCCACATGGCGCGGAATGGATACCACCGCAACTACGGATGTGTTTTCCTCACAAGAGCGCCCGAAGCCCCATATGGATCCTTGAAAATCTCCCACACGGCTTTTATCACCGAAACCTTCCTGATCTTGTCGTCGCGGCATAGGCAATCATGGAGCTGGACCACCTTCCCCTCTCTTAGACCGACGAGCTCGTCTAGGAGACGGAGGAGAGCGACGCGACGAGCCCGCCGAACGGCAATGTCGGCTCATTCCGGCGAGTTCGCGTCCCCGGTAAAAGAATCGTCGTCGTGTCCCGGTCTGGGTAGGACTGACTGGCTGCCACCAAGGAAGAACGGCAGCTATGCACCAGTTCGATGCAACCGCCTCGAGGGACTGGGATGTCGAGCACACTGTAGCTCACGACTTGAGAGTAATCGCATTTCGTAGTCACTAGTCTATTCGATTGGCCAGAACTCTCGATCTCATCAAGGTATGCACTTTACATGACATTTTCCTTGCCACTTCGCATCTCTCTTCCTGACTTGTGATTGACGGCTTCGAGCTGTTGCCCTGTGCGAGGTACCCCGCAAAGCAACTTACCGCTCATCAAAAATGATACAGAAGCTCGAATTTCCCATGCTGGTCTCGGCCACGGAGAGGAGTAGGTTGACGACTATCTCAGTGTTTGTCCCGAGCTTCCGGTTCACGTTTTTGGTTTCTGTGCCTCGCAATAAAATGCTGACAGGCTGCTCCGGAGTGTGTGGCAATGGCATGTTATCAGGAAGGTTGCGCGCAAAAGATTCTGCGGACAAGATGCAAAGTTTGGGTAACGGCTATTTATAGCCCCCCCGAGTCTAAGACCCTCTGATTAGTATATGAAAAAGGCAGTTCAAAGTTTTGGAGTTCTCATAAGGGTTTTTCTTTCCCTCTTTTTCAATGTGTTTTATTTTTATTTCTACTTTTCCGCTTCTTTCAGTCTGCTAGCTGGGCTCGGCTGCCGGCTCCTAGACACCTCTCCCCACAATGGATTTAGACTCGCCCGATGCTCTGGAAGAGCCGCTGCAAACGAAAACGAGCCAGAATCAAGGCCGTCGCCTTTGGACATGCGCATGGTCGGTTCATAATCTTCGTTGGAACTATAAATGGCACAAGGTCCCTTGCGGGACGTGACAGAAATCAACGACCAAACTCTGCCAGTCCCCGTTCACGCGTTGCCTTTCTGTCAAAAGGTTTACCTCGCCATTATGATCGCGCAGTCTTTCGTCAGCTTCTTGCTTCTGGTACCTCACGTCCTTGCCTGCGCAGGACACGGAAACCACTATGAACCCGGCGACAGGAGGCGCAAGGTGTCAGGTCCTGAGACCTTATCCGATTGGGCGTATGAGGCCTCTTTCAACTGGGGCCGTATTAACCCCAGTGAGTTTGGCTCGAGTTAGCGACGAGGACCTCCCCCGGGCCAGTGTGCTGACTCGGCGGCAGACTACAGCTTGTGCCAAACGGGCACGCAGCAGTCGCCTATCGCGCTCAGTCTGAACAACGGACTAGCCTTGGACTACAAGATCAAGTTCGCCTACTCAAACGAGACGACGGGCAACTTCTACAACTGGGGCTACGGCCCCGCCTTCACCGTCACACACCCCGAGGGGGTCTTCACCGGCAACCCGTCCTTCACCTACGACAACACGACGGTCTATCTGAAGGGCTGGCACATCCACTCGCCAGCGGACCACCCGGTCAACGGCGGCAGGTCCAAGGCGGAGCTGCACCTCGTCCACGTCGACGCCCGAGGCCACGACAAGGCCGTGCTGGCCATCCGGCTCGACCCTGGCAACGCCCACAACAAAGACGCCTTCTTCGGCCAGCTCCCGCCGATGATTGGCTTCAATGATGCGGGGGTGCAGCAGCGGATCAGCGTGGACCACACCCTGGCCCTCGACAGCGTGCTACTCTTCAACGAGTTCTGGACGTACCAAGGCAGCCTGACGAGCCCGCCTTGCCACGAAGGCATCCGCTGGTTCGTCGCCCGCCAAGTCATGTACATGGGCGTCGATCAGATGAGGAGCGTCCTGGGTGCAAGCACCTATAGCGCGAGGGCCGAACAAGAGGTTTGGCAGCACTGCATCAACGAGGAGGGGGGGGCGAAGTTCTTAGGCCCAGGGTGTGGCCAAGGACCTAGACAGAGATAGTTACTGGGACCGCGGGTGTGGCTGTGTGGCTTAAAAGGCAGCGGCGGAAAGCTTGGGGACCAAGCTGAAGCCCATGATCGTCGCGACGACAGCTCTCTACTGAAGAGGGGGCTGGCGCGGCTTATTTTCCGGGTTTTGTAAACGCCATTTGATACCACTTAGATCTCATTTGTTCAAGCTGAAATAAGATGTTAGCGATTCGATTGCATTAACTAGGCCAGATGATTGTTCATTTGAGCTTAATCATTTATCCATCTCCGGCCCACCGGGGTGTTTTGTTTCTTTTTTTAACGGGAAATACACCGACTGTTCATTTTCCAAGGTTCTCTGGAAATACTCCGTATAGTGATAATCAAAGCTGACCCGAAAAAAGTGCCTCGCAAGGTAGGGGAATGCCGACAACTAGTCATGAGCCGCGGGGACCCCGGGCTCATTTTGCCCACCTACAGCTTGACTTCTTTTGGCTCTGACGAGGGGGTTACCTACAGCTTCTCCGCATGCCTGATCCCAGTGTAGTAGATAGCTCTATGCAAGTCGTTCCGGGAGAACCTTCGTCCGTCTGGATTGCGGTTCATTGAAGAGCTCCCCGACGTGGGTGGCACGCCAAACCCTTCCTCAACCAAGATTCAAAACCCCCACCCTTATGGGAGCTATCAAGTGCAGCAAGGACATGGAGGGCTCAATCATCAGATCTCTCTAGGTAGGAATTCACGCTAGGCACTTACCGCACTTTACGACCCCCAACAATCGGCTGGCCAAAAGCGAATTAACATATTGTTTGGAGCAGAGACACGCTGACGGCTAATTGGGTCGGCTCGGAAAACGCCAGCCTCTCCGCATGTCGATTGTTGATCCCTCAAGCATAGCCCTGTCCAGCGCAATCACCGTGGCTGAGAAGCAAGCCGGGCCTGCTTGGCAATTGGGACGAACCACTGTTGTTGGTCCGTTCCCTGGCCCGCCCAGACTTGGCAAATGCACATTCGTATAATTAGTATGACCGCGTAATGATAACCCCCCTCCTCTTCCCCTCTGGTAGGTATACCTATGGCTTTGCACTGCATTGTGGAGTTGTAATAGCGCAGAGTTTTGCAGGAGAGGGGAATAGAGGTACAGATGCAAGACCGCTCCCCCTCGTGAGGTCGCACATATACAGTGGAAACAGGGGAAACAGGGGAGGGCGACGTCAATCACGGAATATGACGGGTAATATTGACGTAGGTAGCTGTATCTTGGGTCAGATAGCCGGTTAACCCCAAGGAGCCGCGTAGTTCCCACGCCGGGACTGACTTGCATTGAGTTGGGCTTCTCCTGCACAATTTCCCCACGGAGCTGAACAATCAAATGTCTGTCATCCCGCACCTCTTCAAATGACTTGGATGCGCGTTTGGAAAACTGATGTAAAATAAGCGTCAACTTGAATCGGACCCTACTACCCTGCCCGTCCCGATGCGCTCCGAATCTGCTTCCGCCTTCGGGTTACTGGCCGGCGTCCTGGTTGCTACCGGCCCGGCCGCAGCCCGGCCGGATGTCTACGCCCGATCACAACAGATACGACGACAAAACGAGAGAGAATGCTCCGAAGACCTCGAAGACATTCTGGACAATGCGCCGACAACGTCAATGCCATGGCGTGCCACCGCCTGCGACTACACGTCAACGCTCTCGGGCGCCGAGCTATCGGCTACCTATGCGTCCTTTAGGAGCCGGATGTCCTCCTGGTACACCGACGACCTAGACGATATCACAAAGCTAGAAGCCAGCTGCACACAATACGCATCCATTTTCAGCCAGATCCGGTACTGCTACGTGACCGGGCCAGTCCCGACCGCCACCACGGCGACGCCGACATCATCAAGAGTGGTGACCACCACCAGCACAGGTGCCGGAGGCATTACGACTGCGACCGTTACAACTACAGCGACGCCCGACGGAGATAGGGGGATGGACGACGGGGCGAAAGCCGGTCTCGCCATCGGGGTGGTTCTCGCCGTCCTCTTGCTCATGTTCATAGGATACAAGACGCTCATGAAGTACCGGGCGAAACGACTAGACGCCGCCGCCGCACCGGCAAACAAGGACGCGGGGCCGGAGATGGGCGCCGCCGGAGCAATGGGAGCGGCGGCGGCGGCGGCTGCCAAGTCCGGATCCCAACACCCCCACGGTGCACGCGTACAAGTCGGAGCTCGACGGCGAGCCGAGGCCCGTCCCCCAACTGGACTCGAGTTCGCTGTCGGAGCTCGACCCGGCGGCGGCGGTCGCGGTCCCGCGGACGACCGGCGTGCACCGGCACTTCGCCGAGCTGGACCCCCACTCCGAGACCCAGCTTAGCGAGCTCCCGGCGGACAACTACGACCCGACGCTCGACGCGGGCTCGCCGCCGCCCGCGTACGTCTCGCCGGTGACGGACTCGGGGGCCCGCGACACGCTCTGCTCGGTCGTCTCGCCGGTGTCGCCGGACTCGAGCACCATATCGTCACGCCATGGCCTGGGGATATCATCGACCATCTCGGAAGGGGATGCGCTGCCGAATGCTAACGGGGATGCGGGGGCTGTTACGAATCAAACTTCGACAGTACAGCAGGGGTTCGGGCGGGGGTGGTTGCCGAAAGAAGGCTGAGGTCTGGGAAGGGGTGGGTGAATCAGAGTTGCGGCTTACGAGAGGCAGGCTTCACACAGTGACGATTTTATATTCTTCTTCTTCTCTCTTTTTTTTTCTCAGTCATGGACAGAAAAGAAGCGTGACTGTAAGCATGGGTGTATTATTATAACCAGAACCCCACCGGGAAGTCGCTTCATGATCTACTACAAGTGACTTTAGATACCCTTCCGACGGATATATAGACTGCTCGAATACACGATGTGAGAACATCTTATCAACAGGTGGCGCAACCATCCGTAACAGGGTGACAAGGACTGCAGTGTTGTTGCCGCTGGGGATAATACTTTGCGGCTGACTGTGCCCACTCCCATTTGATGTTTACCAAGATCTCAGGATTAACAGAAATGTTCCAAGGACTTGGCAGCCATGACTAATATTTCCACCGGCCCGGTACTCACAACAACAATTCGAAAACGATCCTCGGATACCCGATATAATCTATTACGACCGTATAGGTGCGTGGAATCGTTTCTGCAAGACGAATATCAAGTGGCTAAAATGTTTGCTACACATGTTTGTTCATCCCCTGGCCATCATAGTCCCAATAATACTCTCATCGCCTCATATCAATACGTGTATAATATCAATGATAAACTCCGATTTCACCACAATGGCAAACTGTTGGATAGCTCCACAACTAAAGGACAGTACTACTGGCAGTGGCAATTCCATGGGTGCCGTGATCCATCTGTTCAGTAGGCCGGGTTATCCGGAGGAGTGGTGGCTGTTGATTTGGCGCACACAAAGGTTGAGACGGTGGTCGGCACAGTCGCATGGATGTAGATGACGTGCGGGATCTACGGTCTGATACCACCCCACCCGGGAGCGAGCTTCGTGGTTGAAGTAATGTGGTCGCAGCCGTAGCAGTCGGTGGGTTTCGCGACGGTGACAGTCCTGTCGTAGACCGTGATAGTGGTTGTTGGTTTCCAGTCACCGGTGAAGCCAACGTCAAGGTAAGTGACCGTCGTCGTGCATTCGCCTGGCTCTGTTGGCGTGGCCTGAGCCTTGGGGTGTGGCATCGCGGCGGCTGTAGCAGCAAGGGCCAGAATTATTAGAGGCAGGGATAGTATTAAGTAAAGGAGTTAGCAATAGGCGTAGTTAGGGTTTAATTATAATAATTATTCTAATATACCTCCTCTAACCCCTATCTTCTATAGAGTTTTCCCCTTTTATTATTCCTTTAGTAACTAGTTTATCTAGTCTTAGTCCTACTTTAGTGCCCCCCTAGGGCCCTACTCTAGGCACCTAATATAATCCCCCCCCTCTAAGGTCCTGCCTTTAGGACCTTAAGTAGGCTATTTACTAGTAGCCCCCCTATTAGCTACTTAGACTATTTAATAGCTAAGCCTTACGCCTAACTCCTAATCTCTTAGGGCCTTAAGCTAGCTACTTACTAGTAGTCCTCCTATTAGCTACTTAGACTATCTAATAGCTAAGCCTTACGCCTTATACTTATTTTTTAGTATCTTAAGAGATATTTAAGAACGCTTACTAGGCTTAGTAAGCTACTAAATAAGTAGTTATCTCCTTAGCTAACTATTTACTTTTAGCCTTATTTTTATATTATTATATTCTAACTAGGCTTTAACTACTACCCCCTTAGTGTAGTTTAGTCTTTTAGCTTAAAGTATAAGTCTTATATTACTTTACTTAGTAAGGGACTACTTATTTTATAATAAGAATACTTTATTTACTTATAATACCTTTTAATACTTTTTATTAACTAGGCCTTATAGTACCCTCTTAAGTATTATATACTTTTTATTATTTTTATTATTATAATATTTAGCTTTTTTATTAACTATTTATTAAGCTTTAAGTTATATTACTTTTATAATAAGAGAAAATCTTTATTTTACTTTTTATAGTTAGTACTAGTAACTTTTTAGTCTTAGCTAGCTTTTCTTACTAAGGCTTATTTAGTCTTAACTTTATAAGCTTAAATTATTAGTATAACTAGTCTTTTTTTTAATACTAACTTAAAATAAGTAATTTAAATTAACTTAGGTTTTTATTAATTTCTTTATTACTTATTTTTTTTTATAATACCTTTATATTATTATTATTTTTTTTACTACTACTATTACTACTATTACTTAGTAGTAATAGTAATAATAATAATACTAGTAATAATATTAGTACTACTAGCTTTTTTACTACTACTATTATATTTACTACTACTTTTACTAATACTACTACTACTACTAACGCTATTACCTTTACTACCCCTAAGGGCACTAAAAGCCTTATTACTACCTCCTTACTACCCTTTTAGTTTATTAGCTTTTTAAATAAAAAAATAAAAATAACTATACTATAGTTTATTTTATTTTATACTATTACTACCTTTAGGCTATATTTATTTAGTATATAAATATAGCTAATACTAAAGCTAAGTTTTTTTACTACCTTAAGACTATTAGTAAGTGTCTAACACCTTAGTGCTCTCTAAAGGCCTTTTTTTACTTATATCTTAGTCTTAATTATACTATTAGCTACTAGTAATAAGTACTCTTAGTATACTAAGATATATAGTAAGAAGTATATTTATATAAGTATTTTTATATTATTATCCTTTTTTTACTAGTAAGAAGTACTTTAGTAACTTCTTACTAACCCCTTATAAGCTACTTATATTATAACTTTTACTACTTTTACCCTTAAAAATATTTTTAAGGCCTTTTATTATAATAGTACTATATATACTAACTACTACTACTATAAAGTATATCTTTTTTAGTACTTTATAACTACCTCCTAACTAACTTCTTATATAAAAAGAGGTTACTACTACTTAGACTATAGTTAAAAAAGCCTTTTAAAAAAAAGTAAATACTACTAAGGCCCCTAACGCTAAGTATAAGGCTAAGGCTAAAGAGGAGAAGTAGCTTCTTTATAGCTATAAGGTTATAGCCCTTAAGGCCTTTACTACTACTACTACCTCTCTAGCTAAGTTAGCTAAGGTAGCTACTATAGCGCTTTAGTGCTAGAACGTACTTCTTAAAGAGTAGACTAAGGCTATTAAGGCTTAAGGTGCCTTTTTCTTTAAGTAGGCTACTACTTACTCTTAGGTTATATATTATTTCTCCCTTTAGTAACCCCTTATTACTTCTTAGTTACTAACTTTTATTTTAGTACTTTACTAACCTTAACTTTTAGTCTAGAGGTAATATAGCCTTTAGTGTGCTTAGTAAAAGTAAAGATAAAGAGAAGAAGTAGGTGTTACTACCCCCTTAGTGCCTCTCTCCCTTAGGCCCTCTTTTAGTTTTATTTTCTTTTTTTTAGCTACTATAGGCTTTAGATACCTAGCCCTTAGGCTATATACTTCTTAGCCTTAGTGTATAAGATATTTAGCTATAGGCACTTAACTAGGTAGGGCTTAATAGTAGGTATTAGTGTATTATAAGACTTAAGCTTGTAGAGCCCCTTATTTTCTTAGGCCTCTGCTGTAATAACTCTACAGTAGGGTAGGGTCACTAGAGCCTTAGTAACTAATTACTAAGACCTATAACTACTGTTATAAATCCTTTTATAATTACTTCTCTCCCTAAGTAACTTTATCCTAAAGTCGTTATATAACTTCTTTTAATAACCTAATAATAATAATAATAAGATATAGTCCCTTTTATTAGCTCTAGATAGCTTCTTATTCTCCTTATTATCTAAATTAAATCCTTTTATTATTTTTATTAATCTAGTTACCTTATTACTATTATTTATAGGATATATATACTTATATATTTTATTTAGTAACATACTAGTAAATAGTTACTAAGTTAAATTATTAAATAAAAATAAAATAGTTACGTAGAGGTAAATATATTAACTAGCTACCTAGTTTGTTTTCCTCCTACTTATTAGTTACTTAAGTAAAGAGTTTTTCTTACTACTAGCTACTTATTTTTTCTTTTCTTCCTCCTCCTTATAGCTTAGTAACCTTTCTATAATTTTTTATTATTACGTCTTTATATTATAATCTTTATTTTATACTTTTTTACCTTCTTGTTTTTCTTAATTCTAACCCTTACTTTACTTACCTAGCTCTTACTAAACTATTACTATAATATCTATTATTTCTTATATATAAATAGTTATTAAGTTAGAGTATAATCCTTATAAGGGCTTTTATAGCCTCTATAGGGGTGCTCCTTATATCTACTGCCTGTCTAGTATATATTATAATATTAATAGCCTTATTTATATTACTAGTTACTATATTACTAAGTGTATTCTTTACTAAGTTAATAAGAAGAAATATTTTATAGTAAGTTACCTTCTTATTAGTAAGTTATTATTATTCTTACTAATATTTATTTAGGTCCCCTAGGAGCTTTTTAGTACTACTTAGTATAGCTAGAACATAATAATATTCTACTATAAGCTTAAGGCTAATAGTAAGTTAGGTTCTATTAACTATAGTTATATTATTCTTACTTTTACCTATTACTCTTCTACTTAGGAGTATATTAGTAATTATATTACTAACCTATTAGTAAGCAGTTAGAAAGTCTATCTTAAATAAGTAACTCTTTAAGAGCTTACTTTTTTCTATAAGTATATAGCTCTTATAATTTAAATTTTAGTATATTTTAATACGTCTCTAGTAACTATTTTATAACTAACCCTTATTTTCCTAATATAGGCTAGCCTTCTTAATACCTTTAATAAAAATAAGATATATTCTTGCCTTTATACTTTTTAGCCTGCCTACCTTTATAATAATAGCTAAGCCCTTACCCTTAAGTTAGTAATAGAGAGCCTTAAGGAGTATAACGCCTGTATTATCCCTAGTAATAAGATTAAGCGCCTTAACTTATTCCCTAAGTTTAAGAAGTTTTACTATATTATTAGTAAGTACTTAGTAAATAATATCCCCTTATATACTATTACTATTTATAGTACTACTTCTATTAGTTATAGCTATAATACTATAACCTTAAGTAAGCGTTATACTTTTAAAACTAGTTATATTCTTAGTAGTAAAAATAAGATTCTCTTAAAGTCTAATAAGGATACTAATTCTAATACTCTTAAATCCCCCTCTATAAGTACTTATCTTTATAAGCGTTAGTAACAGCTTAGTAACCCTTTTATAAACTATCCTACTTATACTACTCTCTATAGTCTTAGTAGTTTGCTTTTAATACTTACTTATAATAGTATAGCTCTTAATACTTTTAGCTACCTCCTCTCTAAGGCTTAGTAGAAAGCTATATAAGCGCTTAATAACACTTTTACTACTACTAAGAATAAGGCTACTTTTTTTAGTAAGAAGATTAATTAGGAGTGTTTTATAAAGCGTTTAGGTCTACTTATAATCCCTAAGGAGCGTAATACTCCTAGCCTTACCCTTAGTAACTATTTAGTAACGCGCCTTACTTTTTATACTCTTTTTACCCTTAGTAACTCTACCTTATTAGCTAGTTATAACACTATAGCTACTAATATTCTTAGTTATAACCTTACTAATAAGTAGGTAACTGCTTTATAAGTGCTTAGTAATACTTTTACTACTGTTTAGGAAGAGGCTAAAGCCTTAGGTAAGAAGTTTAATAAGGACGCCTTCTTATATAACCTTAGACTATCCCCTATCTTTAGTCTTAAGGATAACGCTAGCTCTAACGTTAATAAGGGTGCTAGCTCTTCTACTTCTATTAGTAATAACTTAGTAAAGCTAGTTAACCTTATTATTATAGTATTTAAAGTATAGCTTACTATTTTTAATTTTAAGGAGGCTAAGTAATCTCTTATCTAGGCTGCTTACTTTAAGCTTACTAAGTAGTTAGTAAAAGGCTATAAGTAAACCTATAGCTTAAAGGCTAAGGGTAAGGGCGCTACTTTTTACTAGCTTACTAATAAGGAGAAGGCTACTAATAATAAGTATAAAGGTCTCCTTAAGGCTACTTATACTACTACTAGTGCTATAGGCACTATATATATTAATCCTTATAATCTAGACGCTTAATTATAGTTTTCTTACTAACTATTTAGTAACTACTTTTTATAATAGGCTTTGTTT